TCGAGATCACTCTAGCGTTCAGTATTGCAATCTTATCTGTATTATGCTACATATGGTACTAGAATCGCTATAGAACAGAATCGAATCTCTATTGTGTAAATTTCGCGAAGTCCACGCGTTTGTGCGTATCGCACCTTCCATCGCCACTCACACTTTCCGTTCTTACCTAGGCACCGTACAATATCGAAATTCAACGTCAATCACCTCACCCCATCAGATCTAATGGTCGCTTAATACCTCTACTCTTTACTATATACATCGGATTTTCCTCTATTCCAGCCTCTCATCGATTACGGCCATTATAGTGAAATCATACCGACAATCCGGGCGAATCACTGCTATTCGCCGTTACATAGAAGCTCAGTACGAGGCTATAACGCGGGCGTAGCAAGAGGCTCAGCAGCTCGCAGGACAACTCGTGGAGGAAGTTGACGATGATACTAAACTATCAGATACTATTAGTAGTATAGAGCCATCGTCTAAGCGTCTAATGCTTGATGATAGCGACGAGGATGATATGGGAATGTTATTCGAAGTAGGTCCTATCACCTTTTACCTGTTTTATGTTAATAGAGTATAAACTCCTTATAGGATGCTACTGAAGAAGACCTTAGGTTTGATAGCTTCGAAGCCATACTCGGGGGTACGCAGGCCATGCTAGCAAGCGAGCTTAATGAGACGATGCCTACCCTGGATGACCGTCGTGAACTTGCTGAATACCAGTTCCCGGCAGAGGATATCGAGGATTTAACGCCTGTTGCTAACGATATCGAATCCGATGAAGAGACCGCTACTATTAGTAGTTAGACGGTGGCTAACACGGAGACAAGTCAAGTTACCCAAGAAGCTCCTCACCCCTTCGCCGCCAACTCCAAGTATTTCATTCCTTCAGATACCTCTCTACCTCTGCCACGCAGGATTGCCACCCAGCCAATGACTGACTTCGCCCTTGCAATAGGCACATGGGTACAGCAGTACGGTATCCCTCGGTCCCAGTATAAGGCGCTCGTTGAGGTTCTGAACCTTACTAGCAATAAAGAGATCAGCAAGCTCCCTAAAAGGGTTGATACTATAAAGAAACAAGTGAACGAATAACTGCCCCTCCTCGAAATCCGCTCTAAACCAATTACCCTCAGTGCTAACAAGCTCCCGAGTGGCCGCCGTGGGGAGGCTGAGGCCGGTTTACGAACGCAAGCAGAGAACCCCTACTTCTTTAACCCGTTCGAGCTCTTTAGGACAATCTTGAACACCGAGCTACGCTCAAATATGTTCTTTGGGATGGCTAGGTTCGTCGACTCGCCTAAAGAGCTCTGGGAATCTATTGCCTGGGCGTCGTCAATCCGTTGCTCTTCTGGTCAGTACGCCTACTATCCAAATACGACCGAGCCAGTTTTTCCTTCGGATCTCGTCCGTTTCAAATGCAACGATACACAGTGTCTCTGTCAGACGATGACGCAAAAGCCGCATCTTGGCCAAATCGTGGCTTTCGGAAGGGATTTCCGCACATATCGCGAGCATAGTAGCCCAGAGGGTTCGATTGTCCTCAAGGTCCAGCGGTTTCAGCTAATAAACCAGTTCCTCTCTCGCCCAACGTACCAAAATCTTACTCTCGACCCGCCTCCTCACTCCCGCGAATTCATTATGCTAGATGATACTATCGACGTTGTACCCGAAGAATTGATTGAGCGCCTAACAGACATTACTGTCTATTTCGACTATGCCTTCAGGAGCTCTGTACAACTCCCTAGCGATCGATCAACAGACAGCCTCTCTCCAAACGAGCATATTGTACGTCGGGTCTATAACCAGAATACAGGTATCCGGCCTATCTTTAAGACCCACCCGATCCGCGGCGAACTTGAGCTTGAGGTCTATGGGCGAGAATATTTCGTCAGCAATTTCGCAAAGCGGAATAGGCCTAGGGGGACGGATATCTTGTCTGTACCTATCCTTGGGTATCTCGATGGCTTCGGGCTCTTCCGTAACATGCACCGTACTATTATGGGCTTCTATCTTCTCCTGGCCTGCCTTGTCCAAGCCGAGCGGAATATTCCGGCTAATGTATTTCCACTGACTTTGGGCCCTCACGGTAGCAGCTTTGACGACGTCGTCGATGCCCTAGAGTTGATGCAAAGACTGGATAGGGGCGTTGATATGGATATCAACGGTAAGACGTGCTTCGTATGCATTCCCTTCCTTGCGTTCATCGGTGATATGCCGCAGCAACAGCTAAACGGGGGGTTCCTGGGGCCGACCGCAAATTTCAACTGTCGTTTCTGTACTATCGACGCTCCTCGACGAGGTAACCTAGACTTTAATGTCGTCCACAGTGGTCGGTACCATTTCGAAGTCATGCGTCAACGTCAGCATATGGATTCGGTCTGGCAGAAGACGCACTATGAGGCGTTCGCTAGAGCCAACGGCATGCGTGTCGAATTCCCTGCTTTGAAGAAGTTGGCTCCTTGTAATCCTATCAATATTGATTGCCCTGGTGATATGGCGCACTCCGAAGCAGGCGGTATTACGGAGCTGTTACACTTGGCTATACTTGACCAAGTACTAACCCCCCAAGCGGCTATTGGATATACGCAGAAAGTACGCTCGTTCCCATTTCCACCAGGATGGATCCGCATTCAGTCGCCGCTATTTTATATCGGCTCCTATACGCTCCAAGAGCACGCTCGCTGGTCTGTTATTATACCCGTTCTCTTCCGCCTTCGGCTACGTGCCTCGCATATCAAGCCGACCTTTCTCCAGGAGGCACATATTGTCTTTAGCACCGAGGTCCTTGAGCTGGCCGCTGTGGAAAACCCCAAGCTCCCTACCAATGACCATATCGTTACCATTCTGGTCAAGGCTGTTGCATCAGTGGCAAAGGTAAATACTCTCCTCTCCGCCGCCTATCTGACTACCGCGGAGCGCGCATCCCTACATATGGAGATTACGGCTTCTCGCTCTATGTTCCAACGGCTCTGCGAAGTGGCCTCTCGTGCTGCGGCAATTCAGACCAGGGCATTCTCTCGTGTTGGATCTCGTACAGGATCCGTTGAGCCAGGTTCGTCGACGCAGCCAACGCAGACCCCTATGTCTACCATTACTGCCTCTATAACTCTAGTAGCCATCACTAAGAAAGAGGCTGCGTCGACCAAAAACAAGGCGGCGGGATATAGGAACAATATTAGTCGCCCTAATGTCCATGCTGCCCTTCACTACCCACTGGTACAGGACCAGTATGCACTCGTCTCTAACGTCCATGCTCTTGGTGGTGAGCTGAAGCATCGATCCTATAAGAAGAACATCCTTAGGACGAATAAGAAGCACCCTGAGAAGGATCTCCTTGAAATTGAGAGCTTTACCATGACGCTCCGCTTCTTACTCCACGGGAGTTTCCAGGTCACGCATCCCGCCCTTAGTGCCCAGTTCCAAAACCTCCGTGTACGTTGTCCCCAGTTGTTTACCTCCCTGATGCCTCACGCTACGATCGCTCAGCTCCAAGTGGTTCCTGGAGCTACCGGAGCTGGGGAGTTGGACGCAGACCATGATATCTCCCTGGCTACCAGGGAGGACGATACGCATCGTCAACCGTCTGTGCTTGGTCGGATTCCTAACAAGTACGTAGAGCAGACACTCCAGCTCCCAGTGTCTGTCTCTAAGTTCTCCGCCGGGTTTCGCGCCAAATTTTTCCGGTCGTATAGTGCCGACTACAAGATGCCTGTCAACCATCCTGGCACCCGTCGACTTCGTTGGTGGAAGAAGGTATCGTTTGTCTGGAGGGAGCCGCGCCGGGAGGGGGAGATGTAAGTGCTATGCAGTGGCATTTAATGGGTAAGACAGGCTGACCTTCTGCTTATAGGAGATCTGAGCAGCATATCACTCTAAGCCGTGGCCATTACGTAGAGTATGACAGTGGTATGCTTGGTCGTATCGACCAGATCTTTACCCATAAGGCCCTGAAAGGTAAGCAGCCTCCCTCTTGGCCCGAGTTTACTGCTAATATCCCTAGATAACTGCCGCATATTCTTCCTCATTACTCCCGCCGTTCCATTCGAACCGTTACGTCAAGACCGCGTCCTTAATTATCCCCTCTTCGAGCTCAGCGAAGAGCAGACCCTCGTCGGCCTCCCCTCGATCACCGGACGCCAGTTATACGTTGTCCCGATTACAGAGAACAATGCTCAGCTTACGCTCGACAACGCCTCTCGCACCGTGATGTATATCGACTCGAGGATCCAGTTTATGTAACAATAGGGGCTTGCTGGCCACTGTAACTAGTGGCATGGAACTCGTGGTGTGGCTGGTGGAGCATCGTGTTGGTATGGGAGGAGTGCATGGGGGCAGCACCAGGCAAGGCATATTAGACCAGGGCTGGGAGAACATCGGCAATGAGGCACGTGACGCTGAAAATCATGTGTATTTTGAGCGCCTCAGGCTGTCAGGCATTAAAATTGAGGAGATCCTATTGGCAGCCACTAGGGCCCACTATTCCTTAACAAACCGTTCACAAACCGTTGAAAAACCGGTATTTACACATACCGTAAAATAACCAAACGCATAACCTAGTCAAGCGCTTATATGGTCTGACGTTTACATGGTAAGCATCCGTTAAGTAGCCAAGTGCTAATTTTTACCGTTTGCAGCCGTAACGGGATACTAACAGTCAATAGACGATTACATAAACCCCGGTATGCGCCCTGCTGTTCAGTTTCGTAGTTTAAGCCTTGCAGCCTTATCGAAGGTCTGGACCAATCAAAGCTGACAGGGTTCCAAACTAGATGACGCGCAGGAACATTTCTATCACCCAGTTCCAAAAGTTCAGCGATGATGTAGGAAGTCTCCTCGTACTGCATAAAACATCCAAAGAACCTATAAACTGATAGATCCAGGATCGCGTACTATCACTGAGTCTAGCGATTATATACGATCGTTTGGACCTTTACAACAGCTTTTCTAAACGCCGTTGGCACTTCAGCTGAATTTTAGGAGTACCGGTAGCGGAGCTACTATAACGTGGACGCCATCCCGTCTCCGAATTCAATTTTACGTGCTTTCCTATCGTCGGTATTATCTCTCCTGTTGAGTCCGGACGTTCATATTTCCATCAGATCGTTCAAGAAATCTATCCGACCTGTCCCTGACGGTTGCGCAGCGAGATATTACCGACTTCGGATGTCACTACCCTGAGCGCACGAGTCGGGACGGTTCGCGCCTCGCATTGCCTGACCGCAACAACAGTTTAACGGCCGCTCTACTATCAAGGGATTCATTATCTACATGTCTCCGAACCACGCTCGCTCCTCGCCATCTTTGATATATAATTCTGTGATTGATGTGGACGTCATGGAGCCTGGCGCATCTGACGTCCACCATGCGCCCAAGGCCACCACCACCTCAAATCTCCCTCCACCACCTTCAGCGTCAGTAACCGACATCGCATTAAACGACTGCGATGAACCGACATGGGCTCTTCTCTACTCTACCCTATACGAACTCAAAAGCGACCTTGAAAAACAACTGGACGCCTGTCGAAGCTCCCACCAAATAGACCAGACTTCGTGGCGCAGGGAGCGGAATCTATGGGATGCGGAGCGCAATCGGAGACATCGCGATCTATCTACCGCAAGGCGCGAGATCGATGCGCTGAAGCGGGAGAATGCCGAGCTTAAGGGGGAAATCGCAGAAGTGCGGACCAGGGAACACCATCTGGATGGCTCGCCTGCCAAGCGACGGAGACCCTCACGGCCAGAATCGGAGACTTTCGATATGTTCGCGAACAGTATGCAAGGCAATACATACCAGAGTACGTCTCAGGGGGGTGCGAGGAGCGCGACAGAAAGTATGACAATCGTTCTTCAGAAACGGATCATTGCATTTGCTAAGTTGGAATAGAGAGCGAGAGCAACCCCGACGTCGTCGCATCTGATCCCCCCTCTCCTCCAACAAGTACGGTTGTCGTGTCTCCACCCCCTGTTGCGTACCGTCGACACGCGGGCCACACCCCTGCGGCCGTTTCGCTTCTCAGTCCGCGTGTGGATACTCCCACGATCGACAGCACCGACAGCAGTTCGTCTCTCAAACATGCAGAAAAAGCCGGTGGTACCGGTACGACGGAGGATGTTGACGCGAATCACGAACCCGGGCCGTCGCAGGACGTCGCGAGCGAAGCGGCTACCGAACATGTGGGACGCGATCAACGCGACGGCCACACATCCCACTCCGAGGCAATAACCGATAAAAATCCCTCGTCAGGGGATGGGGACGATGAGGAATCTCGAACTCACGCGGATGCTTTCGACGATGCGACGCTTCTCATCGCGCAGGCTGCTCTCGATCCCGTAAAACACATCCCGGACGATCCCGCTCTTTCAGGGCCGCTGTTCCTCCCGGCGCACCCCATGGCCGATCAAGACGGCATCCTAGCGGCGCTAGGGCAGAAGCTCGAGGAAGCTGCGATCTCGCCGGAAGCGAGGACGCCGTCGGTTTTGAAAGATGATCCCATTTCTGGACTCGCGGAACCGGACAGTTTGCATGGGCTGTCGGGGGCGAGCAGGTCGAACGGCGGAAGTGTGGATGGTAATGGCGGGGTGGGTGGGATTCATGCAGGTCATGAGCTGCCAAGACGGACCTCGAACGAAGCGGAGGAGGTCGATCCCGCGATGGATTTGGACGGGGATGGGGGTGTCGGGGGTGGAGAAGAAGCGCCCTTGGATGTACCGATCAAGTTGAGACCCACTTTGAATTTCGGGGCGCCATTGGGGAGCTTACGGTTAGCAAAAGAGAGCAGATGAATCGGCCGATTTCTCCCTCCCATCTCCCTCAACCATCTTTCTTGAATGTGGGATGGCTGCCCAGTTACAGGTATCCCCAAATTCGTGTACATTACTACCTGTAATATGCAGATCCGAAGGCCGTCCAACGTGCGGCTATCATGCTACATCCGCGTGGGTTGTGTGAATGAGGACATGTGGAATGCAGCATTGCGTCCAATTCTCGCCCAAGGCGGTGACACAGTCGCGGGTATTTTAAATGCAGGTACAGCTCCATTCGTCGCACCGCATCGGCGGATCAAGGCAGGCAAGCGGGTCAGACCGATAGGTAGGATGGCGATTCTCCCGCCCTTTTGATCCTCCATCGGATGTTCCAAGTTTCATTCGGTTGAGTCATCCCTTGACTCCCACCCACAACGTCTCGTTCTTTCAAGTTTCAACCTCCTAGAATACCTAGACTCATTCTATTACCAGTATCCCCAGTGCCCCTCCGTTGGAAATTTGTCGGAAATGTGAAAGCTGCTCGGCGACAGGGGCTCTGGTTGCAATCTCAAACATTCTTCAATCCTGTGATCTCTGCGTCACCGGTGTGGGTCACGAATCAAACGGCGGGGGTCGCTTACATGCAGAAGGTCTGACGTCTCCTTGATACGATGGTTGAACAAAAGGGAAAATGCATATTCCCTCGCCCGGCTGCCTGTCAAGTCACGGCCTGTCGAGTTCGGATCTGGCCACTCTCCCTTGGACACAGTGATCTCAAAGACTCAGCAGATTCCTCGATCCCCATCATTCAGTGACATTTATATACGGGTCATATCATGTATATAATAGAAGCGATAGGCGTTACGTTTCTTTCACTTCTAGCGGTGCGAGGCTGTTTCATCCGGAACCATTTGGGAGGTTGCAATTCACCCCACGACGCGCCTTCCCGTTGCCGCTCTTAAATTTTCCCTTATTTCCTATTCCGGCTCTTATCTTGCTTCTGTTCCCTCCTCCTCACCTCCAACACTTTCACTTCACTCTCTCACCACTTTCGTCCTCTTCATCGTGATCGAGCCACGAAGTCCTCTTCACTCGTTTTAAATCCGCTCGCTTATTTAACCCTCGCTCAATTCCCCTGAAGCGGTAAAACTATCCACGCCAGTCAATTGGATCTCGAATTCTGACCCGTGCTTATAATAGGAGTAAGATGGTTCGCCTTCCTCTCGTCGTCGGTGCCGCTTTCATGGCCTTGGCGACAGTTACGGCCAGTCCAGTGCCTATAGACGCTATCATTGATCAGGCTAGGGCTGAAGGAAAGACTGAAGTAAGTTGAGATAATACAGTCTGAAACCTTCCCAGTCATCATAGTCATTATATCCAGTCAAATATCTTCGCGTGTCAAGAATTCACTTTTCTCATTCACTCATAATGTCCACAACTTCTACCCTATACTACCTTCACTTCCCTATGCCTCAATGACCGCACTCCACCCAATATCACTTCATTTTCCATCATAATAATCACCTCATAGTCCCCCTACTACATTCACTTCACCTTCTGCCCCCAAAAATTTCCCTGACTCCCTCCTTCAAAATTCTTCCCATTCTAACCCCATCCACCCAGGCCGAAATCCTCACCCACATCAACGCCCCCCCACACCCCAGCCCTGCCTTCCTCCCCTCTCTCAATGGCCGTGATCCCTCCGGCGACGTCCCTCCCGCCCGGATCCTCAACGACATGATCCACCGAAAACGAACCGCTGAGCACGCATCCGTGGCGAGGACGGTGGTGAGGTTTATTGGCGATGTGATTACGAAGGGGAGGTTGGAAGGCCGGCCAGATGTGGATGCGTATGAGGGGATGGAGGAGCTGGTGACGAGACCGAGGTGGAGGTTCGGGTGGAGGGGATGAGGGATGGACCGGGTAGGATAACTGGATTGCAAGGGAAGGCGATAGTTCGGGTGCAACAGTAGCGGGACGGGATCGATTGTCAATTGTCGTGTTGCTGTCTGGTGGGGATAGTCGTGTGACTGTGGCGTGCGGGAGATGAATGAATTACGGCCAACATGGGATGTCAAAAGGATGGGGAACAGCGTCTGCTTGTGGCTGAACGCGGTCGAAAGCCCCTAAGACCCTTACTCACTGTCAAACCATCAAGTGATGTGAGAGTATACTTTGCAAGAGAGAATTTCCCACCGTGATTGAAATTCGTGGTGCATTGTGCATTGCAGCTCAGTACTTATGTATGTGCAAGCCATTGTGCTACGTTTACAACCTGTTGTCCATACGGAGTAAATGACAGAATTTTCGTGTGGCGCGTAGTTCACATTTATCCGTCTGTAAATAGATTCGTTCAGCCCTTGCCATGGACCTATCCTGATATACGGTTTCGTTGTACTAAGTACGAGGTGCGTGGACAAGGTTACGCCATAACGCCCTCAAGTCCAGGTATATCAGACGCTCGCTTAAGAAAAGGGACTCGAGTCGAACATGCTGGCGTTGAATCATAGTCATATATTGCATGGAGGCAATATCACAAGAACAACGATGTGTGGAAGCAAAAGGATTGATCCAGCCAAGTAGTTATAAAAGGAACATATTGTCCCAAAGACCGTAGCCATGACCCAGCGTGATTACAAAGTAGCTCCAAACTCCACCCGTCTATTCTAAAATAATCAAAGACCCCATCGGCTATCCCAACCGAATCCCCCAATCAACCCCTGACCCCGACCAACCAACCCCCTCTCCTCACCCCCTAATTCCGCCCCTGCAACGGATACTCCGGCGGTCCCTGGTTTCCATACGTCGACTGCCCATACGGCGAGTTTCCGTACCCTGTGCCCTGTCGCGACCCGCTCTCAATCGACGATGCGATGTCCTTGGGCGGCGCGTTCTTGGGGTTGCCGGCGATCCAGGCGGTGCCGGCGATGGGTTGTTGACCGCGGCGGATGCGGCGGCGGGCGTAGAGGCGGCTGGGAGGTGGGGGTTAGTGGTTGGGAGAGCGGAGAGGGGGAAGAGGGGGACGTGTGGAGATAACGGGGGGTGAGGGGTGGGAGTCAGGGGAAGGGTAAAGGAAGCATACAGAATAACCAGGATAGCGATGATGACGAGGGCAGCGATGATTCCGAAGATGAGCCAGCGGCCCCAGGACCACCAGGCAGAGTTCTTGTCGCATTTGTAGTCGCCGCGGCTGTTGGTGTAGCATTTTGGGTTGTTAGGGTCGCGGACATCGCTGAGGGAGGTTAGAGATGTTCAAGGCAAAATGCGTATAGGGGACTTACTCCCGGGCGGCGAGGTACGTGGTAGACATGGTGGATTTTAGAGCTTGGAAAGTAGATGAACGCTTGTATGAATGGTTGGATGGCAAAGGACTGAGTGATTGAATGGTCGAGACTGGAGAGACTTTTGCTTCGGTTGAACTTAGGATGGATGTTGTAGGAACTATGTACTTGAAAACGATAGACTTAATCTAGACGGGACACGTTCTTTTATCTCCAAACCTACACTTGATCGTCCACAACATGCTAAGATATCAATATCTGAGGCTTCGTCTCGAATGACGTTGGTAGCCGCGCTGATTAGGTCCTCGCCCCATTGTCGTCGGCATCCGATTCAACGGTACGACTTGTTACCTTCAGCCTTTCTACTATCTCGTCACAAAACGTGGCTCAGTGATATTCATGAAGGATTGTGTATGCAGTGTAAGTTTGTTTCAACTTCTTGAAGTTGCAGAGCATGAATGGTGATTGGCTACAGCTATTCCGTGAGGCAGCGGATGTCGATCAAGGAACGAAAACCGGCACAACCTGAAGCAAAAGAATCCCGCCCTTCGCCCCACATACTCGCTCCGATAGCTGTTCGGAGAAATCCTCGACGTAGAAACCCTTTGATATTCGGGACAAGAAGACTCCAAGACCCCAAGACTCCAAGAAACCAGTGTGACATGAAGGATGGAGATAAAGATACATTGGAGGGTTTCTGCCAGGAATTATGGGCACCTGGAAATTGCGTTTTGTGTAATATTCGACAGCGTAGCGCGTTTTATTTGCCCATACCCAGTTAGCCAACCTAACCGCTAGATATTAGTTCATAAGCCGGCTAAATGCAGAGAGTTGACCTGAAAACGATTTCCAGGACCTGAAAATCGTTTTCAGGTCAGGTTCGCCCGATTTCCAGCTCGTTAATTGGCTGATCTGTTAGCGTACCGTATAATTACAGAAACAGAATCACGTGTGCTTATCACGTGCCTTAAATTTGAAAATAAAAGAGGTATAGCGGCACCGCTTAATCAGCGGATTACAGCTGTCGAGCCTGATTTTCAGGTGTTCCACATATTCCTGGCAGAAACCCTCCATTCAACTGACTCGCAACGACCATTATGATTTCGCCTCCGCTGCCGCAACCGTTCTCTTCTCCCCCCTTATCCCATACCTCCACACCATATAATCCGTTGTACCCCCTGCCGCGCCCAGGCCCGCGCCGCCCAAGATCGTGGTGCTCATCTTTCCTTGTAGGGCAGGCAGTCGACCCGTCCGCGCCAGCGCCACCGCAGCCGCGATCCCTACGATCTCCCCGCCGATAATCCACTTGTCTGCTTCCGACTGCCCGACGCTTTCCTGCACCCGCCAGGCGCGGTCCTGCCACTCGATGGGCTCTCGCCCTCGCATCCGCCCGCCCAGCATCACGGCGGAGAGGACGAGTCCGGCGACACTACCGCGTGCGGCGTGGACGAGGGACCGTCGACCGAAGGTGGAGAGAAGGGACTGGGTGGTGCTCGGGGATGGTCGCCAGTAGAGTGTGGAGGCTGCGCTGGTGGCGAGGGAGATGAAGGCGCCCGCTGTGAAGCCGGAGCGGAGGACGTGAAACGTCAGGATAGACTTGGCATGTTTCTGATCTTCTGCATATTCCGCGTGAGGGAGGAGGGAGAGCATGTTGGCTTTGTGAGGTGTTTGGGTCATCAAGTCTAGATACAAGGCGATGGCTTTAAGAGTTCCGTGAAAAAGGACGATAGCTATTTGACGATTTAATCTGGCTCAATGCTCTTTGTATGCAATGTTGGCGAGGATATTCTGAGATGATTCCATTGTCTAAACTTCTGGGCATCACCTAGCTCAGATATATAGAAGTCTTTCATTGTTCCTTAACGTCATGCAAAGCACGTTCAATGATAACGTGAGGGCAGAAGTACGGACGTAAGCTATTATCGGAATACGAGCCGGGACATCCGCATCGGGGGGGAGTTTGCCCGGTGCAGAGCCACTGCGCTTCTCCTAAGTTTAGGTGACGGAATTTAAGAAACCCCAATTCCCCATCCGAGAAATTATCTTCCGCGTCGTCCTTCACGACATTCGAACAATTAGCGACGATGGGTTTGCCAAACACCAACCAGATGAAGACCGAACTGTAGAGCGGGGTTTGGGAAATGTCCCTCTTTGCTAGAGGGCAACATTCATGGATGACTGTACAATGCATCTCCAACCTCCAACCTCCAAATCACCTATAGGTAGGTACTCTCTTTAGACCTTTCGCACTAGATACATACAGATACTTGCTGAATCGTAGGTAGAGAGATTGTGGTGATTCGATTAGGAGCATATGCTACTCTTGAAACTCGAGATCAGCTATTGATCTTGCTTCATTCCGAGTCCGATCGCTACCCTTAAGTACCTTACTGAGTCAGCGAGTCCTGACCAGAACCTGTCGCACGTGATGTGCTAAAATGGTTGGGAGTGAGGTGCTGTTGTTATAGCAGCGAAGTTGTATTGTGTAAGTTGTGTGTAAGTTGTGTGTTCTAGCTGAATGCCTGGTCCCCCGGTCCTACATCTAACGTATCGATCTGGGAGCAGATGCCGCAGAAAGCTGAGGGTTGAACATCAAGTTTGTGAGGGTTTGGCTCTTGTTATGGGTTGAAACCCCTGGTTGGCTAAGGCTGAGAGTCTAAGCCTGATTAGGTTAAGGGTTTACTCAGAGTCCAACCCTCTTCGATGTAAACAAGAAGGCTTCCCCTTCTTGTTCTCTTCTTTAGCTTAATCTAGAATATCTTTGGCTACGTGTATGTTGTGTGCATCCAGCTACCGTGCCGTAACAGATAGAACTAGGTAGAACAGAGTAACTTGTATAATAGTATGTAGTAGCTAACAGGACGCAGCAGCTTATCTCTAGTTAATAGTTTTTTCTAACCTAGAGACCTATTGCAGGACAGAGGCGCCTGCCTATAGTACGTAGTTAGGCAGGTGCAACTCTAGAGCATCTGCTCTAGATAGTAGAGGCTTCTGCCTGGAGATAGTTAAATGAGCATCTTTTACTACACTTTATGTGAAACACTGAGACTAAGAGCAAGGGCTCGTTTAGGTAGCAAAACGGTTTGATACTAAGCTAGCGAGAAAGAGAGAGAATCTAAGATACACTGTGGGTGATGAAGTGATATAACCATCGCAAACACCATTCACTAAAGCCACGTGACTCAACATGTATGTGTTACCTGAAGTACAATCGTGTCATTATGTTCTATTAGGGTCGTTTAACTCTACCATGTTATCGCCTAACTTCACACCTAGACAATCCTACGCTATCTCTAGTACTAATAACTTTTATAAGAGAAGGAATCTATATCTAGTAGATGTTTATAGACTAGTAACTAACAAGATATCTAAGTTAGTTAACTTAATCTATAGTTACTTTTAAGTTAGATCTAGTCTTTAGAGTCCTAATTTATGTCGTGGACCCAAATCGCAAAGGATTTGATAGGCTTGAAACGTTATTGAATTGCTAAAGAGAAAAGAAAGATCTCTGTTCAGAAGTGCTAAATTGCACCTTTTAAGCTGGAAGGTCAACAAAGGCCTGAGGCCATTAACAAAGACTGGGCACAGTCCAAGACTGTCACAAAGAAAGTGAACAAAGATCTCCTCCTCTCAGGAATGCTAAAAGAAAGAGAACAACGATCTCCTTTCGTCCAGGAATGCTAAATTACCTCTTTAGGCCGGAGGCCATTAACACAGACTGGGCACAGCCCAAGACTGTCACATTTATTCTGATAAGTATTGTCTGTTATTAACTATAACTAGTTAAAGGCTTTACAACTAACTAACTAGATAGTTATACGTAAGTCGAACTGAGGAACTTCGCAGTCAATGCGAAAATCATTTAACTAGCGACAAGTGTGATCCTGAAGCGTCGGATTTCATTTTCTCGCATCCGGTCCTGCGCTTAAAAATGACATTGACACCGCTAGATCTCAGCCATCAAGTTCTCAGCACGAAAGCTGTTCGACATACGCAATTGTTTGGCTCGAACTAGCCTCTTGACCCGTCGAGCGCCGATACCTCCCACACACTACCAGCGCTACGAGCGCTATTCACCTAGATCATGTCCTTTTTTACTAGTACCTATACAGAAGTCTTTGCAATCACAGAAGGCCCACTACTGCATGATCCTCTTGCTGTTGTGGCAGCAACACACCTAGAGATATTTGACGACAGAGATGGTGAACGCTTCAATGTAGACATAGTAACCGAAGGTGTTCACTCGCTAACTCAAGCGGATGTGGGCGAGCTGGGACGAACCAAAGCTACGAAATTGCCGCCCGGAAAAGGCGGCTGCCGGATTCCGCGGGGCGTGGACCTCCCTAAATTCTGGGGTTTGATAGAGGATAGTCTGAAGATGTCAAGATCTGATGTCATTACTTAGTCATTCGTTTCCCCTCTTCGGCTATTACTTAGTTATGCGTATATCTACCTCGTTCGGTATTCTACTTCTTACAGAAATACAAGCTGTCGCACGTGATGTGCTAAAATGGTTGGGAGTTGGGTGCTGTTGTTACAGCCGCGAAGTTGTTGTATTGTGTGTTGTGTGTAAGTTGTGTGTTCTATGTAAATGCCTGGTCCCCCGGCCCTACAGATATAAGAGAGTCATGACAAGATTATTAATGCAGTTTGTAGCCTCGGGCTCCCTTAGATGAAACCTTGGTCTGCGACACAAGCACTTTACATTCTTCGTCACGTAACCTATTGCTTCCGTGTGGATAGACACGCTAAGCTATCAACAGTTATGAGCCCAATTTGCCTTAAAGCTCGATCTCTATATCAGCTTTCCTATTAACCTCAATCCGGACCATTGTTTCTCAAAGCAACGTCCCCTTTCCGCCCTTTTCCGCGTCCCTCGACGCTATCCCGAGAGACTCGATTCCTACCTACGTCTAGGAACCGTCCTCCTACAACCCTTTTCACTATGTCTTCCTCTACCAACTCCAACCACACGGTCACTATCAAGAGCACCTTGAAGGATATCACTGATTGGATCGACTGGTACGAAGAGATCAAGAACTACGCCCAACGCATCAAAGTTTGGGACTACGTCAACCCAACTTTTGTCGAAACCCCTGCCTTAGATGGAAAGGAAGCTATAACGCAACCTATCCATAAGTCTCCTACTATTCCTTCTCGTCCAACTGCAGACACGGATCTCAGCCTACAACAATGGATCTGGAAATCCTTTGACTACGAGAAAAGGGAGTACGATCTCCGTGAAGCTGAACTGAAGAACCTGGCCAACGCTATCACTGCTTCTGTCAGTGGTGGTATGACTCGATACATTAAGGACAAATATCTTGCCAAGGACATGTTGGAGGCGCTCCACCGTTACGCCGCCCCACAGTCAACTCAATTGGCTTTTTACCTTGAAGAAGAGTTTAACCGCCTAAAGAAGGGCAAGAAGAACCGCAACCAGTCCAATCTCGACTATACCAACGATTGGCTTAAGCTACAAGAGAAGATTGTGTCTGTCCGTGACCTTGTTGACCACCTTACTGACCGCCATATCTGCCGAGCTTTCATAGCCGCTGCGACTTCAATCGAGAGGGATTTCCAGGCACATGTCTTTAACCGCATCGCTGGAAACCCGCTTAGCACTACACTGGCTGATCTACCAACACTTATCGACTGGTTCCTCAACCTTGGAAACTTCCTTAGCAACCAAGACTCCTTACAGAAGTTCGCCAACGCAACCCTCGGAATTGCCGAACAACAACAGCCGCGACGAGGACAACGTGATACGAAGGCTCCGTCCAGTAACTGCTTCTGTGGAATGAAACACTGGCTCAAGGAATGTCCTTACGTCAATTCCTCTAGGCGATCCAAGGATCATTGCGAAGACCCTGCTATCGTCGAACGGTTCAAGAAGCTCCCTCAAAAATCGCTTGAGAGGATCTATAAGCAGCTCCAGGACGACAAGGTTACGGCACCGGCATGGCTTCCTTCTAATCCAAGTGCACAGCTCGTCGTTCCTCCGGCACCGCAGATTCCAAAGGAGGCGAACACTATCAATATCGCGTCAATTGATCGCCAGCCTTATGCCACCAATCGATTTATCTTTGACACTGGTGCAAACGTTCATGTCTGTCATGATATCCACCGCTTCCATGACTTTAACCCCAATGATACTGGAGCCATTCGTTTCGGTTTGGTCCTCCACCAGTATCACGGTACTGGGTCAGTCAACGTTATCTATAAGGATACTTATGGTAACAACCGGACTATGGAGCTACAGGGGGTCATCTACCTCCCCGGCTACCATATCAACATCGCGGGCGGACTGCTCTTCGATCAGATCGATATTTATCACTTTGGCAAGGATCACTCCTTACGCCATAGAAATGGTGATCACTATATTGCGAGACTCTTTAAGGAGAATCACCTGCTCTTTCTCGAAGCTCCAGACAGTATCGTTCCACAGCCTGCTGTCTATACTGCCAACGCAGCGTCGTCCTACGACATCTCTATGACCACAGCTCCGCTAGAGCAATGGCATCGACGCCTTGGTCACGCTCGTCTAGACGCTATACGCCACATGCCTGACGCTGTACAAGGTATCAGAGTTCTCTCACGCTCCTCACTTGATAAAGACGACTCTCTGTGCGACACCTGTAACCTCGCACACGTTCCCAAGCAGAACTCGCGCGTGCCACAACCACGTGGTAACGCTCCCTTTGAGAAGGTCTGCCTTGACCTGGTCTTCATGGAAAACGCCTTCAACGATGATAGGTATATCCTCCACTTCTATGAACCGTACTTGAGGTTTCACAAGGCCTTCCCTATCCGCAATAAGAAACAACAGACACAAATGGCCTGCATCAAGGAATTCATCTGCTGGGTATACAACTGGGGATATCGCATCCTTACGCTCCAGCTCGACAACGAGACAGCCCTTAGCGATGAGTTTTCCAAGTTCTGCCGCGACGCTGGAATCGAGGTCATACACTCCGCTCCAGGTACACACGACCAGAACGGTTTCGCAGAACGTTCTGGGGGGGTGCTGGTAACTATGTCTCGCAAAATCTGCATCGAGTCTAAACTTCCGAAGTCTCTCTGGCCTGAATTTGTCGCCCATGCCGAGTATCTGCTCAATCGGACTCCCTTCAAGCACCCTACTCTTGAAAAGTTCATTACCCCTTTTGAGATCATTGCGAAGAGGAAGCCAAACCTCTCCCACCTACGGATCATTGGATCTAAGGCTTTCGTACGCAAAGAGAACGCAAAGAAGGATAAGATGGAAGAACGCGCCAACATAGATTTTCTGACTGGCTACTCTGCCTCAAACATCTATCGTATCTGGGTTCCTTCGCTAAACCGCATCCTCGATAGCCGAGACGTCAGGATCGATGAGTCTATTCAGTACGATCCAGTTCTCCACGCTACCCAGTCTCCTCCTTTAGACCAGGATATCCAACGGCTTGAGGTTATAGTTCCTCGCTTCAATATGGAACTTCCTCCTATTCCAGATGATGATTCCCTTGACCCTTCTCGAAAACGCAATCCATGCTTTCTCCGTCGCAGTCGCCAAAGCTACTCTAGTTTCTGACATGCCTCGTGAACCCCAACACTGGTCTGATATGAAACGCCACTTCTACAGCGCCGAATGGTTCCAGGCAGCCAAGATTGAGATTGCAAAGCTTATCGAGATGGGAACACTTGCCGAGGTTGATATTCCTACAGGCCAACAGGTTCTTCCTGTCCGCTGGGTCTTCAAATATAAGCAGGATCAGAACGGATTCTTCACTAAGTTCAAAGCTCGCCTCTGTATTCGCGGAGACCTTCAATTCATCCAGAATCGAGACGATCTTTACGCTGCCGCTGGCGCGTACTCCACCTTCCGCGTCCTAATGGCTCTTATGGCTCTTATGGCCGCCTTTGACCTTGAATGCGTTACCGCTGATGTTACCAATGCATTCGCCAATGCGATTCAAGACAGCGAGGTCTACATCCGTTGCCCCGAAGGCTTTGGTCATAAACGACGAAATTGGCATAGAATTCAGGAATTCATGATCATTTGCCAAGTCACGCTAGTAGCGCCACAGTGCACAGACCAGGAAAAAACTTTTGAAAGGCGCCTCCGTAGTTCGAGAGCGATTTCAAACGAGAGTTTGTTTATCTGGGGCTTTCTCTGGAGCTTGTCTACAATCAGGCGCTCACTACTCTCCACCACTTCCGATATTACTGGTTTTGTACTATCCTGTCTGCTCCTTACCTAATTTTCTTTGCATACTGTGCCAGTACTCGTCTATCTACAGCACTATACTTAGCATTCTTCCAGGTAGAACGTCATCTGCTGCCTGTAACGTTTGCCCCTGAACTGATGATATACCAGAACGGCATGGTCATGTCTCGTCGCGGAAGTGCCTCCATCTAGCAAGCAGAGCGCGGGCCAAATTGGAAACACAACGCAGTACTTCATTTGCACTCTCATTTTTTTCTTTTTCTCGCCCCTTCTTAAAAAGGATTTATGCACGTCGTGGCACGGGGTTATGTGATTGGCTGCTGACTGGGCTGGGCGGATTTATGTCGTGGTAGCAGGGGGCTATGTGATTGGCTGCGGAATGTCTAATTGCCAAATATGGGCTGAATCATGGTACTACCTCTTACCAACTCCGATGGAACCCCTGAGGATAAAACCCTCCACTATACCGCTGTTAGTATGTGAAGTGAGAGATCAGAGATTCAAACACATCTAATTGGGAGCTCTGATTTGACGCAACAGGCATTCGGAGCCACCACAGGGATTAACAAGGGTTCCATCGGATGTGGTAAGAGGCAGTAGGTTCACATTACTCGCCAGACGTTGGGGGCGGAGCATGGTGTTCAAGCCATGTGTACTTGGTGATGAAGGTACCTATAAAGCGATCCGAGCAGCATCTACACTGATCTATTGCACAGTCACTCTTCCCCGTTGACCACTGTCAACTGCCATTCTTCTCCCGTTGGCTAGTGCCAGCTGCCATTCGTTTGACTAGTCATTCATTCAAAACGTTTACGCACTATGCGTTTTACCTGGGCCACCGCCGGCCTGGCATTGAACGCCGCAGTCCACGCCAGTCCCCTCCGGCTGGCCGAGCTGCCTACGACGACATGCAAGTTTGACGCCAGGAAGCCCGAGACTTGGAAGGACAGCGGTGCCGCCATCTACGTAGATGAGTGGCTGAATGACAACGGATCTAGTGCGACTGTTTCTTCCCCCGTACATCGCAGAAGGCTAACAAAGACACAGACAAGTGGCTCTATAAGATGGATATGGAGCAAACCGGGGGCTCTTCTGCCGTCGAGTGCTCCGGTACCAGCGGACAGGCGTGCCCTGTTCCCGAGGGATCCGATTGTCCCAACTATAATCCAACCGAATGTTAGTGTCCACGAGCCGAAAACGTGGCAGTGCTTGGAACGCAGGTTGACTTCTATCCAGTCTTCTACGTCCGGACGATTGCTTCTCGTGTCAATGAAGCCTTCCGATACGCTAGAGACAAACTCCTCAGCAATACCCTTGCGACAACTCTCAGTATCTCAACCATTGTTGAAGACTTCAAGCTGCCCGAGCCAGACCCAGCTGAGCTGACCAAGCTCCTCAGAAGTCTGGGCGCAGGTACGTACCGTTCACTTTGCCAGCTGGGTGTGAATTGACTTGACTTAGCATCTTCCATGAGTGACAAGATCATCAAACAGGCCAAGGTCCTTGGCCCGGTCGCCGATTTTTTGGGCTTCTTGGGTGGCATCATTCAGATCGCAGCTATTCATTCCCCGGCCCCAGAGGTTAGAGATTATGCCAAGTTCCAGACCGAAATGGAGTCATATCTATCGAAAATCTTCACCTCAACAGAGAAGCTGTTGCACGAGACCATTGTGGCTATCTTTGGTGAAGGTGCTGGTGACGAGGAGAATGACCCGCAGAAGATTAAGGACGTTCTAAAATTCATGTCGTCCAAGGGTCGCACTGACATCGATTATAACTCCAAACAACCCGTGGCTGAGCTACTGAAAGGAGGCGCCATGATGGTCCCAGTCCAGCAATCTGAGATCGGCAAGTCGATCGATGAAGCAATCGAAATTCTGGTCAGTATTGCGGTCTCATTGCGTAATCAGCAACAGAAGGAGCTAACAAAACGCAGCAACACGGTATCATTGGTAGATACCTCACCAGTCTGCGTGTCTACGTCGAATACTTTGAGCCGTACCACAAGACCGAGGACAAGGACATTCCCAAATGTGGTAGCAAGGGTGCCTACGATATCGATGGCAAGTGCTACATCCTCAGACGCATTGAGTCTGGCAAGAAGGGCAACGACCGACGACCGAAATTTGAAGACAAGTACCTCGATGCCATGGAGAAGTACGGTATTGACATCCAAAAGTTCGTGGCGAACGTTGTCCAGTGCAACAACGGTGAGTTGGAGGAGGACCACGTCGAGTTCGATGGGGACTATCCCAAGTGCTTCTTTGGCATGCCTGTTGCCATTTACGCTGATGTGAGTAGCCTAAACACCTGGCAATGTTCGTTCCGAGTACCAATACAGGCCTTTCACTGACCTGAGCCTCCTACTTCTAGAACTACCGGGACTGGGACCGCCCATCCTCGATCACCGACAAAACCTGCCACGCACAGTATCGCAACTTCAAGGACCTGCCGGACTGGCTGACAGGCAATGCCGAATCTACGTGCAACCGCGTCTCCACCCCCGAGGTCGTTGACTGCACAATCCACGCCCCAGCGGCCGGTGACCCCTGGACCGAGGCGGCTCTCGACCGCCGCCGGGTGCACATCAAGACCGAGGGCATTGACGCGGCCGAGTTCAAGGAATACTACTACGACGGCCGCCAATGCGTGGGCATCTCCAACAGACAGTACTATCCAGAGAAGGACGGTTCCGGCTATATTCTCGACGGCAATGCGGCCAAGGGGATCCCAGGCTGGCGCACGTGGCACAACTGCATGGTCGACCGGCTCCAGAATTGGGCCGACAAGCGTGGCTGTAAGCTTGATTCGGCCTATACCGAATTGGCCTGATCGAGCGTATTGATAAGATGCATCATCGGGTTATGTACCTATGTGCCGACCGACTGAGGGGCGGGTGTTCCATTCAGCGAGACGAGACGAGCTACTGACGATAGACAACAGCATTGGTATCAGAGAGGGTATTCTGAGTTTCGACTACGATTGGTGTACGATTTTCTATTGCATTGTATGTTTAGTACTTACTTCTTTTCGCCCTTGCGAGGGAGGGAGGCTTCCGGTGGTGGCGCCCGGTTACCTTATGTGACCGGGCGGGTAGCTTGTAGCTTATAGGCAGCCGCCTCAGATAGACGTATGAATTATCCTTCACTACACGCATAATTCTATTAGGTCGCTCAACCTTAGGGCTGGACACGAATAAGGAATTTGGCTATTCGTATTCGACTTTTCCTCTTGAACGATTATTCGTATTCGACTAAGTTTTGAGACGTTTTATTCGTATTATTCGCGAATATTCGTAAATAATGCCAAGACTTATTCGGCAAAAGCCGAGCCAATGAATGAATGCCCAGCAGTCGCGACTTTTGTTTACCCGAACACGATCTGGAGGATTTGAGCTCTAAGAGATACAAAGCATATCAATAGCGTCGAATTGATCACTCCTGACGATTCAGCAAGCCAAGTGACCCCAGCTCAAAGCTCTCTGTCGACCATCTCTCCGATGCGAGATACATGGAAATAGCTTCAGAGATAGACGAATAATTACGAATAATTACGAATAATGCGAATATTATTCGTACGAATATTAGTAAGCGGAAATTCTAAATTTTATTCGTATTCGTGTCCAGCCCTACATTCGATAGACCACGACGGCCAGAGGTCGGCAATGGACGACACCATTCAAAGATGAAGATGGTAGGAAAGAATTCGCGAGGGCAAAGTGGGTGCATCCTGATCATGGGGATCACTTTCAATACACCGTGTTGTATACAGGCTGTGCAGTTAGTCAGCCCGAGTCCGTGTAAGTTTGAGTTGGAAAAAACCGAAAAATACCACACTTCGATTTGCGGCGCCAAGGGATAGTTCACTTTGTGCCGACGATTCGCCGATTGGTGCGACCGCCGAACCCGAAAGTCATGCCGGGTCGATGAGGTTTACAGATATACGAGAGTCACGGCAAGATTATTAATGCAGTTTGTAGCCTTGGACTCCTAGAGCTCATGCCTTAGCCTGCGACAGAACCCTTTCCCCCTGCAATTGCTTGTACCTGATGATCGCGGCATCCATATCTCTTGTCAAACTCTCACATTCATAGTCAATAACGCGTCCAATCGTACTCGAGCCTAACACAAGACCTTCATTGGAGTATAACATAAATGCAGCCTAGATGTCGTCCTTTGTTCCTCGCCCCATACACGACCTTTAGCTCTATGTCATTACAAGAAATGGCCGCCGGCAAAACGGCACGATTACATGTCTTTCGAACATGCCATTCTCTTTGTAGGTATCAATTGCCATGAAGACCCAACTCCTCTCGAGCCCCCGCCTTTTATACCCCGGATATGCATGTCGATTGCGGGGAAACGATAGTGTGGGGTCTGCTCTGGAGTGCGTGAACCTGGTTGAACTGGAATATCAACCTCTCCCTAGGGCCGAACCGCATTGCATTGCGGAGAGCCCCCTCAGTCTTCACAAGCTTCATAGCTAAGACTGCCAGCAACTAACGGTTCTTGGCCATGATTGTCGTTCTCTTTACGATGTACGACGAGAATGATTGGCAAAAATGGTCATTCTACGGTTTGTGTGCCAATCGGCTTTGGTTATTATACTCATTCACTGTTCAATGTCTTTGCCGTCGGTACTCTTCGGGAAAAGAGGGGAATATTTGCTTTCTGAATCTGATATTAAATAGAACATGGCAGGTATTATTTCCCGGTGTCATTGAGTCTTCGTTATCCTGTCATTCAATTCTGGTCCCAGGAACTCTAGAAGCGAGGATCTTGCTATCAAGATGAAGCCCAATACCATTCATCAGGAGGAAGAGACGGTGGGATACACTGTAAGCGTCCCAACAAGCCGCAAGTCAAGGAGTCACTAACAGGCCGAAAGGGAAAAGAGGCGATTGGCGCCCAGAAAGGGGGAGTCGACAATGGTGTAGATGTGGCAGCCATGCTGGGCGACAAAGGGTCTGAAGAAGAGGTCGAGATCAGTGAGGCTGAGAAACAGGCAACTCGAAGGGTCATACGAAAAATCGATATGAGGCTACTACCCGTCCTGGCTGTCATCTATGCTTTTGCATTGATCGACCGTATCAACCTGCCAACTGTACGGGAGGAGGTATCCCACTGACTACTCCTAGCTAACATGAACAGGCTCGCATTGCTGGTATGGACGAGGATCTCGAACTTTCCGAGGGTGATCGCTATTCCATTGTCACCATGATGGTATATTTCCGCAAACCTGATACTTGGGGTCATAGCTAACGGTTGGAAAGTTCTTCATCCCCTATGTCATCTTCCAGTTTCCAGCGAATATCATCATCCGCAAACTGGGCGCGGCTTCATGGCTTTCGTCGCTTGTGATCGCATGGGGAGCTGTGACTATCGCTATGGGCTTCACTCATCGATGGACTGAACTGCTCGGATGCCGTGTTATTATGGGAGTGCTCGAGGTGAGCAACAAGATGGCCCATTCTCCGTGAAAATTATGCACTTACCATTCTAAGGCTGGATACTACCCCGGCTGCGTATACCTCCTTTCCTGCTGGTATGTCCGGTACGAGATTCAGAAGCGCTTCAGTGCTTTCTACCTCCTTGCGCTTCTGGCCACGGGGTTTTCAAGCATTCTAGCGTATGGCCTCATGCAAATGAAGGGACTTGCTGGCTTGAATGGGTGGCGTTGGATCTTCATCATTGTACGCAGTCAGTCCTCCATTGAGGGAGGACGAGATACTGATGCTTTGAACAGGAGGGTATCATCACTGCGCTGCTTGGCTTCCTGGGCCTCGCCGCAATTATTGATTTCCCCGACAAGGCTACTAAACCTGGCCTTATCATCAAGAAACCTTTCCTCACGATTGAAGAGGCACGCCTCGTTGTTAACCGCATCAATCGCGACCGTGGCGATGCGGTCGTTGACAAGTTAACAAAACAGGTGGTACTCGGACATTTGAAAGACTGGAAGCTTTGGGAGTTTGCTTGGCTGTACTTCCTCAATGTTTGTTTCTCTTACCTATTGCACCCTACATCTACTAACTAGAAATAGAACGTCGTGACCTACTCCTTTGGTTATTTTCTCCCGATCATCCTGAAAAACGGCATGGGTTACTCGACCGCCATGAGCCAGATCCTCGCCTTCCCTCCTTGCGTGGTGGCCACGATCTGGATGTTCACGACGGCATACCTAGCCGACAAATACCGGAAGCGCGGCATTGTCATTATTTTCAACGCTGTCATGGCAATTCTTGGGGTCAGCATGATGGCGTTTCTTGACCGACCTCGAGACCGCTACGCTGGCATCTTTCTGGGCATCTCCGCAGCCAACTCCAACGTCCCATCGCTTCTAACCTACATGCATAATAACATCGTCGGCCAGACCAAGCGAGCTATTGGCTCTGCTTTGCTCATCGGTGGGGGAGCCGTAGGGGGCATTGCTGCATCGAATATTTTCCGTCAGCAGGACGCCCCTGAATACACGTATGTCAACCCTGTCCCGTTCCTTCAGATTAGACTAATGTTATTACAGCCCAGCAATGATCGTGGTTATCGTCACACAAGCTGTGACAGTCGTTCATGTTCTAAAGAACTTCTGGGTCTACTCTAGGTCAAATGCGAAAGCTGAACGTGGGGAGATCTTAATTGAAGGGCAAGAGGGATTCCGCTATACTTTGTAGATGTATATTAAAATCCTGTTGAGTAGAAACCATTAAATTAAATAGTAGTATTAAATTGATGTCATAAGGATGCTGAGCTAATGCCTCAACCTAGCTTGAGACCATAGTGAAACCTTTCCCAATGACAGTTTTCAAGCCGCTCACTGCCATACCGATGATTAATTGTACTTAAGCCTCCATTTTAGGGGAGGGACTATACGGCAGACTTCTTCACAAACCTGGAGATTCGTGGGTCGAGGAGCACCCGAGGTTCGAACCTGGGTACTGCTTCAGATATTGTTCTGAATATTAACAGCGACCGCTATTGCTTCCATTACGGCCACATCACAACGAATTATACACGGTGGAAGAAATTCGGTTATTGGGTTGTATATAGTGAAATATAATGTGGGTGAATTGCTAGGTGAATACACTAATCAGCCGGCTCCCTTATCTTACATGTGAGAGAGGCCTCCAGATCCAGCCCATATCAGGTCCACTGCTGACGGTGGGAGGTTCAAATGCCTACGCGCCTCAAAAGACGGCTGTTGACACAGAGTCTTTGATAATTCGGCATAGATAATGGACCACTCATATCCCTCCTTGTCAGATACTATTTACAGGCAAGCCTCTCCTCCCCCGAACCGACAGTGACCCACAGGATATCACTCAACACCATCCTTCCTTCTTACAACAACCCTTCCATTCCCAAATCCACTCCTTCACAAACTTCGCCTCATACTCCTGCGACCACCTCACATCCTTCGACGGCACTCCCGGCCCCGTCTCATTCTTAAACACCCCATTCTCATCCCAATGATGCACTCCCCCAGGAATCTTCCACCACGGCCGCTCCAACGTATTCTCCCTCCACGGCGCCCCGTCCGCCCCCGGCGTCACCGGCCTCCACGGATCCGCCTCCCCATCCACGAATGCCAGCCGCTCCGCCGCGATCTCGTACCCGCCATACTTATTGATTGCGTCGACGTCCGGCGGGCCGGTGATTCCGAACGCCTCACGGCAGACGATCGTGAGGTACTCTAGATCCAGGGTGCGGGAGACGAGCGGGGGAATGTGCTCAGGGACGCCGGAGCCGGTTTGGATGTACCCCCATTGCGTGCAGTACTGATACGGCCAGGCGCGCCAATCGTCGTCGAGCGAGTCTTGCGCGTAGTACGTGCTATTGTACGTCCCGAAGCACTGTTCCTGCGTGCGTTCGCTGCTCGCGCAGGGCGCGAGGGTGGAGATTTGGGTATAGCCGATCAAGTTCAGGAGCGGGGTCACGATCTTGGGAGAGACGTCGGCGGAGGACGCCAATTTCGCGACGGCGGGTTTCAGGCTGGCGGTGTCGGGGTACAGGATCGAGTCGGCGGTGACGTTCCCGCAGTATTCCGCGAACGACCCATCATTGATCGCCGGATCCCAATTCCGCCCTTGCCATCCCCAGACACCGTATGCGAGCACCGTGGCGAAGTCCCCGGAATGTTCGATGCCGCTCATGCCGAAAATCTTCTTTAGCTCTTGCTTGGCCGGCTCGTCGGAGCCGAGGAGGACGTGGTCGATCACTTTGACGAAGTCCACCGCATTGGCGATGCAGTCTTTCGGGCCGTACTTTCGGATCGGCTCGTGGTATTCCCAGTAGTCGTATATCGCTGCGGTGACGCCGCTGGAAGCGATAGCACCCCAGAAGGTATCCGGGTACAGCACTCGAAGAATCGCGACAAATCCTCCGGCATATGACCCACCATACGCGATCCACGGCTTGTACGGCGGGTTCACCTTCTCCTCAATGCCAGGGAACTGCACATGCTCCGCGAAGTACGCCGTATCCGCTAGCGCCTGCTCGGTGGTCAAGAACCGCAGGTTCTCGGTCGACAGGTCCGGCACGGGGAAGCTTTCTCCATAATACCGGTGCTCGAGGATGACGCCGATGCCGCCGGTCACTTTGCTCAATTGGGCGACGATGCCTTTCTGGAGGTAGGGCAGGCGGCCGGTGCCGGAGGTCTCGCCGGCGGAGAGCACAATGACGGGACCGCCGGGCTTGTAGTAGGTGGTGTCGAACCAGTAGCGGAGGGGGAAGGTCTCGCTTGAATGGGGCTCGTAGAGGGAGCTATTGTGGAAGTGGTCCACTGGGACGGAGAGAGTGTGCGCGGGATATAGATCGGATGGATCTGGGGCGTCTCGTTTATGGAGGCGTAGGGAAGACTACACAGGTGTTAGACCACGGTGTTTGTGTTCTTCCTTGAACCTTTGAAGTCTATATTGAAATTGGCTCCACCACCTACATCTTTCTGAAGCCATGGTAGCGATCTTCGTGGCCCAAGTTGAGCTACCGTACCAGCTACTTGCAACCCAACCGCAACTATCTCGGTGAGACGCATTCTGAACTTAGAGATGGTTCGCGACAACCGAAATCCCAAAGCTCTTCTATCCAAATGATGCACACCCAGAAGTCTTCCACCCGAGATCTACCCTGGTATTAATACTGATGATTACACCCTGCAGCCTATCGGGCACGTTGAATGGATGTAACGCATTACAGAAGGTCATTACTCCAGGAAACGCCAGTACAAGCATTCTTATCACCACTACTATGTAGCCATCATAAGAAGTTGGCAATCGGAGCCATTCCCGCATGGTGCTAGGATAAGCTGGGAAGGCTATGGGAATTGGGAGGGTTCATTGCCGATCAACTTATCAAAGGGGCAGGACGTGAGGATTGGGACAAGGGGCGTGAACCGAAATCTGGCGGGGATTCGGGGAAATCTTGAGGAGCCCTGTTATTAGGAGACGCTACGTTTGTGAGCCTTTGCTATAATTAGTGGAACGGAGGATATGAGAAATGAAGCGAGATTGCAGATGTGAGGGATGGGAAACGAAGATGTCCACTAGAAGGGTTGCTGGTTGGGCACCGGAGGTGGCACGGGGGATGGGACTTAGAGGAACAGGTCCATGTACCGACTCCTCAGTCACAACTCACACCGCACCTTCTTTCTGGGAAAAAGATTACGAGGTCTAATATTGCAGCTGTAGATGATATTAAACAAAGCCGACCAAACGAAATCGCATTTCCGTGATCCATGAATTCGGCAAGCAAATGCATCATAGGATGATAGGAGGATGGAGCGATGAGCGATCGATGCTGAGAGGTCTAGAATCGGCCAACAGTAAGCTTCGCTTCGGAACACTACAGGTATGCACCCTTTGGCCTTCGTTGCCGTTAAGTGTCCAAATAAGATTAATTAAGTATAGGTAATAAATCGTGCTTGTTTGCCACGATGGACGGCGGCTAAGAGGCACAACTGGTTATCACGAAAGTAGGACATGGAATGTGTGGCGAATATCTTCACCTTGCCATACTCATGATATACGAATAATCGGATACCAAGCTAGGTGCTCACAGGGAGAAGCATATCTTCGGAAGCGGTATGGAGGAAAGCCAAAATATGGTGGACCTCCGATTTGTCTATGATATGCGTATTCGTATCCATTCCTCGAATCCAACCGCCAAATGCCATTTGACGCTGTTCCTTTCTTCCCTCCGCACACCCCCTCGCAACATCGCCACACCCCGGTCCCTCGCGACCCCAGGCGATGCCGCGACCGTGCCTCCCCCTCGAAGCGAGCCGCCTCACGTGCAACCATGCGGGCTATTCCCTCCGTTCATCAAGTCATGTCATGAGAAAACGAATCGCCTCCCATCCCTCTGGCGCGCGTCTAGATGTTATCAATATCCAGATCCTTGTCGTCCGCGCCCGACTCGTCATCGTCGTCGAACTCGAACCCGATGCCTTCGCCACCCTCGTCGCCGTACGTGTCCGTCTCGTTGATCTTCGCCTCCTCGGGTAACTCGCCGCGCAGTTTCAGCTTGCGCGCCTCATCGACCGAGTACTTGTGGATCACGTCCGCCTTCTCGTCTTGGTATTCGCGCAGCGAGAGGAGGATGATGTCGCCCTGGTTGATCCAGACCTTCTTGCGCAGCTTGCCGCGGATATGGCCTTTTCGCGGGACGTTGACGTCGTTGCCCTTGTCGTCTTTCTCGAAGCAGGTGGCGTCGAGGCGACCGTTGCCGGACATCTTGACTACCTGAGCGTAGACTGGAGGGGGAAGAGTTAGTGAAATGCCCGTTACAGAAGCAGAACAGGAGACGGCAGTCGGGGATGGAGGATGAGGGACATGTTCGTACCTTGACCGAACTCGGCGTAGATCAACTCGCGCTTCTCATTGTCGTTCTCGTTCTTGCCCCTTCGTCTGTTTTTACCTCCCTACAGCCCGCGATGTTAGCATTGCCGCCGAAGAGAAATGACCCCGCCTTTGGCGAAGTCGGGCAATGTAGGAACGGGGTTTCTTACCTTTCCCTTATTCTTAGGCATAGTGACTCGCGGTTCTTCTCAGTAGGATTTGTATTTCAGGGAAGATTGGTCGGGTCAGAAGGGTTGGGTCGGCGAAGTGTGTTCTTTGTTCGCTTGTGAAGGTGTTAAGGTTGAGTGTGTGTCATGAATGCAGGATGTTGTCGTGGTTTTGGCGGGGGGCGACAAATCACTGCAGAGCAGAGCAGATGCTTTTATGGGGCCACGCCTCCCACCAAAGAGATCGTCACGTGACCATATAGGTTCATCCTGCACTGGACGACTGGACTGGTTAATTTCTCCCGTTCGACCGTTAAGTCTGTTTGCCTCAGTTCGCCTCAATAAAGCCAATGTACGGCTAATCCTGCGTGGGCATACCGCTCACCGTAGCACGATGACCTACTACCGTGCGACTTTCCACCCGCAGTGAAGCGGAGGTACCTGGACAAGACCTCGTCTCTTGAAGGCGTAGCGATGGCAGGAACGCACCTCCAGGTAGCTTCCCTCCGAATCCCCCAAGCTACCCCATCATATCCCTAATGCTCCATAGCTCCGCACCCTCGCCTACACCTTCACCCCCAAACCGACGCTCACCTTGTTCGCCCAGAACACGCTCAGCCGTTCCCATAACCCCCTCTGGTTTGTCTACCGCCACCGCTACGACGACATCATCCGGGCGCAGAAGGAGAGGCGGCCTGCGCCGCGGTTCATTTGGCAGGTTCACGCGAGGGCGGACGCGCCGTTGTTTAAGCGGAAGCTCGTGCGGAGCTATTGCATTAGGAAGTTGAAGAAGGGGTTTCGGAAGGCGTTGGATGAGGCGGGGATTGATGATGATGGGAGGGAGGTTGTGAAGGGTGATGGTGGTGGTGGTGGCAGTGGTGGGGAGGATTTGGTGGGCTGGCATCCAGCGGCGGCTCCTATGGACAAGGGAGGCGAGATCGGGATGGGAAGGAAGCGAATTTGGGGGCTTTGTACGATGTGGGTGAATCGGACGACGTTTGATTGCAAGCAGGAGGAGGTAGATAAGGAGTGTCAGACATTGTTGCAGAAGATCATTAAGGATTTGGGAGGACAGCGGAGGCCGCAGAATGTGCTGGAGCCGACGATGCGTGGACCAGAGAAGCGGCAGGCAGGGCCGAAGCCTAATACGGTGCAGCAGTCGCAGAGAGTGTGGCCACAGAATGAACGGCCGCAGAGACGGAAGGTCAAATCAAGATGATATTTGAGAAGTCTGGATTCTTTCATCGAGGTATACGTCCCGTGAATTTATTTGTCCCGTGCAAGCTCCATACAGGCGCCGACCCCGTTGCTTGGGCATTCCCGTTATACACTATTGAGGCGGAGGCTCTAAACGACCACCGTCGCTTCCAGTAACGCCTCGTGATTCCGTTCGTCCGTCTTTTCCCCTTTCCCTTCCCCGAATCCCATACATAACTCCGCGCAATGCTCGCTCAAATAAGACACCATCACCCCCTCCCCGGTTTCAAACAACGTCCTTTCCCTGCCACCTCCTTCCTCAGGTACCCCAACCTCTCGAAGTCCTCATCGAAATCAAAATCCCCACTCCAGAACCCACACCCGATGTTACTCGTCTCCCCCCTCTCCATCGTCTGCTCCAGCCCCGCGAAATCCACCGGCGGGATCCCCATCGGATCCGGATTCTGCTGCGAAATGATGCTCTCCCCTTCCATGTGATGGAATAGCTCCGGATTGACCGTCACGCACCGCAGCCCGTCTGCCGCGCCCGCCCGGCACGCGTGCAGCATCGCGACGTCGAACGCCTCGTGCGTGGCCTTCGGCGGCGCCACCCGCGCGTGGATCTTGATCGCCGCCGCCCGCGTGACCGCGTAGCCGAACGTGCAGAGCGGCCAGACGGATTGGTGGACCATGCGGATGTGCTCGGTGATGTGCAGCTCGTTGAAGAGCTGAGCGGTGAAGGGATGCAGGTCGCTACGGGGGATGAGGGTGGCGTCGGCGTAGAAGGTGTGGTTAGTGGTAGCGAGTTCGGAGGGGGAGATGGTGCGGTCAACGCCGTACTGCTCGACTGCGTCGAAGTAGTCGCCGCAATGGCCGATATAGAGAAGGTCCCAGGCGGAGGTGTCGCCGTAATAAGACGAGGCGGCGCGGGGTCGGCGCGGAGAGAGACGCGGGTTGGGGGCGAAGCGGTCGCTGTACGAGCGGATGGCGGCGGCGGCGCGAGGGATTTGCATGGTCCGGAGACGAATGTCCCAGTCGACATCATCCTCAAGAATCAAGGCCGTCTCGTGCCCGGAGTCGATAAACCTAGGTGGTAATCAACGACGTCATTCGGAGATACAGTCGCGGGTTGACTCACTCTTGCAGCACAGAATCATGCGCGAGCCATGCCCTGATTGAGCCGGTGGTGGTCGTGATGTTACCGAAACCATCTTCGTAGAATTTTCGCTCATCATGGTCGGTCCAAATCGGCTGGGTTGGGATGGTGAGATCGATCCCCGTGACATTCGCCGCCTGGACGAGGCCAAATCTTCGTGGAGAGTTAAGGCCCGAGACGACATAGACCGCACCGAAACCTAATGTCGAGTTGGCAGGACCGAGAGAGCTGAAGCTGGAGATAAGGCCGTGATAGGAGGAATTTAGGGTATCTCGGAAAACGCAATAGTATATCAAAATGAAGGCAGCAACCACGAGGAAATGACGCTTCCACTGAGCCAGCATCTTTCTCGTGGTGTAACGAGCATCCTTCATTGACTTTTGACGACAGAGGGTGTTTGATGTTAGTTAGAAAAGCGACCGAACTGAAAAATCAAAGACTGGGAATGAGTAGGATACAGGACCAGGACCATAGCAGAGCTTGTGGAACGGGTGGTAATATTAAATGGCAGCAGAGTGAATTGCAGGAAGGTTCCCTTTCTCGTCCCTCACGTTCCTGCAGGCTCCCGGCCGTTTCTGTTTCAACTTTCAACGGGCACCGCTCCAGTCCCTCGTCACTGACGTAAATTTAAAGAAGCTTGAGTGACGAAAAGTGGAATGCGATCAACGCTCCCTAACTTAATGTAAACGCTGCTGGGAACCCGGCAATCGTCACCATGGATGATTGAATGTGGGCTTGTCCGCTTTCGACTCTGTGGCCCCCGATGAGCGTATCGGAGGAAACAGCTGAACTGGCGTCCAGTCTTTGGACACATGAGATCACGGCATGATGTTCCCGTCGCGTACCTACCGATCCTTAAAAAGGGTGGGATGCTATCGAATTTACGATGCGCGTTACCATCGGATGCCTTCCGTGTGTATCACGAGAGCAAACGACATCTTGCTAGACCGATAGTCCGATACCTCCATCACGATGATATCGAGGGGGTAATGTCAAGACGTATCGTGAGAATGGGGGATGCCAACTATCTCAAACGGAGAATTTACTGGGTCGCCACGAATCGAGCGCAATGCACGTCTATCGCAATGATCGGATGCTAATCCCTTTCCCGGCTAGGGGTGGCGTTTCGGCGATCTTAGCCGCTTGGAGCGTCCCCTGTCTATCCCTCCACTAAACCAGATACACACTCCATGTTGGCTTTGTTCCAACAACATCAACGTCATCATCAACATCCGGCATGCTAAATGCTTCGATAATACTTTCGTACTCGTCTGGTACGATGTCGAAGATTTCCGAACGTTCCTTGTGGTTTCTTGTTCCATATGGCTTTCTCGAAAGCTCACAACGACTTCGGAGAGCGACTTGAGTTTGTTCTCGCTTAATAATGGTATTATCGCCGGTATCACAATCTCCTACTGTCGAGTTTGCGAGGACCTAGCCGGAATATGCAGATGAGCGGACAAATCGTATCTATCGGCCATCCTATTCTTATCGTCGATAAGCCTGGCCAAAATCCATCCATAAACCGAGACTAAGGCCTCCTTGGGGTGATCCAATCTTGCATCGACCCATGACCATGATTGTTAAACTTTTGCTTCGGCTGTCGATGTGAAAAGCTTCTCAACCGAACTTCAGTGCTTTCCTTGCTCTTTTCATCGAATTTCATTTCTCTCCATCTCCAGCTCTCGGCAGTAAGGAAGAACCAGGATCAGTTGGAGTTCGTAACCGTGTCCTTATAAGAACTGCTTGCATCCTAAACTCAGCGTTTCATTTTCCTGAAGCGAGAATGCAAAGTTATCGTTCCTTCCTATTCATTGTTACTTGACAGTATGCATGATGCTTGTTGAAAATGTCATTCATAATCTTTATACATCTTCACATGAGCCATTTCTGATACAGATAAAGACCATGATATTGCAACTTTGGTCTTTCTTTTTGGTTTCATTGAATAACTGCCTGAGACAGGTTCTTATGGCTCTCAGAAAAATCAGTGCCTTCAGTTGCTTGTGATGGTTCCTGCTTTAACATCTGCAAAGCCATATCTGTATTCATATCACATGAATACATGAATAGACACCCCGCCTCAGCCTAACACACAAGACTCGATCAGATGCCACGCAACGCCGAGGAGAAGATGACTCCTTAAGTGGTTATACAGGTTTTGGAGACACAGAGTTCATTGAATCGTATTATTCTGCGCACTATCCCGCAGAACGGTCTTCATGAAACTGTAAGAAGTGATGAACGCCTGTGGGAATGAATGAACAGGCAACCGCAACCGCAACCCTCGTTGTCCCAGCGAAACCTTCCAGGTATAAATGGATATCTATTGACCGATAATCGTATGACTGGTCCTTATATAAACAACAGCTGGTAAACGGTATCATCGTCACATTGCCATTCACTCGCTGAGTCGTCACTTTCTCCATTCATCATCGAGTATCTCCAGATCTCGCATCTCCTATTTTATCTTATTGCTGCAGTAAACTTGGACTAGGCCTTTCATGTTGAGGCAGCATAGTTCGTTGTTACATTCTATCCCCAAGCTTACCTACGTCGTGTCTGTTGGAAGCTCCAATCTCCACATCGGATCATGGTCAGTCTAATTGAACGCCACGTTCGCCTGGTATCTACCGAGTGGACATGTCGGAACAGGACCAGGAGGGTTACTCACTCATATCGAATTTAGGATTCCAACAAAGCCAACCAAAATCCTCGTAGTCCCTCGAAGCCCGAAGATGACTTCTACGGATCGTTCAGCAACCTGACACTCAAGATCGATGACAAGAAGACAGTTATCAAGAAAGAGCCAGGCGATGAGAACGAACACCCATCTTTCACAACCGACGCCGAGAAGCCCAGCACCAAAGGCCGCTTCCGCCCCTGCAAGGGCCCTTCTTCCGCCCAGGACCCGATCTCCGATACCGAAAAGGAGCAGCGACTCGAGGACCTCTCCCAGGAAGAACTCCGGCGCGTCTGTTCCCGCAGCCCCCTCTGGGGCAAGGTGCAAGGAAGGCTTAATAAGAGGGATGACGTCAAAGGCTATCAGACGCACGGTGATAGCTGGAGAAGGACGTGGGAGAGGCATTGCGTCGAACGTCCGTTCAGAAAGTTCGCCCAGAACAATGGCATCCACTTCGTGGATGTGGAGGGTTATCAAGCTTGCAAACTTTGGTGGGAGCGAGATTGGGATAGCAGGCATCCTGCTAGAGAGTCTGGTTGATGGGCGATGAACGAGCCATCCAGGAGTAGTTCATAGGGGAGGATATGGAGGGAGTTTGCCGGCTCATCGTTTGTCGTCTTCGCAGATGGTGTTTCGCGAACCCAGCGCGTGTCGAGCCTACTTTGCCTTGGTTTTTCTTTCGTTCCTAGGGAAGCAGCACAGACGCGTCGATATGAATTAACAGTAGAATCTTCGCTCTAACTCATTTTCTGATTTTCAATGCAGTGAACTTTATCGTTTCCTTGTATCAGATCCATCCAGGAAAATTCATCGGGCCTGTAGCAGACTCACCTCACACCCTTCATGTTGCAGTCCTTAAACATTACGTCAACATTCCTGACCTCGACTGTCAGTTCTGATTATCCGGTTATTCTTTTTGTCGGCCAGAATCGATCAAATCTGACGTGGCAATGATTCCGAAGGATCTCAATTTGGGATTGAAATCCATAGTGTTGGCGCCAACGCCAACAACATAGCCCCCCTCGGCTCAAACATGAATACGGCAACATATCAGGGTTGATATATCGGCATCTGTGCCCTCCGCAAGTCAAGACTGGAATATCATAACCCGATTCTCGTTCTCCAATCTGTGGTGAGAGGTCACTGGCTTTCTCACGTAACATCTATCCCTTCAGTGAAATGACTGTTCACTGAATATCTCGACTTCCTATCACGTCGATGACTGATTACTGCTCCCAGCGTTCACTGCAGCCGGAAACTTGAAAGAGGAAGATAAATCGTAATAAGGTGAACCAAGTGTTATCTCGACCGTAAAACACAATGCGTTCCACACGTTTAGCGGTGACATGCCCTCTAATTTTAGCATTTCATGCGACACTTGTGGCCTCGAGCTTCTTGACCGTCACGTCTCGATATCAATACAAGGAAACAACGGCGCAGCAACAGATAATATCATCTCGCCAGACGATCAAAGTCCGACGTGGTACTTGCCGCCTCGCCAATCTCTGCTTCGACCTCGATCCATGACTTATACAATATCACCTACATAATCTTCTACTACGCGCCCGACACAGTCCCAGAGCAGAACATTTCCAGCTCCACTGCGTCTCCCACCTCCACAGGACCTCCCAATGCGACTAGTTGGTACCAGCCGATTATCTGGACAGCTCCAACGAAATGCTCGACACCATTCACCGTATCGACAAGGGCGCAAATCACCGTGCCACAAGCGGTATGGGACCAGCTCACTCCCACTTTGACTACAGTAACGACGCGAACGCTCAGCACATACCTGCATTTATACGTCAACCTGGACTTGAGTCCCGGGGCGATTCCCATGGCGACGCCGACCGACGGATATACCTACTCCTTCATCCAGAGCTGCAGGAACCCCGCGACAGCAGTCAATTCCTTTGAGTGGTTGGGGCCGGGAGAGGAGTACGCGTAGAAGCCACCTGGGAACAGCATCTGTCCTCGCCTGATGTCCTGCGACCACTACTGGGCGATGGTCATCGCACTAGCAACCATCCTCCCCATCGTTTTCGTCCTCGGCTTCTTCGAATCGTTCTTCTGGTTCCGCCGCATGGTGCTGGGCCAGAGCGCCCTGCGGATCGGGACCGTCTGCTGGATCCTCATCACGGTGTGGATATTGGGCTTCACTCGGATATTGGTTTCGAGATCGCCGGACAATCAGCAGGCGCTGAAGCAGCAGTGGGAGCAGATGCCGTTCGCAAGGAAGTGGAGGCTGTGGCGGAAGTGGGCGTTTCGACACACTTATCCGGACCAGTTGTTGGGCCCGGAGCCGGTGCGCGGGAGAGAGGAGGGAAGCGATCGGGATCGTGTCGCGCTTGGAAGCGAGGAAGGAAAGTGGATGGGAAAACGGGTGTGTTGGATGCCGAGAACAGCCAGGGCGGAGAACTCTCTTCTATCCCTCCTCCGCCGTACACGGGCCCACGGGGAATCCGGCTGCTTAACTGGTGTGAGTGGTAATGTCAGAACGAAAGGATTACTATGTAATGTTGTAATCTCAGTCTGGAGGTAGCGGAAGCATCTAATGTAATGAATAGCGTATAGTTAGTTACAGACAAATTAATCATACTGAAATGATATACTTGCCCTTAACATACGCTTGAGACTATGTTCATTAGCTACGAGCAGGGAGATATACTGGTAGCACTCAACATTGTTGTATCGAGTCTCGCATTCCCAATCGTCCCTCAACCCATCAATGTAACAGGATAGTAAGTTCCCGATGCGAATAACTCCTTTTAGCTGGTTGCTTTGCCCGACACACTGCTCGTCTCAGCCTTCCCTCAAGTCTTAACATTCATACTCCAGCATACTCACCTCCAACATGCAAGTAGCCAAGTAGACAATTCTATTGGGCGACACAATAAAATGGCCAGCCTAGTTCCACGGGTTATGAATAGCATATAAATCTGAGACAATATTACCAATCCCGCGCCCCAGACCATGTTGCTGGGTTGCATCAATAGACATTGGACTAGTCTAGCCCCAACAAGTGAGACAACCTGCGGGACGCGGAGTGATACCATCTGGCGCCTGCTTCGGCGAGAAATCACGATAATCTAAGACTGGTGCATCGACAATGCATTTCTCGATGAAGCTACCCATGAATTCGTGGAGCATCTCCCGTCCCGCCGATTGCATGTCAGCCGTATTCCTTGCTTCGTCCATGTTCGAGACCGAGAATCGCATGACACTCATACGATCCACGATGCCCAACGTGAAGACAACGGACACGAGCGACAACTAACGAGACATCAGGATACGGAGTCCATAACTAAGATCATGAATTCATAATACCTGACTCGACGATGTTTAGCGGAATCGGCCAATTTCCGCCACGAGATGGTAATCACCTCAGGTGGCTCGTGGGTCGTGGCAATCAATCAGCGACAGGACGAATCGATGATCAAGGACGGCATGGGCCCGTAGTTGGTCGTTGCTCGCGCAGTGATCAGCAGTGATCACCGTCGCTTGACAGTTGCCCGCCGATGCGGAAATGCCGGATAACGGATTCGGGATACGCGTGCATACCGTACTTTTGTCCGAACTCTTCAGTTACAGATATTATTCAGATTTCAGGGCCTGCCGTTCGAAACTTCTGGTCCAGCTAAATTTGATGTTCATAAAACGCAACGCAAGTCGGAATTAGGAGGAGTTTCGCCGACCAACCAAACATACATGGTACATCCATTCTTCCGTCCCTGTTCTTCGCACTCCTTTACCCCTTACCTTCCCTCCACCATCTGCAGTGAATCCGCGACTGCGATCTGCGATGATGAGATTGCACATGCAGACGCCGATGATGCAGGCTGGCCTTGGATACGAGGACCCGTCAATGGGAAAGACGCGGTTGTCGCCTGCGTTGATGCACGCTTGAATAGTCGAGAAGCGGGACAGGATCTGGGGTGTTTGAAAGGGTTCTTCAACTCGAGCTTCCATGTTGGACTTCGCGGACGGCGAATCCGAGTCCTCTTATTCGCTTCGCAAACGCGGGTCACGCTGGCGGGCCGAAAGGCTGACGAACAACGTGCGGGCCATTAACTATATTTACAAACACACTACCATTCCCTTGCCTTGTATGGAACTCAGGGGACGCTGAACCAGCATGAAGAAGAGGACATGTCGGTGCGGTGAAACGACATAACATGGGACGACTTTGAGAGAATCACGGTATAAAAACGCAGTAAAAGGTATGGTCAAGCTGTTTCGGTATACTTGAACAAGGAAACGATGCTCTTACAGATAATAGACGGTATGAGATCCACGTCGAGACTCATCAGCTGCCTCATCATTTCCTCTATCTCGTTCTGGTTCCTCTCCTCCTATCGACGGAGGCAATAATCTTCTGCCGCCTTCTTTATCATTGCTTCATCTGGCTCCGGTACTTTGATGTAGCTGTCGGCGAGTTCAGGATTGTCAGATTTGTTCCTGGGCACAAGGGAAAAGATTGAATCGAAACTCAGAGCGATCCAAGACTTCATACTCCGTACTTGACTTTGCTAAGAGGAGACATCGTGAAGGGGTGATGTTATTCGATATTTCTGCTGCTGTTGCGTACCAGACACTGTAATCGCCGACAAGCTCTCCTGACGCTAGCACTCAGGCTTTACGAATTACGATGAAGCAATGCAAGACATTTGGCAAGGTATTCCTTGTTTAATTCCAGATATATCTCGACGCCAATTATCACGAGGTCTAGCAAGGTTTAGCCATGTAGTATGCGAATGGGCACGAGCACACCTTGCTCAACGTCTTCAAGGGTCGCCTGTCAAGTGCTCGGATCCTTCGCACTCCGCCCCTCCGGGCGTCGATCGTTGATATCGAGAAATTGGACTAGCAAGGACTAAAATCCTCAGGATTCTTCCACTCATCTTCTGGAAGATTGTAGCGGAGTGACATGACACCGTGGCAAGTGCGAGATTTGCAGCCGAAACACCCGCGTCTAACTAGTATGGTACCGTAACCTCCACCTTCATAATCGAATTATGATCGACTCTTGATCGACTCTTGATCGACTCTTGAGAAGGCTGTTGAGCATCGGGGACAAGCACGAAGGAAACAGTTGAACGTGCCGACATGACCTAAGGTGCCATAAATATCGTACGATCCCAATTCGCAAGTGTTAACTTCAGTCTTCGAGTCTAGAGAGTTGCATCACTCGATCCGCGTTTCTCGCCGAAGCTAGTAAATCATTGGCTTACCGAGGCAGCCGGAGTCAGCATATCCTGTCGTATCTAATTTTTTAGCACGAAAGAAGGAGGGACGAAAACCTGGTTCGAACAGGATCTGATGTCAAGGAAGCAAACTTAACAACGCCACGGCCCACGACTCCACGAGGGTGTCCCCGCCAAGAGATTAATTAATCCTTAACGAAAGCTTGGAAGTTGGAGGATCCGAATTTCTTGAGGAATTGAGGATGTACATTGTACCTGATACCTCCCGTATGTACAACGGAATATTCCTATCTAATTTGAGCGCGGATCCCACGTGCCAGGATGAATCCCGAAGCGCTAAACGATGTCCAGCTGAAACCTCACTGAGCCGCTATTGATCGCCATACACCGTATCTTGAGATACGCTGAAAAACACATACAAATGCAAATTCAGTCTACTTTTTTGATTTCTTAATTGGAAAATATCTAATATTCCGTATGCCACCCTTTTGCCTTGATTACCGCCTGTAGACGTCGCGGAATTGAGTCAATCAGCTCTCGGATCGTCTCCTGCGGGATCGCCCACCACGCCTCCTTTAACGCCGCATTCATGGCCTCCCGTGCCTCCTCCGAGGCGCCCATCGTCTTCAATTCAGGGTGGAGCTCTATGACCTTGGTTTTCAACAGTTGCCACATGTGTTCGATGGGGTTGATGTCTGGGGAATTGGCCGGCCAATCGATGACCCAAATGCCGTGCGTCTCCAGCCATTCTTGGGTGATTTTGGCCGTATGGATCCTTGCGTTATCCTGGATAACAACATCCCCGGCCCCCGCGGTTGACAAAAAAAGCGAGACTCACAACAGGAACCCCTATTCCCACCAAAATCCTTAACTTTGGAGGCTTATATCTCTACGAAGAGTAAATAATATTTTATAAAATTAAATCACATCATTTAAACTAACCCAAAAAGCTATTTTATAAAGATTTTAAATTTAAATAAACGTTATCTGTTAGTTATTTCTTGCCTACCTTTTAGCTTCAAGAAATTGATGTAGAAACAGCCTACCTTAGGCGGCGCAAGACAATATCCCAGGACCTATATACAATTAAGATTCTAGAAAAGTAGAATATTATTAACTCGATACTCTGAACTTGTATTTTAGCTTAAAGTAATTTAAAATAATTATTGGTTGAGTTATGAGCCTCCAAAGGTGAGGATTTTGGTGGGAATAGGGGTTCCTGTTGTGAGTCTCGCTTTTTTTGTCAACCGCGGGGGCCGGGGATGTTGTTATCCAGGATAACGCAAGGATCCATACGGCCAAAATCACCCAAGAATGGCTGGAGACGCACGGCATTTGGGTCATCGATTGGCCGGCCAATTCCCCAGACATCAACCCCATCGAACACATGTGGCAACTGTTGAAAACCAAGGTCATAGAGCTCCACCCTGAATTGAAGACGATGGGCGCCTCGGAGGAGGCACGGGAGGCCATGAATGCGGCGTTAAAGGAGGCGTGGTGGGCGATCCCGCAGGAGACGATCCGAGAGCTGATTGACTCAATTCCGCGACGTCTACAGGCGGTAATCAAGGCAAAAGGGTGGCATACGGAATATTAGATATTTTCCAATTAAGAAATCAAAAAAGTAGACTGAATTTGCATTTGTATGTGTTTTTCAGCGTATCTCAAGATACGGTGTATGGCGATCAGATTTGGTGATTTTCGGGAGTGTGCACAGACACATGTCTACTTATTGTACTAGTAGTAATCATGAACTCATGTCGAGGTCAGATATTAGGAGGCTGCTCTTTATTCACAAGTCTTGGAACTTGCAGGACTATCTCAGGCTTGGAGATCGGACAAGAAACTAAATGCTCATCAGCTCTTCTCTAATTGCCATCTACCGAAGATATCCTGTCACCTGTGGAGTGTGGATTGTGCACACGTAGTACCGAAGAAGATCCCACTTCTTTATTCATTAATGCCCATGTCGCATTGGTTGCAGATTACGCCGATCCTGCTTAGGATTGTCTCTAGGATCTCGCGGATCACAGGCCATCTGCGGTCTGCCGCATTGCCGCATAAATGAAGGCAACTTCGATAAATTATATGGAAGCCTGCGGCAATGCAGCCCTGTCGGATCCAAAAGCTCCCATCTCATTTCCCACGCAGTGACACCCAATTAAAGTTATCAAGATACGTCCCATCACTCCGATCGGTCGTACCTGGACGGTTGACGTCCGATTCGGTTACTCTGGTCCGTTCGCAACACCCTTTTTATGATACAATTGGGCCCGAGATCTGCACCTTGATCACAATCGGGAACAGTCACAACAAATATATATAGAGGAAAAGCCGAAAACGGGTCGATGATCAAATTTGGCCTCAATTTGATACATCACCTCTACAACTTTTGTCCCAAACGTCCAATGTCTGGTGCTACAGCCTGCCGATCCCTTCCAAATCTGTCGAGCCGCCCAGCATCTCAACAGGCAAACAATTGGAAAGGCTTATGATAAAGTTGACAAACATGCAGTAACTCCCGAAGAGTTTCCTGCAGTAACAGAGCATTAAGAGATGTCTGCACTTTCCGCATGGCATCGCTTTTCAGGAGTCGAGAGTTGGGACAAAAGCTTGACACCGAATGACTGGCTTTCGGGTAAGTGGACCGCCGTTCCTGTGTGATCAGCGACGGGAGCGACCCAAGCGAACACCGCAAATCAAAAATGGTCCCGACTCCGCATCGCATCACCAAGGAGATTGAACATGTGAGGCTAAGAATGGGTCGACTTTAGAGCATCTTTCCCTCCTCACAAATGATAAAGCGATTATTTGTGGACTTTTGCATGGGCATCATCTCAGCATTAGCATAGTCGTCAAATCGGCCCGCCCGAATGCGACGTAAATCTGTACGACTTGGGGGAGGCTAGAGAGTTGAAGGGCACACTCTTCTCTTTCTTCATTCCTCAGCAATCAGCACCGATTCCTGTCATCAGACATGCAATGTGGGCGTACCCGTGCGCCAGTTCTGTTAGCCTCCTGCCTCCAAGTGTGCCCTTCCGGTTAAGGAAGCTCGTCAAAACCTACCCTCTCAAATCTGAGATCCACCAGCCGAAAGCCTGATTTGCCGTCAGCAGGGGGGTTGGCATAAATTTATGCCTGTTTATCGCACTTTTCTTGGCTCGATGGCCCCCAATGGCGCCACGATCTGTAGCCGAACCGCCAACGAATCAAGGAGGGGACACTGGAATCTCTATTCAAGTTGTGGGGGCGTGTCTCGGAACGATTTTCAGCAGCCGCAGGCACTAAACTCGACTAAGTACCACTGTGGAGTGGGGATGGCGCTTCAGGAGACAAAAGCACACCAGGATCGACAGCTCGTTAACTGCCGCCTTGCCGCAACGATGCGGCATATCGCATATCTGTGATCTGACAAACTGTTTGGCTGATGCCACGTGAGTCATGGCAATAGTAAGACGGATGTCAAATTCCCTCGACTATGGTTCGCTTGTATTTCTCAAACAGAGAGGAGTGTGCCATCGGACATCGGCCATCGGGATTGAACCCCACTGGACCGTTCAGACTTCAAGGGGTCTGGCAAACACGAGGGATCCAATGTTTTTCACCGTTGAAAGTAGGCCAATTCCAATTTTGGGAGAAGCCTCTCTCCTATCTCCACAGTCCACCATCCTCGTCCGAATCGCGACCATTTAGAACCAAATTGGCAGGGTCCGACGTTCCTTGACGAAGACGGCGAAAACGGCGAGTCGGGGGCTTGAACAAAGGCGAGGCGTGGGCAATTGGGATATTGCAGGTCTCCACTAAAGATGCTCGGTTGGAGTGACCGCAGGAAACAAACCTTTATGCAGGCGTCATGCAAATCAAGTGTCCTGGGCACATTCCCCGAAATGGATTTGGGATGGATTTGCAAGGAAGCGTCCTAGATCATCGCCTTCATTGGACGGACGGTGGATTGGAGCGCCGTCAGCGTGGCCGACAGGGAGACAGGGTCGAGAGCACAGCCAGGGGGCGTCCCAAAACACGCTGTGATGATCGTCCCGGAATCCCGTTTGTGCTTTTTGCAGCTGGCATGGATTTTGCAACGTTCTCGACGGCTCTACCAAATGGCCACTGACCAAGTCATTCGCATCGCAGCCCATTGGAGAACTACATCCAACGTGACTCGTCAATCACTCGAACCGCACCCAGCTATGCAACGTCAAACCCTCTGTCTCACCAGTGACCTGTCCCTTGGGCTGGGGTAAAGCAAGGGGATTGTCCTCCTGCGGTTGAAGTATTCTGGTCAACAATGGAGAGTAAGTCTCCGGAAATCTAGAAAGTTATTAGAGGACTGGTCACACATCCGTCTGATGAATGTTCCCTGAGAGGGGTCCTGGAGCAGATGAGCACATGGATCTGGAATATGAAAGACAAGTGAAGTGGCTTGTCGAAGAACTTTAGTCAGTATCGGTATGGCCTGGTGGACTCGTATCCAAAGGATTATCTTCATATCTTGAGGACGACTCCTTTCCAGGGCCTAAAGCTATCACATTGCATTCGAACCCCCACTGCTCCTCTATAATCCCCATATTCACCCTCGCCGAGTAGTCGATCTCGTAGATATCAAACAGGAGTGTCGAGGTCTAAAACTGAGCATGACTCCTGTACGTATCTGAAAATCTACAATAGCCAATACTCAATCGTGGTTGATCACCCTAGGTCAATCTCATCTGCTCTGATAATGGATCGCCGCTCTAAACATCAGTTCTCTAAAGGGCCTCCCTTGTTTCCGTCAATCATTTCGTAAAAACAGGATCCACCAATGCGGTTCTTCGGTAGTTCGAGGGTGATGCCAGTACGACAAATCGAGTCCGAAACCTGGAATCGATAGCAATTATGCAGATGCCGATGTGTAAATTCCAGTTTCTCTTCTCCCGTTCTCCAAATCTCCACCCCACGCCGTCATTGCACCATTCGCTCCCCCATCCGGCTAGATTTATCAAATTATCAATGGCATAGACTCGCACACTAACAACGCTAAGGGTTGCAGAATCATGCCGTTCAACAGAAGCAAGCTTTCGAAACCGTGGACAAACATGCAAGGGCGGCACGGCAATGAGAAAGTTAATATGGTGGCGGTCCGACTCGCAGAGGGCTGACCGGCTGAGGCGTTCCCTCCACGTTCCAGGCCTCCAAGCTCTTACTGTGCTTTACATCTCGAGTCTAGTTTACCAATTGGATGCGCGTGTGAACCTATGAGGGTAGTCATTCGCACCAGGCGTCCTTATGGGCGCCTCCTGAGTATCGACATCTCCTGAATCTTCCCATACTCAAATATACCGTGCTCGTGAAGCGCAAGCATTTTGACCCCAATCACTCGCTTGATCACCTCCGCGGCTGCTCACCATCCGGCTCTCTAGGAGAGCCTACCGTTTCTCACGTTGTTGGACTTTATTGAACGTTTCTTCCCCCGCCACCATGGCTCATCCAATGATCCTTTATCATTGACAGATTTCATCTCATTTTTCAATGTTCGACCATACTGTAGCTGCTGAGCTGGCGGACACGCTAATGCCCAGGCCTTCTTTGGTCTTGTTGTGGCCTGTGGGACTTGAATTGTGGAGTGTCATCGGTAATTTCGAAGGGAACTACACGATGATCCACACTGCATAGCCTCCAGTGACGTTCCTCTTGCTGATCCTTTAGGAGTCGGCAAAGATGGATCAGATCATCAGATCCAATTTTCCATATTCACATTTCACAATATTCACCTCCTGTCGCTTCCTTGCGGAGTTGCGGTGGTGCATAATCACCTGTGCGTCGACGCTTTAAGGAGAGGGCGTGCGGCAAAACGTCCCGTCAATTTGGATCGGAACCGAGATCGTGTGCACACGTCGTCTGTTTCTGGCAACGCCCCCTCTCCTGTATCGCTCGATTTGTGCTTTGCAGAAAGGAGAAACTAATCTGGAAATAAGTTCGTCCGCCATCCCGCGCATCCGCCCACTGAACGCCGCTGTACACCGCAGAATCCTCTCATTACTCAGTCTGTAGGCTGTAGCCGAGGAGCTCTCCTTGCACGACATGCCTCCTGTGGTGTACTAAGCACGCTCCCACCCTCGAAGCTCGAAGCCCTTGACCTGCAACTCACCCTATGGTAACCTGTCGTTTTCCCACAGTATTATTGATCTGGTCCACGGTCCACCGAATCAACCCCGGTCAGCGTTGTGCACAACTGAATCCTGACCCTCAAAGACCCTGGTCAATCGCTGTCCAAAACGAGTTTCTGCTCCGTCTTGTGTCTGCCTTTTCTGGTCCTGGGCTTTGAACTTTAGACAGACCTCGCCGAACTACAGCCGCTGTGGTGATAAGCGGGCAGGATTTCCGGTGGATCACCGTCCCCCGTCCTGAGTCTAATCCAAACAACGCTCCCGGTCATCATCCACGTCGGCGGCGACTTTTGGTCGTTGGATGCCGTCGCCCGCTCCACGCCTGTCGCCTGCATTATTACCGTTGGGTCATGGGTGGGCCTACTGGCTATGGGGACAGGACCTAGCATCGCTGTGGGCACCTCTTGCGCTGTTCCTCACTTCCCTGCCCATTTAACCCGCAACAATAACGGACATCTCATCTCACTTGATGAGGGCGAGATCGCCTGGGGTTACGTTGTCTGATCCATCCTCTCGGTGACGAGCCGCCGCTTTTGGCGCCAACAGCCCACTGTCCAGTACCAGGGAGTCCTAGCGAAACTCTCATCTCAATCATTCCTTCCCTTCGGGATCAACATTCGCCGCACTGTCCGTGCTCGACTTTCTCTCCCACAAATGCGTGGATCGTCCCGCATTGTTGTTTAAGATAGAACCCCTTCCCACTTCGATCTAACGGTGGTTAATTGGCCTATCGAGCGCCGAGGACACCTTCTTAAGTTCTTATACTCACCCACAGCCTCCTTCCACCGCGCATTGCAGGGCGATTCTTCGCCCTTGAGGTCCATGAGCCATGCAGTTATCCACCATGGTTCACAGGAGTGAGAGTGACGATTTCCACCGCCGGCATTTCGAACATCCTAATCTCCAGACTCGGTCACATAATACTCATTCACAACCGGTTTCCTCCTTAATCTCAAATTCTTATTCCAGCGCGGGTGCGAACAGATCCATGGGCTATTCGCAACAAAGAACTCCACAGTCCCCTCCTTCCCCACCGGGAGAGGAGGTTAATAAACTGTCCTTGCCTTCAATATCCAGTCTTCTAACTATTGCTGATGGTGATAAAGCAGTAGAGCATGGTAAGTCTTCCAACTGCAATGGGCAGAAGCCGTGTCTCATGGTTTTCGCAGGAAAGCAAGCACCAAAACCACCAAGTCCGCGGGGTCATTTATCCCACCAAAACCATGGACGACACTCATTTCACCAGCCTACACCCTCAGCTTCATCCATGGAGAGTGCTGAGAAGTATGCTTCAGGCTCATTATCACTGGGCGCACACAAGATGACCTTACCTCCAACTCCCCCATTACGACCCGATGGATTTAATGATGGTAATCATTCGCCGACATCAGTATCGGCTCCGTCTTCGATTTCCTCATCCGCTCCTAATTTTTCTCTTGGTTTAATTAACAACATGGACCCCACGTCGCAGCGACAGAATCTGTCGCTGCCGCCACGAAGAAAGCCGGGACCGCGCCCAATTTGTCCTCCTGGACTCTCCCCTTATGGGGCCAATTCCTCCCCCTATTCAGCATCGCCATACGGCAACTCCCCGGGTAACGCAACTGTCTCTTCATGGGGATCGGCCAGCAACTACTCACCCGAAAATGTCATCTACACCTCGATTCCATCAGCGTACGGCCCGAATCAACAGCGGCCTCTCCCCGCAACCTACCCTCCACCTGTTCCTCCAACTCTCCAGGTGCAACATCAGCCCTCAATCATCCATTCCACCCTCCCTTCACCGCAAGCTTCGGGCAGCAACCCTTGGCAGCACCATCACTTCATCTCTCCGTCGGCATCGTCCAGCTTCCCCAGCAGTCAGGATCGATACGTCTGCCCGACCTGTGCGAAAGCATTTAGTCGGCCCAGCAGCCTCCGGATCCACAGCCACAGCCACACTGGCGAGAAGCCGTACAAGTGTCCGCACCTTGGCTGTGGGAAGGCATTCAGTGTCCGCAGCAACATGAAGCGGCACGAGAGAGGCTGTCATGCGAGTGGTGGCGTGATGGTTAGGTAAGTTGAACCGACACCGGGTAGTCCGGGGTATGAACTAACTAGTGGCATCAGGGCGGGGAATCTTCCATATTGATTGACGATCTACGACGATGACTGCGCGACGATATTCCTGGGGAGGATAATTCATCCCTCCATTGCCTTTTCCTTCTTGTTACCCCTTGCCTGGCGCGAACGGCGTTATCCGACATCTCTTCCGGTGTTATGTACGAGTCCATCCCTCAATGAACCCTATTTGTGTTCCCTTGGTTTTGGTTGATAGGTCTCCATTTTCTGGCCGGTTCTGCACTACCCCCTTTGGACTAGACATTTTGTTCATGTTGTGTGATCATCTATATTGCTTCGGGCCGCCCATATTCCTGTTTCACTCACTGGGCAATCCAATGCAGGAGAAGCATGTTCCTTTCAGGTATCGCAGCCTTTCTGCACGATCTCGTTGGTTCGCATTATACCCGATGTTTAACGTCACTAGGGTTTCTGCCTAGATCCACGGGACGAATGGGTCAGATGGCATCTATTCAAATATTGTGTATTATATTACATATTGGGTGGCTACGTCGGAGATGAGATCGGGTGCAGATCAAAGTAGTATGACGGAAGGCGTTTTATTTCGCCACCAAGCCGGTGTGCGACAGTGGTCGATCAGCGAATGAACATGAACCCCAATCTGGGGAAGTTTACTTCTTTGTTTCCATGATTCTTGAAATATGCGTGTTGTCTTTGTCGGGGCATGGAAAGCTAGGGGCCTTTTCCAATGACATGCGTCTCGATGTTCAACCAGCCTACTCCTGGACTGGTTGCACTAGTGCGTATCCATGACCTTCCAACTAATCATCCACAAGGCATCCGTTTTCTGATATCATATCCCAACACCAACACTTGTTTAGGGCAGGGCATCTCCTTACGTTATTCTTTGTCTCGGATAATGCATTCAACCACATGTAGGGAGCCGATTCCTCGTGAGCCAGGCCGCCAGCTCGTCAGATACAGGAATGTACAGAGACCAAAACATTTCAGAAGTCAGGAGTCTCACAAATACGCCTGTGTCACGTCATCGTTGCCCACCGACATGGCGGCAGTGATCCATCTCGTTTACTCTCGCGGAGAATACATGGCATAGCAGCCCCGAGGACTCTCTTTGGATGAGGTGAGATCCATTCAAACAATAATGGGTAGATAGGTGTGCCACAAACGACGAGATAGTGTGGATGGCGTCGAGTGCTTCAACAGCGGACAATTATTGACCTTACTGCCACGATAAACGCAAGGACAACCCAAAGAGGACAGGCGTCCCTGCATGGGACGGAGATGGCTGGGATGACGTGCTGACTTGGGGTTGGTGAGAGTTCCGCATCTTTAGACTTGCTCGTTGTCAGTCAAGTGACGAGTGTCAAACAGTCCGCAGGCTGCTGCAATATAGCACACTAAGGTTTGATGACCACTTTCGGGTCGATCGCCTTGTACAACCGGAATGAGGACCACCCATTCATTTCATCTGTTCTGTTGAAGTACAGCAAGGATCTGTCCCAACTCTTCTTTACTACTGCAGCCACCCGATTCAGAGTTTTTTAACTGCTAAGACCAATCAATCTCGACCAAGTAAGGCCATACCATCGTATGGCATCGATTGTTCACTGCTCTAATTTCAGTCTTCATGTCCACCAAGCATGAGCCTGGCTGGATGATCCCGTTCTCATTCTTATTCGTATTTTAGAATGCAGCCGAGCTCATCAGCGAGTTCAGAGGTGACACAGCAGCGAGATGCAGGACTACCTATACAGGGATGGATCACTCTGTGTTCCACGTGGATGCAGGCATGTGTCTCAAGGCAGTGGAAACTTTGATAGCATGGCACAAAGCAAACCCTCGGGATGCAGCGACGCTCGAATCCGTAGTTAGCGGCAACTTGAGAAGTAGGCAGGTATTATGGACTCCAGATTCCCGGAAATGGGCGACGAAACCCGCCCGCTGATTTGCAGTTATGCCCTTGGCGTAACATGAATGAAGGACAAATAGGAGGACAGGGAACGTAAAAGTATATACAAACCTCGTTTGGGAAATGAATACTCCGTAGAGTTTGAATCGCAGAGAGTTTCAAGACACAGATCGATGATTGGCGCTAATCGTGGATTTGATAGATCACTTGCTTGGCATGCAGATTCTCGAGATGCAATATGCTATGGCAGAAAGCCGATCTCCCTCCATATTGCGTTTAATATCATGCAGGAAGAGGGAATATTACTTCAGCCGGCAACATGGAGAACACGGCCCTTGTTTAACCCCCGGTGTTGTAACGCCGGGGACGGGTGGCACAAAGTGTGCTTTGAGCTTTCACACCACCGCTGCATCTCGCCGCTTATGCCCAGGCTCGTAGATCATCTGCCAGCTTCACAACCGCTGAGTCCTGGTGCGACAGATCCTCCCAACGGAAATCCAACCCGTTCTCAGTGCAATCATACGCATGTGCAGCATCGCTCCCATTTCTCGGAGCCTGACCTTCCGGTTGGAATCCGGGCCACGGTGGCATCCTGATTCCTGCTGCGTCTGCAGCTAGGTGTATTCAAGAGCCGAAGGGGAAGGGTCTGGATCTGTCACATTTACTGCCGTGTTTCCATCCCGCCATCCATGGACCATGATCCAATACACGCCACATTCTGCGCCTGATTCCGGCCGGAACCTTTGAGATTGTCCCGCGTGGCCAGCACATGGTTACCACATGGCTTTCGCGTGCGGAACACATGGGTGTCACGGCAGTCAGCAGGGCTGCACATCGCTTTGTTGAGGATTGAAGCTCGCTTTCTGCACCCGGAACCGCCGTGGCGTTTGGAGGGAGAACAGTAGAGCGGCCTGTCTTTCGCTTGGAGTGTATGGCTGCTAGTTGGCGAGATAGATAGATTGGCATGTAGTACACAAGATTGCAAAAGCTGAAAAGGCGGTCGGCATAGACTTGTGCGCTCCTTGGAAGTGGAAAAACTCCTGAATTTAGGTGAAAGGAAATGCTGTATCTAACCCCTGAAACGAACCGATTTGTACATGCGCATATTTTTTGAGGAATACCGCAGGAAACCAGCGCTGGCAAGTTGCTGGAATTCTTCCGTACCCATCTCCACACACCCACCCCCCAGTCCGTCCCATGACAATTCCAGCAGCCGTCCACCGTTGACATAATGCAACGGGTTTTGGGATGCAAGGTGTTCTGGAAGACTGGGATAGCTAATTGGTGTCTCCGTTATATCGGTATGAAAGCACATCGAAATTTAGTAGCTAGGTCAAGTCACCTGACCATACCATACCCGTACGTCTTCAGTCTACAACGCTCACGAAACAATCAGCAGCGTAACTCCGCATGCACAGTGACACTCTCCGTAAACATACCTAATATGTGATGAATTCCTGGAATTTCTGCGGGCAGTCAATGCCCGTAGACTGTAGAGTAGTCGAGCCTTGCGCCCACACTCCACAGCCCACAGGGGCCGGAGCCCATCACCCATCAACTCCTAACGAGCACGATGGCCCAGATACAGGCAGTCCTCGGATATCTCAAGGCTTACATTGGGACCGGAGACACAATGAATCCAGGTAAATCCCAGGTTGTCACAGCCAGAGCCTCGAGACACAGACACTAACGAATTTAAGCCTGTGATGCGCTGCCGCAACAACTATAATTACGGCCTCATTATTGCCTCTAACGGCAATGGCCTCGATTCTCCCATGGGAGCTCCTGGCATGGTGACTGTCTGGACCTACGCCTTAGGCAACGTCTCCCAAGCGGGGCATCGCCTCGCCTTGCGGTGTTTGACCAATGTGGTACTCTCGTCGCCGATGAGACAGGTCTTTGTCAAAAAGGCGTACCCAAGGAAACCAATAGAGCTCATGATGGTGTATGTTCTAGTCCAATCATACTTCTTCTCGAGGCACTGACCTTCTAGTATGTCCACAATGCGACCGACGGCTGGGATGCATTTGTCGCTGCCAGGATGCTGCTTAACTGCGTGGCCGACGAGAATCTGGTTCTTTCGCATTTCTTCGAGAGCACCAGCCTAGCTGAGACACCCGACACGGTAAGTAATATAGTGCTTCTTCGCCTGCGAGCGCGTCACAGGCTGATGATGCGTTGTTCTGGGCATCGCTTATTATGCGCGAAATCAAGCGCTTCTATCCACGGAGTCTACAGCGGCCGACGATGAGTCGCTCAAGCTTCTTTCCACTATTTGTGTCGGTATCCAGACCAAGCTTCCCTGTTCCTTGAGTGTCTCGACCCGATCCTCAAATGGTTCGACAGAGCGACCGTTTTCCTCTCCACCTCTGCAGTCTCCCATCTCCCCCATTATCGACTGCCTCGCCACCTTCTTTTTCATTGCGGAGTATCATGATGAAAACACGCCTTGGCCACCACTCAACGATGTGAAGCTGGTCGACCTCCTCCATGCTACCCTCAATTTCCCCCAGCAAGACGAGTTGGAAGTAGCGTCTCTCGCCCCTTGTGGCTCTCTTTACCTTGATCGTGCGTGGTGGCCCGCCACCGGTTATAGCACAGCTCCAGGCACGACTGCTCCCATCTGACGAAGACCGAACAGTGGCGTTGGGGAACGGCAGTTAGCTGCCGCACAAGCTGGTGAGGATCAACATAGTCGCAGTCACCCCAGAGCTCAAGAATGGCTTAGGACTCCTGCTGATGGCGCTCTCGGGCGACAATTCGGAGCAGCTGGTACGCAATGTCGGATACGACTGTGCGTCTCGCTTACTTTTCTCTCTGGGCGTGCCGGTTCCGCCAGCCGACGACCAGGGGGGGTGGGATGCCGAGTCTCAGTCCGAGATTAATCCCATCACGGGCCAACACCGAGGCAGGGAGCAACAAGTAGACTTGCCGGAGATGACAGAGGTAGAGAAGGGGCGCGAAGCGGAGAGGTTGTTCGTCTTGTTTGAACGCCTACGGAGCATGGGGGTGGTGAACGTTGAGAACCCAATGAGGTAGGCCGTGGAATTAGGGCAGGTGCAAGAGTTAGAGGAGGGCGAAGATGACGATCACGATGACGATCACGATTATGATCGCAATGGCTGAAGGCATAGGTGAGTACACTGTAGTAGTTTAAGTGGCCCGCGCACATGCCCACGGAAGTTTGCCAATGTCTTAGCATGTGCGAGCGACGTTGACGTCGCCGACCGGCCCTCTAAATTGGCAGTAGGGAAAGTGCGCCGGGAAAATACGTGAGTATGAGTTGTGCTGTTGTGAAATTGAAGGAAGTAAAAGTTTATGGCTTGCGAAGATGATATGTGACAACTTAACAAGCCTCACAGGCTCTAGACTAGGCTGGACCGAAACGACGAGCTTCCGGAGCTTCTTGAGGGATAATGTGTGCTCGGTCTTGGACAAACGCTGAATCACCCAGTTGACCGAAGAAAATTCCATACGTCATCAGGAGCTGATGAGTGCCTCCTTCTCGGCAGCTTCAAGTTCTGCAGGAGCTTCCTCCGCAGCTCTGGCACAGCTGCGCCGGCTTGCAGAGGCGCGTCTCACGACGAGCCAAGTCAAGCCCACAAAAGCTAGAAGAAGCAGTGCACCTTTTGCTGCTGCGGCCCCGTGGCAGCTCATCTTAATCGCCCCTCGATGAGACCTATACCACGTCGAGCTACTATCCTTCTCACCCGGCAGCCGGCATTCCTCGACCTCCTTCCTCGTTACGCTGCTCCACACCTCCGCGGGAATCCATCCGATATACGCACGATCGCCAAACCCACCGATCCAATAGACTTCGTCGACAACCAGCCTCACCCAATGGCTATCATGAATGGGGTTTCCTGGCAGCCACGCCACGGCGTCCGGATGCGCCCTCGCGAAGCAAGGTGGGATACCCGCTTTGAACGCGTCAAAGGTTGTTATATCCTCCAGGTGGCCAACCAGCGAGAAACGCGGCATGCCGGCTGCGCTGTATACCGACTTCGCAGGGGGGTGCCACCGCATCGAGAGGGTGATGTTGCTGCCGGCATCGACGTTCTTGAAGCTGGTGGCGATCCGGATCGCCAGGACGGTGGGGTTGCCCGTCGATGGCTCGCAATCGGCGAAGTAGTCCATCAGACCAATAGGTGTGCCGCCCAGGCTGGTTGGCCGGTTCTCCGATGCATATTCATCGGACTTGCCAGGGAAGACGGTCGACAAGGTGCCGATGTTCTCCAGATGTAATATTCGCCTAGCCTGGACGGCAGACTCGTGAATGGTAGGTATCCGGTGCTGTGCCACTGCATCAGTCTCGGTGGGGTTCTTAAACAAGTATGCGGGATTCGGGGCCTCTTGAAGTGGTGTTGTAGAGCTCGTCACCACTGCTGTAAGTCCCCAGAGGACGGAGAGATATCGCATGATGGGCAACAACAACGCTACTGACAGAACGGCTCATAAGAAACGAAAGCACTCAGGTGGACGAACTCATGCAGAACCGAAAACAATGAACGTAACGGAGATAGCAATGGAGTATGACGATAACGAGATCATCCATGGCTGGGCGTGGATACCTTGAGCTGTTGGGCAAACAGAAGAGCGGGGCAAGCATCGGCACAGGGGCCACACACGTGCTATGTGCTCCCTGCCATTGTGGTGAAAGTTCAAACAGGAGGAGAGTAATGAGAGGCGTGATGCTTCTCGATAAAGAGATATCTAAAATTGACGAGAATGACATGCAATCATTCATTTTATTAATCGCTCCTAAAAAGTATCCCTTTGAATTGATGCACAGGTGAGGAGCTCTCGTTTCCTAGGCTTGGCGCTCAGATACCGTTGAACGGACACGTGACGTGAAATCCGGAACTATGTTCTTCCCGTACCGAATCTCACCACCTCTGACTAATCACGAACGTCGAAATCCCACCACCAAGCGGCAATTTCAGTGAGAGCACAATCTTGACTCCCATTATCCCCAGCCTTCTGGACGCCATCACCTGAGGTATGTATTGATTCCATCACGAACCTGCACCATCGAGCGAATATTGAACGCGAAATTCGAAATCGCCGAAAGCAAACTTCGACCCGAGTGAGCCACGATTCGCTAACTCCGACTTCCTCCACAGTCAAACGCACCGCATAAAACAACCGAACGCGAATCCCATCGACGCCTCATCAATATGGGAAAAGTGCACGGATCGCTCGCTCGTGCGGGTAAGGTCAAGTCGCAGACCCCCAAGGTCGAGAAGCAAGAGAAGAAGAAGGTCCCCAAGGGCCGCGCAAAGAAGCGAATCCAATACACCCGCCGCTTCGTCAACGTCACCATGACCGGTGGCAAGAGGAAGGTACGTGACGAAATTTGACTCCGACGAACGCTGTGGGATGGCGGGCTGATGATATTGCGCAGATGAACCCGAACCCGACGACGACATAAATCGCCCGAAACATTGACGGAGGGGACGGACGGTTGGCGTGGATGGAAGATCGATGATGGAAGGACATTCCTCGGAATGAGGGTCGAGGATAAGGACGCTTTGATTGCGGACAGGACGTCCCAGCCACTGTAGAAATACCTGACTCGGCAACACTTGAATCCTGCAACGGGGCTCTGGCATATCCGGCGGCGTTATGATGCTTACAGAACCACGGGCACGATATTGAAATGGATTGGCTTCTCGTCACGTTCTACTGCGACGTGCACAAATCGTGAAACTGAAACGGTGTCGTATAAACATTAAGTGCGTGTTCCGTTGAAGTATGCAAACGAAAGGGTATCATCAACGCTCCAAATACATGTACAGAGTGCCACTGGCCATCAATAGTCTCTCACCCGGATACTCGGATCACCACCCTCACTCCCGCAATCCTCGCTTCCCTCACGCAGCATGCCAAACAAGTCCCGTCCACTCCTCGATCCTTGCCGCCATCCTGTCCCACCCCTCTCCCTATCACCGCATCAAAGCCTTCTCTCGCACACCACGCCCTCGCCACTAACTCCAACGTCGCATCGGCTCGTGAATCTAGCACCAACACCCCTTTCTCCTCCCATTCCTCCTCATTCCTCGGCAGTGCAAACGATTTGCCCAACACCGACGCCGCCGGCACCACCGTGTACCGGTGCGACATGTGCAGTGGATGCGAAGGCAAGTCCTCGACGTGTGACTCCTTGTCTGCAGCGGAGTCGGCTACAGCGGAGTCGGCTGCAGCGCGCTTGATGACCGTGACGACCCGTGGCGGTCGACACGGCCAGGCGGAGATGAAGTAGACATCGTAGCGCAGTGCGACGGACTGTGTGCCGTAGTCGTCGCTCAAGGAAGTGCTGGAGAAGAGCAAGTGGGGGATGAGCTCTTTCGAGACCGTCCCCCCGGAACACTGGCTGCCCGGGTCGGAGGCTTGACTTCTCGGGCTGCCCTGACTGGAGCTCGATGGGTTCGTGGACGTGGGCGAAGGAACGAGCTTGAGGCCTTCGAACCAGAGCCCGGCGCGCTTGACGTGGCGAGGTTCGGACGGGATGATGAAGTTGTCCGCAGACGCTTGGATCTTGCCATTGCTCTCTTCGTATCTATCGCCAAGAAGTCCACGCACACCAGCATATGCGTTGAGCGTGTGGTCGCTCCCCTTCTCGTTGGCGATGACGACCCAGTCTCGCCGCCATCCAACCGCACCTCCGCCGACGTCGATCCACCCTTCGTGGTTGTCCATCGGCGCCACAGGCGTGCCTACCCAGCCCATGCATGATTTGGCTCCGGGCAGCCCCGCGAGCACGCGTCCAAGGACGCACTCGGTGCTCCACCAGCTCCGGCCCCCATAAATGAAGCCAGCAGTGAGGTTGGCGCTTTCGCCCACTCTGGCAAGCGCCGAGGGGGAATTTTCGAGCAGCGTCGCCAGGAGGAAATATGACGTCGTGGGTCCCGGAAGCAGCAGGCCGGTAAGGTAGGTTGGTGTCACCCATGACGGAGGCGTGGTAAATGTGTCGAGGGGGTTGGCCGTAGACCTGATGCTCGACATGACAGTCGAGGCGCCTGCGGTACCTGGGGTGACATATGGATCGGGGGTGGATGGACGGGACGGTGAAAGCTGGGCTGTGAGGTGAGTCCTCGACTTCTGCGTTCGAGGGCGGGATGGTCGACGGCCCGGACTTGAGCTGTTTCTACGTGAGGTTGGCCTGTTGAAATAATCCGTCTGCTGGCTGCTTGGTTTATTCGAAGGCGAGCAGATCGGGGTTTTATAGATACTCGGTGTCATAAGTTGGTCGGCACTGTGCTTTTGCATTTCCTTGAATGGCCGTCGGTACTTCTTGTTCAACTCCGATTCAAGTTCATCGATATCAGGCCAGCCAATGCTCTGGGCGAATGCGAGCAAACCAGAGAGCTGTTGATCGAGGTTGCGAGGAAGGAGGCATAGAATCGTCTCCATGTTTTCTGAGGCATCTTCTTGGTTATTTCCGGAGGAGAAGAAGGATTTCTTCGGTGTCGGTGGAGTCGAGACGGGTACTTGCGTGCAAACGACTTTGATGTTCTCTAGGAACCTCCGTGCAAGTACCAAATCCCAGCTCAGCTTCCTGGACTGAAGTTCCTTGAACCTGTCTACGTTTTCCTTGGTCAGATGCAAATTTTTGCGCACATATTCGGCCGAAGCCGCAGCAATGGCTTCGAGTCGAACAAGAAGTTCGGCCGCCAACGTGATCTGCAAGACGAGAACGTCCCGCTCGGGCAGACTGTTGTCGAACTGTTCCTCCTCTTGCTCTTCCTCAACCGTCCAAAAGAATTGGCCTAGACGTATCCGATTTTCCACCAAACTGAAATCGTACCAAATTCCTTTGATGGCCAGGATCTTGGACAGGCTTTCCACTTGCACCTTCAGTCCCGTAGGATCCTGCGCGTCAGGATCGAATCGTGGTGGTTGTAGTAGCTGAGCATATAGCAGCGCGTACAGCTCAGACGGGCTCTGCTTGTCCAATATACTCATCTTCTTGTTCGAGTGGCGGCAGCTTGCGTACATCTCGCCTAGCTCGGCCAACCGCTCGTAGACAATCATACGGTCAAACAATCGAATACCTAGTTTCCCCGGGCTTTGTTGAAACCGTCTCCAATTTCTCTGCGCCTCTTCTTCATGTGCATCGTCTTCTCCTTCGTAAAGAAAATCCGCATTTCCCAGCTGCGTAAAGAACTCGAACCCGACAGCACCGGCCTCGTTGCCATCTGCTCGCAACATATTCGGGAGTTCTTTCGCTGAGATGCAGAACGATGAGACATGGCCCTGGTGGTCATGGTGCTGGCTCGGAGCTGCGAGATGTGTTCGAAGGGTGGATACGGAGAAGGCAGGGTGTCGGATTGACCTCGAGTCGCTTGTATCACGCATGGTAAGATCGAACTGCCATGGAAAGCCAACCGAGACCTCGGGTGCATTACCATCGAGGGTTATAGTGTACTGAGGCGCGGAGGCAAAGAGTGTATGTATGTCGGTATCATTCAGCTCGTGGCTCACCGCTTGGGGCTCTGGCTCTGGAGTAGCGACGATGTCGGTCTTCGAAGTAGGTCGTTTCTCGTCACTGCGTTTCATGGTATCGTCTGAAGGTGTTGTGATAGCAGGAGCTTCCTTTGTCGGACTAAGATCCGATGCCACAGGTTGCGGGATAGACGCCGTGTCCTGTCTTGAACTTAGCAACGAACGCGGACACATCCACTCGTGCAGCAAAGCTCACCTGATTAGTGCCGTTAACTCCATGGCGTGCATCCTTCTCACGATTCTTTCGTGGTTTGAGCCCCTTTAACAATAAGCTCAAGCTTTGCCGCCTAGATTTCCGTCCCTTGCTCGAAACGTTGTCCATATCTTTGGCTATGGGACGATCTGGCGGTCCGGAGGTGTTCAGCCATTTGAATGGCATGATGGACTCAGCAGGTCAATTGAAGCGACATTTGCTGAGTAGTTCCGGGGCATGGTGACGCATGAGAGCAGTGCCATGTGTGGTGTGACGAGTAGATGATTGTGTTTAAGCCCGTGGGAGAGTTTGATCGACAAAATAGTTAAACAAGGCAGTGAAGGGACGGAGCTACATCATATCCCAGATTCCCACAGAAGCTGCGATGGCGATGTAATCCCTGCAGATCCATGCCCTCATTGAGGCTCGCTGGTGCGGAATAGCTACTCAGAAACTGTGGCGTTACTGCTAATCCCAGTGCCACCTCCTGACAGCAGCAGGTGTCATCTTCTGATGGAATTATCTTCGCCAGAAGAGCAACACCAAGGTTAAAAAACATCATTTCAGGTGTTATTGTTTGTCAGGGCATCATTGTGCTACAACAGGCAATCCAAACTTTCAACCATGTCACGCTGTCATGTGGGCATGTTTGGCGAACTATCTGTTCATTTTGGCTAGCTAAGGCACTTTTAATGGAAGTTTTTGGGAGTGCCAAACAATGGCATGGGTATCGTGAACAAACATGTGGTAACGAACCATGATTGGTGATTTTTTTTCTGAAGTTTTGTCGTTTCCATGTGTTTTTGTGTTTTCAACCACCCAGTGAGAAGAGAAGAGAAGCAAAGCATCAACAAAGAAAGAGAAAAAGAAAAGAGAAAAAGCAGAGAGCATCCATCAAGGAACCACTGTCTACCATCGCCCAGAATCTGCACGATTTGCTTTTCAGAAGGTTGTTGTTCTCTGAATGTTTTTGTGCATTGAAAGGGCATAAATGAAGAGAAGCAAGTCGGACCAAATTAAGGAAAAGGGGAAAACGAAAAGGAAAAGAAAAGAAGAAAGGATTCTGTCAGTGTCACCACAATTATCACCTAAAGTCTACTTGGTCAAACTTCTTCAAGCACCAGCTCAGGAAACAAGACCTTCAAGAGAGAACTCAACGCTCAGATATAGCCTACGTTCGGCTGCTCGCTATCGAGACGTCGACGCTTGTTCTCGGGAGCACCAGAAGAAGTAGGGGTATCAGGCGGAGTCTGTTGCCCGACGGATCCATCAACCAAGTACTTGCGCTTGATCTTAGGAGGTGTGGCAGGTTGTGCGGATCCAGCTCCGAGCTCGGGGGGCATTGTAATCCTGTCGAAAGGACCAGCCGTCGGTCGTTGGCCAATGATAACTTGAGTTGGGCCATCCGACATCACACGGGACGGACCAGCGATCGGTCTACCTCCTTTGTTGATTTGTGATGGGGTGGCAGGCAGCACACGAGACGGGCCAGCGGTCGGTCTAGGGCCACGCTTGGTTTGAGCTGGGCTGGCGGTCATCACACGGGACGGACCGGTGGCCGGTCGTGCGCCGGTGTTGGTTCGCGATGGAGTGGTCGGCATCACACGAGGTAGGCCAGCGGTTGGGCTGCCTCTATTGTTGGTTGGAGCCGGGCCGGCAGGGCTCTGGACGACAAATTGAGCACCGTGGGGTTGGGGGGAAGAGCCCATCCGACCCAGCAAGTCATCTTGTTGAGGATCGACATGAGTTGGACGCTCAAGAACAGGGTCCATCAAAGAAGCGTAGTTGCCCAGAATCGGCATGGTCTTGGCTTCCTCCTTCTGGAAAGCCGCATCAATCTCATTGACCTTGTGTTGACGCCAGTTGTAGCGAGCCTGCATGGTCTTTTCGTATTCGTCCAAGTTGTTCAAGTTCTCGAAGAGGGTAGGCAGGTCATGCTTCAGGATGTCCGTACCGAGGAACTCGAGGATCTTGGAGTTCTTCCTGACGTTGAACCAATTGTAGATGACATAGAAGAGTCGAGCATGGAACTTCTGTGCTCGCTCTGCGAAATCGACACGGCTTCGCTTGTCGAAGCAAGAGTGCCAGAGGCTGTGATAGGAGTAGGTTGCGGACTCCATCATCTCGCGAATACAGTACTGAATGCGCGGGGTGTTCAAAGCCAACGTCTTGCAGACTCCGACGAGTTTGTAGAGCACAGGGATCTTCTCTTTGTGCTGCTCGAGATCCACGCGGAGCTTTTCCCAGTCAACTTGCATACCTGGAGTAGGGTAGCCAACACTGGAGTAGGTCAAGTAGGTCAACGCCTTGGAATCGAGATTTTCGACTTCACTAATAACATTGTAAGTTGAGTGGAATAAAACGTGCAGCAGCAATAAACTTACTGAGGAAGCACAGGAACAGGCTTCAAGAGCAAAGCAAGGTCAATTTTAGCTCCCGCGTTAATTGCCTCCTCAACTGCAGCCCGAATGACTCGATTCTTCTCAATGACGTCAAGATAATCCTTGACCATAGGGCCTGCAAGATGGGAATAATCCCTGAAAAGATCCAGGTGAGTTCCTTCGCCATACATGGGCCCATAGAGAAGGACTGGTCACTGTTAGCCAAAGACCTGTGACAGTAAGGAGGCGCAGGAAACCTACAGAGTCCCTGAACTTGCTTGAAAGTCTCAACTGTCCCCTTCTTCATCTTCTCCAGCACTTTCGCGCCGCGAGTGAACCAATCCAAAACAAATTTCATCTCACGGTCGGTCCATGCTATCACGTTGCCATCTGCGACAAACTGATCGAACCCAATGAGGTTGACCCGGTGCTCACCCATCACCATCCGGTTGCAGTGCACTTTGCACTCTTCCGTGATTTTGTCAATGACCACCTTTTGCTCCGGGTTGCATGCTTCCGACATCTTGATCGGCTTCTCGAAGGCAGCAACAGGCTGGGGGAATTTCCCGGAGTGTCTGGTCGTAGTTTTCTCAGCGGTTGTGGTGTCTGGCTCGTCACTATCAGTGGCGCCGGTGGAGTTGTCTTGCTTTTCAGCAGCAGGACTGCTTGGCTCAGAGGCAGTCGTCTCTTGATCGCTGGCGGCAGAGGAAGAGTCGGTAGAAGCAGTCGACTGAGTGGCTTGGTTGCTGGTGGCAGGTTGAGCGGCTTCCGGTGCTGCTGATTCGTCGTCAACGCAAATGGGCTCAGGATAGACGTTGGAAACCTCAATTGATTGATTGGTTTGCTCGCCAGTGGAAAGATGAGAAGAGTTGGATGCCGCGATGCGTTGATTGTTTTGATTATCAGAAACAAGGCGAAGGGACGCACGGGGAGACTCCGTGAATTGGTTGTTTTGATTATCAGCAACCAGATGAAGAGACGCTCTGGGAGTCTCTGTGAATTGGTTGTTTTGATTGCTAATAACAGGATGAGGAGACGCGCCAGGAGCCTCTGTGAATTGGTTGTTTTGATTGCCAACAACAGGACAGGCGGAGGTGTTCGAACCCTCCGCAGGTTGATTGTTTTGATCTCCAGGGGGAGCATCAACTGCGTTCAAAGTTGGCTTTTCGTTGCCGACAACAACAACGTACCGGGAGTCCGATCTGCGAGCTGATGGATTGTGTTGAAGCTCACAGGCAAACAGAAAGTCTTCCAATTCGAGTTTCTCCTTCTCAGTGGGAACTGTCATGAGAATTTTGGTTGTGGAAGGGGGATGTGAAGCCACTGGCAGATGAGAGTTCTGCTTGTCCGGAAGGATATGCAGGTCGTTCGGATGAACGGTGCCTGGGGGGCATCCAGCACCCTGAAGAAGAGGATTGTCGGCGGAAGTGTAGGCTTGCAGGCCAACAGGAGGACGAATGTAAGGAGCAATTCCAGGCAAGGACGAGACATCGCTGACAGTGTTTATGCGGATAGTACTGTCACTGACCATGCCGCTCTGATCCATAAGTGCGGGTGCGGACTTGAACTTGCCAGTGGGGTTGATTTGGTCGTCACGGGCGACCTCTCCAATCGATTGAGCATTTTCTGCTCTCTCCTTTTCTAGGAGCTCCTCGGCGCGCTCATCGACAATTTCATCAACCCGATCAAAGAACTCATCCTCAGAATCGGAGTCAGATTGGTATGTACGATTCGTTAGGGATCTAGTCGGAACAAAGCCCGACCCCTGAGTGGAAATGCCCGACTTAGTGGGCTCACCAGCAGCTCGAGTGGTGGTACGGTTGACAGCCTTAAAAGTGTTAATGAAAGTTATCTATGCACTTTGACCGCTTGAATTACCTGAATCGTGCCACAATTGGTGTATCCAGTGGTAGAAGGGTTGCCGGGCTTTTTGGCAGCCACCTCAACTGTATCGAGCTGCATCTCGTTGGAGGGATGAACGGACTGAGGCTTGTCCCCATTAACGTGCTCAGGAGGAGTGAGCTGTCCATTGTTCAACTCGGCTTCCGGCTGGGCTGACTTGTTGGACTGAGACGCCTCTCCATTGGCATCCTTGCCGATGTGGGCAAAGAGTTTCGTGTACTCCTCGGGCACGTCCTCACCGAGAATCGGATGATTCTGCCAGTCAATTTCCCATTCAGTGTGGAAGTCGCGGAGATCGCCCGCGATCTCATTGTTCGAAATGTCACCGGATGCCTCCTCGAAGTCGAAGAAGGCGCTGAGCCCCGGTTCAATCTCAAGCTTCTTCTTCCCGTCATTCTGCTCGTTCATTCGCGTCGAGGCATCAGGGAGATTGGTGGAAGGATCATGGGCGACGGCCTCGATGTTCTCGGGGAGGGAGCTGGCACCCGACGTAATGTCATCGGCTGATAGAGTTGGGTCGTCGATGTTGGTTTCAGCCGACGCCTTCCTCGCCGCCATGACGGCATCGAACATGATCTGAAAGTCGGACATGATTCGCAAGCGATATCAATGTCAGAGAAGAATTGAAAGTTCGGAAGAGAAAATTAAGGGGTGCTAGACCAAAGAAGATGAAGTCTGCTTGTTTGAAACGAAGATTAAGCTGTATGATGTTGAAATGGATCTTCGAAGAATGGAGAAGAAGCAAAGAAGAGGTGGGAGAGAAGAGAATATCGAAAGGTTTGTGGAAGGAAAATGGAAGATTGGAAGTGGTAAATGGGGGGGGGAAGTGAAAGTGCAAAGCGAAGGAACAGGAATTTCGAAAATGGGAGAGTTGCGAGTGGGAGACAGCGAATTGCGAAGTGAAATTGATAATCCCGAAGGTTTCCAACTCTTGCAGCGACAGAGTGAAAGTGATACCAATTTCTCCCTTCGAAGGGGAACTTGACACTCAATTGCTTCTTCCCCCTATCCCTTGTGGGAGTTGAGGCATAGAGATGACCCTCAACCGGCTACAACAAAACCTCCATGCTTTCGCTATCCTGTCGGACTAAGAGTATATAAAGCGGAATCCTATCTCGGATTGTTCTTTTGCTCGTCCGGTCCCTCGAAGAATATTGTAGCTTGAGCTGGTCAATCGCATGGCGCCTTGAGACCCTCCGTGAGCCATCCCCATAGACGATCTTGCTATACTTCCTCTCTTGTAATTATGACCCTAGTGGGTGCATCCCGGGGGCCCAGTTGTGCAAGTAATCCCATCTTCATTCAGCACGGTATGGAACTGCAGGCTTCAGCAGGCGGAGTGGTATGTGAGAACCCCAAGCTTCGTTCCTTGCTCTTTCTACTCATCCGCCAACTCCATAGGTTATTTTTCCTTATCATATTCTGCCTATTACTATGAACATTATATAACAGGTTTCCTCAATCTTATATACCGGTCATGCAGCCTTTACAGTGAGGTTATCCATCGCGGTCCGTCTGGGTGAGGTCTAAGTAAGGTTTCTTGGCACGCGTAAAGCAGACCAGATTGGAGATGGCGATGACGACAGACACTGCTGCAGGCAACCACGATAAAACCGCATGTAACCGCCGTATGGAAGCAAGGATGGGTGGAATGTCTTCTCCTTGCTCGTCACCTCTCAGACTTTGATCTTGTCGTTCCCTCTCTTTCGTCATGTCACGGCGTCCAGTCCATCGACTCTGGCTCGGGAAGAGGCAAGTCCAAATGCACGAGGATCGGAGCATTCTTCGGACGGTAACTCACTGTCATAATAGCGGCATTAACCATGAGAGTCTGCTTCCCAAACTTCAAAGTATCCGATTTCGATTTCGACTCGTCCCCACTGGTATCACCCCCAGGACCAGCTCCGCTCACATCTACCTCGACACATCGCTTGCTGATTGCCTCCTCTTCCTCAAAATAGAACTGCTCCGTACTCTTTACCGCATCGGCCACCCTCTCTTCACTCGGATCCTTCTCTTCAGGCCATGTCACCTTCTCCACACCCCAACCCTCATGAATATGCCCAAAGCAGCACAGCTTCGGCCGCACCCTTGCGACCGCATTCAACAGATTCCGACATCCCACTCTTTCTCCACTAACAACCCAATCCCTCGCCATCCACGGCGGGCCATGCGTCATGACGACATCCACGCTCGGGAAGTCCGGGATGGGATGCTCCGAGATGGATCGCACGCCTTCACGGCAGTCTTCCTGCAAACTGAACCGGTCATGGCTCCTCTCGTACGCGAAAGCCATTCCGCAGAACTCTGGGGTGTACGGAGAGGCGTAGATGGACAGGCGGGCGCCTGTGCGCGGGATAGTGAAGGTGTGGTGGCCTTCAGGGAGGTAGTAGATGCCGGAGAACTTGGCGTCTTCCCACATTTGGCGGACGGTTTCAGGAGTGGTATTGGAAGTATTGAGGCCACGGGCGTGAGCCCAATAGTCAGGATCAAGTGAGGCATCGTGGTTCCCTGCGATAGTTAGTTTGGGGGTTTGGGCGCGTCATGGAATTGGAACAGCGATGCAGAGGGCTGGGGCATGAAGATACAAATAATGGTATCATGTAGGACCAATTTATTTGAAAGACCTTACCGGCAATAACCAGTTTTAAATCTGCTTTCAGCGACTTCATGAGTTCAATCGTACGTCGATGCTGGTTCTCCAGGCCAGACATGGTAAGGTCTCCGCAATGCAAAACGACATCAACAGGCGGTGGGGACTTTCGAAAGGCATACTCTGAGTCTTTCGGTTTCAACGTCTCACCATGGGTATCACTAATGACAAGGAGACTAGTACGAGCCATATTGGACATCATTCTCCCAGCATTCCTGCAGACTGCAATCCCCAGGCCAGCCCAAGATGCAGAAACAAAAGTAGGATTACAATGACTGGTAACTCAAAGACACCAATGACTCCCAAGTATCAATATTCCACTTTTATCACTGCTGTTATAGAAAGTAGATATAAACAAGCGTTAAAGGTTCAATACTGTCAACTTAGAATTGGAGGAATGAAGTTGATAATGACATTGCGCTAATCTCGATTAATTAGGTCGACAGAAGGCCCCGCAGCCGTGGTGCTGAGGCGATAAGGCGCCTAACCACCTTCAGTCATTATTACTGTTGGTTGAGAGACTCTAACTTAAAGTACCTAGAAATTTAGAGCAACATGCCCAATTCTATCAGGCGCAGGTACGCTATGGAGTACACCGTGTATAGCGTGACCAAAATAGTGTGAGTGTGTTGGGCGGCTGGGAGATATCACTCCGCCTCCAAATTTATATATAAAAGTCATATTTCAAGCTCCGAACTTTGTTAGAAAGGCAGAGGATGTAGCTACAAGACTGGACGGACATCACCATGCACGGCCATGATATGTAACCGCAGAGACCAATCCCTGATTAAATACCCATTAATTGGCGCCATGGTAGATAACACGATTAGATGCTGAAAGTACAGGTTGACCGCCCAACTTGGCACTATGAGATTAGCATTCGCTATGTAGTTCGTCATGCCTCGACGAACGCTTTCTATACACGAGACCAAAAAGGAACCGTTTCCAATGCACTTCACTCTGTACAATAAATATGCCAGCAAGAGAGCCACCCAAATTTACAAGACGAAAAGCTCGTGACAGGCGAACAATGCCTTCTCAACTATCCAAGGATGCAAATGCGAATTAAGCCGATAATCATGCCTCTCTAGAGTCTACGAGGAAATAGGAATGCGTCAATGCAGGAAATCAATGCCAAAGCCGGAAGATCCGCCGTGGTTTCTTCCTCTGGTCGCCGTCTTCTTGCTCGAGCGTTTTGATGTATTGCACGAAGGACTTCTTGTGGACCTGTACATGCATCGTTAGCAACCATCACTGAACCCAAGATACAGGTGATAGAAGACTGGAAGGGAAGAAATTCATGGGAAAACTCACCAACCCGACATATTTCCCGTCCCGCAAGACGCAGATATATCGCAACCCCAACTTCACAAAACACTCGTACACTAAATCCATCGGACTATGGTAATCCAAACTCACCGGCGCCGGATCAATGAACGCCGTGAAATCCTCCTCCTCCACCACCTCCCCCTCCCCCTCATCCTCCCTTACCGACGCCCGCCGCCTCCGCCCCCGATCCCGCTCCTCCTCCCCCGTCTCCGCCCACCGCACCACCGTGCTCATCATGCACTCATGCTCATCGAATCGCGCTGGCCCCAGCCGATCCTCCAGCCGATCGAGCGCGAACTCCAGATCCGGCGCCGGGATCAACCCTACTAGTACGCCGTCCTGTACCAGCGGCAGCCCGCCGTCCAATTCGCCCGCCAGATGCAGATGCTCGAGCTTCTTGCGCAGCACGCCTGCGGGTACGGTCGGCCGGTCGGTGATGTCAATGACGCGGTGGCGGTGGAGGCGCGGGGACACGAGGTCGGCCAGCTCGGAGGTGAATAGCGGGCGCACCTTGTTGTCGAGGTACGGGTAGGAGTTCATGTCGGTGAGCAGGTCGTAGATAGAGAGTGGCTCGAGCGCGTCGGCGGTCCATTTGCTGACGAGTACGCCGATGGAGAAGGGGAGCACGTGGTCGAGGGACCCGGTGAGTTCGAAGAGGATCACGGCGAGGGTGACGGAGAGGCGGGTGACGCCGCACATGGTCGCGCCGGCGGCGACGAGGGCGTAGACGCCGGGAACGACGCAGTTTTCGGGGGAGGCGTCGGCGGAGCAGCGGGGCCCGAAAAATCCGGTGTGGGAGTAGGTGAGGGCGATGTATTGGACGATGTGGCCGACGATGCGGCCGAGGATGCCGCCGACAACCATGGAGGGGACGTAGATCCCTGCGGGCACCTTGATGCCGAAGGTAATGGTGGTTAGGAAGGCTTTGATGATGAAGGCGATGCAGAGATATCCGATGACGGTGGGGATCTGGTCTTTGGTAGGGCAGAGACCGGTGCCGCTCTCGGTGAAGGCGTCGCAGGGAGAGGCGAGCTCGAAGAGGAGTTCCGTGACCGGGAGCTTGGTGTAGCGGTTCCAGTAGCTGATGAGACCGGTGAGTAGGGCGACGAGCATGACTTCGAGCATGGGCCACTTCCTGATGAAGGGGATACGACGGAAGGTTCTGGCCCAAAGGCCGGAAGCCTTGATGAAGAGGGCTCCGAGAGCGCCGCCGAGGATGCCGAGGATGACGAAGGCCACCATTTCGAAGAGCTCCCAGTCGGTGAGGTAGCGGACTTCGAAGATGACGATCTTGTGGGTGCCGTAGGGGTTGAGGAACTTGAGAGATAGCGCGGCAACGATACAGCAGAAGAATGTGCGGAAGAGGGTCTTCGGAGGGAAGTAGTAGCTGACTTCTTCGAGACCGAAAAGGACACCTCCGATGGGTGCACCGAAGGCCACGGCTACACCGCTGGCGGCGCTCGCGCTGAGGACTTCTCGTCGTTTCCCATCGTTGTGGTTGTACTTGGAGAAGAGACGACAGGCAATGTTCCCAACGCATGTCGCGATATGGACATATGGCCCCTCCTTCCCTAAAGCCAGTCCAGATGAAACGGCGAGAACCAGGGCAATGGTTTTTACCACTAATGTCTTGACACCGAGGTACCCGTGCAAAACGAATCCGCTCAGGATGACCTTGACCTCCGCAACGCCACTTCCAGCAGCCGGATAGTAGACCATCGGCCCACGACCTTGAGACTTGCCGTGCTTTTGAGTTGGCAATGTACTCTTCTTGCCGTCGACATCATCGCTTCGGTTCTCCGCGGCAAGATTCTCATCGAGAGTGGAAAGCGAGATACTGGACGGGATCACGGTCTTGGTCGTAAGCGTGAGAACGCAGGCCGCCGCTGCAAAAAGGACCGCAATCAGCAGGTAGGATAAGTACTCGACTGCTTCCGCGCTCAAACCGCCGATATGGATCACATCCGACCAGTGCTTCCAATCCACGCATTGACTCGCCCCCGCGCAGCAGCTCTTCTTGTTCATATAGAGCCCCGACGAGCAATACCCCGTCTTGTAATCGAACAGCAGCGATTCGCTCACGTTCACGAAATACGCGATCGCCGACGTGATGCACCCGATGATTCCCACCAACAGCCAACCCTGCGCGCCATCAAACCACGCCTCGATCCTCCCCCGGATGTCCTTTCTGCTCCGCAGCTCTTTCACCCGGTACGCATCCGCAATGCTATCGTGCACCCAGTCCGTCGACGTGAACTGATCGTACCACACTCGATTATCATGGTAGAGAGAGGCCTTGGAATCCTGCAACGCCTCCGCCCCCGGCGTCCGGTCGGCGATCAGCGCGTTCGCCAACCGCGCCCCGAACGAGCCCACTCGGCTATGGTTCCTCGGAAACCGGACGCTGTTCTGTCGGCTCAGATGCGGCGGCCCCCGCGGCGTGCCCGGGACGCTCATGTACGACCGGTTCGCGCCGCCGTCGCGGGCGTGCAGCAGGCTGGAGCGCTCGTCGACATGGTTGGAGGGCTTGGTGGGGATATGGGTGTGGAGGTCGAGATCGGATGAGCGGGCGGTACGGGGACGGGAGCGGCGGTAGACGGGGGAGCTGGTGCCGGTGTAGGGGGATTGGAGGCCGGTGTGCTCGTCGCCGGAGGGGTCATCATCGTCCTCGTCGTCTTCGTGGCGACGTCGGGTGGTGTCGAAGTAAGAGGACTGGGATTTCGGCATGGTTACGGTGGCGTCGGGCGCGAGATGGGAGCTCGTAGGGGGTTAGGCGGCCTATCTGCGAAGAGGACGGATGTCAGAAAGAAGGGAGCCGATGCTGGGACTCGTGAACATGGCCAGGCATAGTTCTATAGAGAATAGAGCGAAGTGAACAGCTTGTCTTTAGAATTTGGACATTGGAGATGGATCGCGTCCCGGAGATTGGATGGTCAGTTGGACACGGCAAACATGCACGAGGACCCTCGCAACGTGTTGCTTGTCCAAACACTACCCGTCTTGGCCTCCGTTGTTCGGGGGCTTATGGCGTGGTCGTATGGCTGGGGGGAATCCAGATGACTGCGAGAGCACTTACGAGACCATATTATCGCCTCATCGATGATTCTACCAGAATCTCCATTTTCAGGCTCCTCTTAATGGAGATGAGGAGAGGAGGAATGGAGAAGGTGGAGGGCTTGAGTGGGAATCCGGGGTGGAGGGTGTGGGGGGTCATTGTCTCAGTCACGGTCATCGATCTGTTTACAGCTATATGCAGTATGACTTCAGCTATTGGCAATCAAAAAAGTACAGAGTATTTTGCCTGGTTAAAGCATAATGCAGTATGAGAAAGTACTCCGTACTGGTTGCATGATTTAATGATGTGGACCGTTGCTACTGGTAGTTTGGTACGCCAGATAGTCCTCGACTTCGAACAAAGATCGAGAGATTCCGGACTTTATGATGCTCGGCCGAAAGATTCCGACGTCAGCCTGCAGACTATCGACGGGTTTACCGTTTACGTGTAACTAACTTATTGAGCTTGGAATAATCTTGGTCTGTCGATATAAGCAATACCGGTACGTACTATTACTATTCACAAAGAGTTTTTGAGAGGGCCGGGTAGATCCAATATCTATCGACGGAGGAAGACGAGACGTTTATATTGCTCGCAAGTTGCAACAGCCGCCAGATGGTTGAATCGATCCTCATGTCTCGGTTTCCTCTCTTGTGAAGATGTAAGGCACATACGGGAGATCAAGCTGAGCATCCCGTCCTCTACTGCAATCCTTCTAACTATGTGCATTTCATACCACCATACCATGACCATCAAATATCATCATGCTTCGGTCAGCTTCGCCGCAGCATAATGCCATGCTCCAGTTGCCTCCATTCTTCGGCCGAATCCTCCAGCGAAACCCCAAGAGCCAGGGCCCAGTAGGCCAGCAGGAAGCACTATTAAGTAAGCACCAAATAGGGGAGGTAATCGGCTCATGGCTGACACTTGTCAAGCTAAACCCAAGTCCCCAACCAAGACCCTCCCCACGCCTCCCCAAGCACGCCTAACCTTTGCAACTTACGTACAGGCTCATGGAGTAGTGTCTCCGGTGTGGATCAAAGCCCCCGAATCAGTGTGCAGATCGCCTTAGCGGTTTCTGCTTTCCCCAAGCTTGGAAATATTGTGAAACATGAAATAGGCTGAGTGCATCTGTCAAAAATATGTCCAACGTGTGATCGATCCCCATTCGAGTTGTGACTGGCAGAGAGGCAGTCCTTGCGAACACAAACACGCGGCATCGCATACGTTCGTGGATTGTAGTATTGCTCCTCTATTCAGCATATTTGGGACCGAAGCATCCCGCCTAGACATAGACCCTGAGTCCCTGTGAGGTATTTGCGTTTCGACGTGCTATCAAAACCCGGGTGGATCGAGCAGAAAGCGAATAAGCGATCATCATCGTCTGCATGGGCTCCTTGGTCGGCAGGTCGGGTCCCAACCCCAGGCCCTCCCAAGTCCCAACACTGTACTCCGTAGAAGTGTGGATGTTCGAAGGCCGCGTGGAAGATCAGAAACAGTCGGTGTCTGTGAAGCGTGAACGATCGGGTTTGGGTGTTGACACCAACCTTGGATTCACCAATACGGCATCTCGACACTGTACTGGTTCCATGTAAGGGGGCACGTCCTGCACACCGTACATCAGCTCGTTGATGAATCAGATCCACGTCTTCTGTTGCACAGATCGCGGGGAGCTCTGTGTGTGGCCTCGAGGAGGATGGATGATGATGATGCTCGCTTTAGTGTCGGTATGCTCGGTCCGTATACGGATGTCAGACCCAGCTGGTCTGTGGCGCTATTCCAGAGTTCGTTCGACAATTCGACAATTCGACAATTTATTACAGTATGCACCATAGATGACCATATTTCGGCTAGCTCTGATCCCAAGAGGACGCTCTATCTGCTTACTGCCCTCATCCATGCTCCAAGAGATTTCTCGTAACGCAAAAACAGGAACGTTGATCTCCAATTCTCCATTTCATCCATACATCGGATTATCTCCAGACTAACCCGAATCGGTTCTCCCAAGAAGCTCTCCGCCTCACGCTCCTTTCTGTCGCATCCCAATTTCTTCCGCCTTTCTCTCGCAAATACTATCGCTATTTTACCCTCGTCCTAAATCATTCCTTTCGAAATATTCTACCACCATTCGCTAATATTGCGCTCCAATTGTCGTCCTTCTCTTACCCGTGTTGGCGTGTTGGCGACGTGCCTCTGTCAGGGGACGAAACTTCCACCCATTGATTCCCCAAGTACATATACCGCAGTGCTGTGAAAACCACGTTGCGCATCCGACCGCTCATCGATCTTTTGGATTTACCCCGTGATGCACCGCTGTGTCGGACCTTGAACCTAAAGAACGGCGACATGCCCTGGCGACCACTCCCTCGAATTGCCTTCGGCATCTGCGTCTACCCGTTCCAACCCACCTCCGCCGCCGACCTCCCCCTCGAAATCGGCGACGAACTCTATATCATCGAACAAGGCGGCGCCGATGGCTCGTGGTATCGAGGATATTTGGTCGCGCCTCCGTCGCTACTGGCGGGCTTAACCAGCGTCAAGGGACAGACCCTGGAAGCACGCGTCTTCTCGGGTATCTTCCCGCGATGCTGCGTCGAGGTGCGGGAGGTGCTGGGAGAGGATCGGATGCGAAGTCGGTTGGAAGACGCAGCGCCGCTGCCTCCGGACTCGTCGGGACGACTGGAGTCTCGGAACAGCCATGCGGAAAAGACGCCGAATGGCGTGTTGACACCGACGGAGAGCTCGACTCCAACCCCCAATGCTCAAGCGGCGCGAGATCGTAGCGCCAGGCTATCGAAGACGGATGCCGGCGTGCCAAACGGTGCGCAGAAGACCAAACCTAACTTAACATTAGGGACCCTCGCATCTCGAAGGACCACGCGGTCCGAACTCTCCGCGCCATTCACGTTTCCGCTGTCCCCATTATCCGTAGGACCACGCGACCTCAGTTCCCCTCGACCACCGGCGCCGGTACCGATGTTGAAAATTGGAGATGAGACGCCCACATCGACGCAGGAGCCGCTGGTCGACGAGATTGCGTCGTGTCTGCGGGAATGGCATTCCACGAAGCTGCACGAGCTTCTCTTGGCGCGTCGATACCACCTCCTTGACAAGATGTCGAACCTGGTGCAACGACTCGACACGTCCCGCCGACAATTGCTGCACAAGGTATTGACGGATCACGAGCTCTCCATCCTCCGAGAGTCGGCCGTGTGGGATTTGGTCAATGGGAACAAAATGTTGAGTGGGGAGGTCGTGGTCCGCAATCCCTTCCAGGGAGGGAGGATCCTCACCGCGGACGATTCGCCGATCGAGCTCACCAAGTTGCAGTCGATGATGAGTCTCCTGTCCGAGCGGCCTGTGCCGCACGTCGATGAACATACCATGCACCACATTTTCGTCGACATTGCCGGTTCGACGAAGCAGGAAATGCCTCCAGTGACAATTGCGCTCCACCTGTGCACCAAAGCTCCTGGTGAGCCGCTGCGTCCCCTCTCCGAAATGTACGCTATCGACTTCTCCCATCGCGATACATCGGGAGCGGTTGCGGATACGAATCTAAAAACACTTTTTGTCGACCTTGCCTCCACGGACATCGGTGAGGGTGCTGGAAGCGGAAACAACCTCTACCTCGCCTTCAAGATCCTCGCAAACGAGCCCCTCCGATCGCAAGCGGAGTATGCCATGCCGAGGGAGAGCACGTCGAGCAGAGGCGCTCATGGTGTGGAAACCTCTGGCACCATCAAAGGAGGACGGCGAAGTCTGATGTGGGGCCAGAAAGGCCGCAGGCCCGGGGAACCCCTGACGAAGCCAGACAGTCGTCCACCGACCGGTGGTGATGCCGCGAGAGGGTTTCAGGACCCGCCTCGCCCGAGCACCAATCAACGAGCCACCTCCTCCCGCGACAACAAGACCGTCAAGCGAACCGTTGGCGGCGGCATCATCCGCATCGACCAAATCGCCAAACGCAACGGCGACGCCGAAGTGGAGATGGAAGCCTGGGCGCCCTTCATGCCCTGGGACGACCCTCCCGCCGAAGAAGGCTGGGACCCTCTCCTCCCCGAGATCCTCCCCAGTGCGAGCGGCCACTACCGACGCTTCAACGCCCCCAAGTCCCTCTCCCTCTGCCTCCAAGCATTTTCCCACCCGGACGCCGAGTCCCTCATCAAGAACACCCCCACCCTCCTCCACCGCGTCACCCAAACCCGCAAAATCGGCTTCTCCGGCGCCCCCACAAAACCCCGCTCCGACATCTACATCACCCTCTCCTCCGCCTACCTCCCCCGCAACGGCTTCCTTGCCCACCCCAAATCCGGCACCGCGCCCCTTGGCATTCACTCCGGCTCCGCCAACCTGCAACTGACCCTCGAAGTCCGCCGCTCGACCGGCGAGCGCATCGAATCGTGCATCTACCCCGCCTGCAATTCCGCCGGCCACACCGCCTGGCGCACCACCGCCGTCGAGCGCGGGGAGCCCTGGAACCTGACGATCCGCCTCGCCATCGATCCGGAGGACGTGCCTGGCTGCCACATCGTGATGAGCGTCGCCGACGCGCCGGGGTTCCCGTTCGCGCTGTGCTGGATGCCGCTGTGGACCGCCGAGGCCTTCATGCGCGACGGCGACCATTATCTGACGCTGTACAGCTACGACGAGTACACGTCGAGCATGATCTCCGGACGCGGCGCCTATCTCGGGTTGCCGTGGAGCTCGAAGAAGAAGGATGAGACGGTGGTGGGGCCGATGGCCGCGTTGCGGTTGAGGACGTACTTATGTAGTACGCAGTATTCGCAGGATCCGACGTTGTTGGGGTTGTTGAAGTGGCGGGACGAGAGTGGTGAGCATTTGGTGCAGCTGCTTCGGCGGTTTGTGTTTGTGCCGGAGATTGAGATCGTGAAGTTGTTGAACGAGGTGTTCGATGCGTTGTTTGAGCTGCTGGTGGAATATGCCGAGTCGGAAGAGTATGAGGACCTCGTGTTCAATGCACTGGTGTTCGTTCTCGGCATCGTGCATGATCGGCGCTTTAAGTTGGGTCCGTTGGTCGATGGGTATGCGGAGACGCGATTTAAATACCCGTTCGCGACGGCATGCTTGATACGGAGTTTCCAACGGCTCCTCGCGAACCCGACCGATCCAGAGACATCGAGGAAATTGCGTGCCACGTTCAAGGTTGGCTCGCACATCTTCAAGTTCATCGTCAATGCGAGACAGCAACAGGAAGAGAAGGAAGCCGGTATTGGCATAACGAACAGGAAGCCAACGTTCACCAAAGATGTCAAGAACATCTTCAATTCTCTGGAGAGTCTGATGAAGAATCCCGCACCGATTCTGATCGGCACGAAAACTCTGGTGGTCCAACATTTCCATACATGGCTTCCCGAGCTCGCTGGCTGCATGGTTCCGATGGAGATCCTGAAGATCGCGACGAGCTTTATCGACTCCTGTGCAGACGTACAAGGCAAGCTAGTGCTATATCTCTTCGTCCTCATCATCCACCTGGGCCAGGTCCCCGTCTTCAAGCTCCCCGACGTTCGACGACCCCTTCTGACAAGCACCATCCGATGGCTCGCGCCGTACTGGGGCAAGGTCGACACGGTTACCGACCAGTGGAAAGATCAAGTGCGCCTCTGCTGTTCGGTGGTCGCATCGCAGATCAACGAGCTTGGACAGGAAGCGTGCGAATACATCCCGAAGTTGGTCGACTCATACCGAGCCATCCAATCCTCGCCGAGGACGATGAAAAAGTCATTGTCATTGCTCTTCCCAACGACATATCCGTCCCCGTCACGGCCGACCGAGAAGCCGTCAGAATTCGAGGAATCACTGGGCGAAATCGCCGCGGTGTTGGCAGCGATCACGAACCTGCCGACGACCATCCACCTCGACCTCCCCAAGCAAGAACTTGCTGAGTTTCTATTCGGTGCGCTGCAGACGTACATCTCGATCCTGAACGGCGACGCCTTCCCCACTTCCTGGCTCAGCACGCACATCTATCACCACAAATCGACCCTCCGCACTCTCGAAAAGCTTGCCAGCATTCTCATCGACTCCTTCCTTCCCCACCCCGATGACGCCGACCAGTTCAACACCGACCTTTGGCGCGCGTTCTTCGACGCCCTGCTCAAGCTCGTCGGATCGAATGCCCTGGCGCTCGAAACTTTCCCGGAGCAGAAACGTCGAGCCGTCTGGAAAATCGCCGGGGACGTCCGCGAGCTTGGAGCGGATCTGCTGCGTCGAACATGGGAGGCGATCGGGTGGGAGACCAGTGCGGAGGATCGGAAACAATATGGGCTGGAAAAGCTGGGTGGGTATCAAGTGCAATACGTGCCTGGCCTCGTTGCACCGATCGTCGAACTGTGTCTCACCGTGCATGAGGGACTTCGCATCACGGCGATCGAGGTTCTGCAGACGATGATCGTGAGCGAATGGACGCTGAGCCAGGATCTTTTGCTCATTCAGGGCGAGGTGATCGAGGCACTGGAGCGAATCTTCAAGAACAAGGTGCACACGGAGAGCATCTTGCAGAAGCTGTTCATTGGCGAATTGATCGATGCGTTTGAGCCGTTGGCGCGCAACTCCGAGGATGGGCTGTTCGTCGCTGTGAAGAACCTGGTGGCTGTGGTGGATGAGTTGCTGGATCTTCTCGTCGCGGTGCACAGTACCGAGGCGAGCGGAGAAGCATTCCATATCATGGATACGCTGAAGTTGATGGAGTTCTTGCGCGACATGCAGAAGGAGGATATCTACATCCGATATGTGCATCAGTTGGCGAAACTGCAGCTCGATGCTAGAAGCCCGACAGAGGCAGGGTTAGCATTGAGGCTCCACGCCGATCTGTATGATTGGGATCCTCTGACCACGATCGATGCATCCGAAGACCCTGAGTTCCCGCCGCAGACACTATTTGAGCGGAAAGAGCAGCTGTATTTCCAGATGATCAAGCACTTCGAAGAGGGTCAATCCTGGGAGAACGCGCTCGATAGCTACGTAGAGCTCGCGCAACAGTACGAACACAATGTCTTCGACTTCAATAAACTGGCCAGGACACAACGAGCGATGGCGACGATCTACGAAAGCATCGCGAAAGGCCAGCGACAGCATCCGCGGTACTTCCGCGTCCAGTACAAAGGCCTGGGTTGGCCGATGGGCCTCCGCGACAAGCAGTTCATATTCCAAGCCCCCGGTTCCGACAAGTCGGCGACCTTTACGGACCGCATGCAAGAGCAGCATCCCTCCGCGCAGATCATCTCATCCGAAACCGACGACGATCTCGAAGGTCAATACCTCGTCATCTCCCCCGTCGCCGTCCAGAAAGACATCACGCATCCGATCTACCACCGCACCAAAGTTGCTCAGCCGGTACGTGACTATCTCCTCGCCGCGCGACCACATACCTTCACCACCCCCACGCGTCGCCAAGCCAACGTTGAGAATCTCGATAAAACCACCTTCGAAACCGCCGAGACCTTCCCGACCATCCTCCGCCGCTCCGAGATTATCGCCACGCAGACTGTTTCGGTCCCCCCGCTGCACGCGGCCTTGGAACGCATCACACGCAAAACATCCGAGCTCGCGAGCATGGAGCGGAAAGCGGGTGAGGGCGACGAGAGCAACATGACGACGTTTACGGAGTTCTTGATGGTGATGGTGGATCCGAAATCCGAAAATGGATGCGCGAAATACCGGAACCTGCTGCCAACGAGGGCGCGAGATAGTATGGGACTGGAAGACGAGGAGGCCGACGAAGAGCAGGAGGATCCGTTACATGATGCGTTGAGGATGAGCTTGATTGAACATGTGCTGGCGATCAAGCGGGCGCTAGGCGTGTTTTCGAGGTCGAGTTACCAGGCTACCAGGGACGATTTGACGGGCCGTAAGTGATCCCCATTTTAGATACACAATCATCGTACTCACCAGTGGCTCAGGCTTTGAACACACTTTTGCACCAGAACTCGAAGCGCTCGCGCCAGCGTCCAACCCATTCGGTCTGCTATCCGCCCTCGGGTCACCATCCAGCTCATGGCAACACGGCACGCCGCCCGCCACCTTGCGCACCCGTAATGGCACGACCTCAACTGCTCCCGACCTCCCCGACCTGGCCTCCACCATCCTAGAGAAAGAGAAGCGAGCCGACAAAATGAACCGTCTTTCCCTCACCTTCCTCAAGCGCACCAGTATCCTCGACCCTATCAACCGCTCGAACGCCAAGAACACTTCCAACCTGCCCCTGGGGTCCGCCACCGAAGTCAACGGCACGAACCACGCCTATAGTCCCATGAAACGCAGCATCTCGCAGAAGCGTCCGAGCCGTGATGGCGTGGATCGCAACATTTCGGCACTCCCGCAACATGTCCCTGCATCTGCCCCAGCTACTGTCCGCCGCAAGGAATCAATATCGATATCTGGGCGGGGCAGCAGTGGGTTACAAGCTCTGTTCTCGAACAAGCACGATGAGCAGGCGCGCGGTAGTGCGACGGAGGGGGATCGTTCGGGGAGCCTGGGACATGGTGGGCCGGTAAAGGGTGTAGAGAGGCCGGAAACGGGGAGGAGTGGGTCGAGTCATGGTGGAGCGGTTGGAGTGGGAGGACCTGCAAGAGAGGTAGTAAGTGCAAAAGGGGGGACCGTGAAGAAGAGATTTAGTCTCTTGAACATTGGGCGGAAGGCAAGTCAGGCGAGTGTGAAGGGGAGATATGACGATGTAATGGAGGAGTGAGACAATGTCGTTCCTTTTGGTTTTCATTTCTGGTTCTTCCGAACGTTGCTCTCGTCTTGGGATCTGGATCCCGGCAGGGTTCGTCCCGTGAGCGAGCCCCTTTTCTTTTATTTCCCAGATGTGTTACCGCTTAAATTTCCTTTCCTATGTCAGGGATCGTCGTATGGAAGATTTTCCCGTGGGCGAATTTGGCGGCTCGATGGTTGGATGGCGAACACTGTCGAAATACCCCTGAGCTGGCGGTTGTGGTTCGGACTACTGCTTGGGCTGTAGCTTTTCAGCTTGTACGCTTTATTGAAAGAAAAAAAGTCCGGGTATCTCCATTTAGATTATCATCATAATTATTGATTTTAAGATGAACAATACCTTTCTAATGGTGAGTTGAACACTGCGAACCGTCTGCGAGCAACCTGTAACAAGATCGTCTCAAGAGTGGTCAAATAAATATCAACAAGGCCTCCCGCTACAGATTGCTCTTCTTTAGAAGCGCTGACCTTGGGGGGGTACATGCTGTCAGTAGTTATTCTTTGTGCCCTCTTAAAATCATTAATCACACCCAGCAAATCTGTAGCTAAGAAAACCCCCGAATGGAGCGAAGTCGTTGACAGTTCAAGAGACCAAAAGGGAGCCTTGGAAAGAGCTAAGGACCGACCCCTCAACTGCTGATAATGTTTACAGGCCTTCGTCAGTAGAAATTTCGATGCCAATCGTCCAAATATACACGGACACCAGCTCTCAGTGGACGACGTGGTGGCATTCTCAGTCCTTGATTGCTTCGGTGATTACGATGGAAGCGACTCGTTCCTGGATTGGAGACCCATCACCCAGTCTGAATTCACCTGAGCTGCAGGGCCATCTACTAATTGAGACCGGCTCGATTCAGGAGTGACTCCTTTAAATGGTATATGGTGTCCCCAGCATCATAAAACCCCGTTCCACGCTCTTGTCTCATATCATCTTTCCCAGATTGCAGTCTACAAATTTTGACTAGGTGCAGTGTGTACATAGCGAAAACAGTATTTAATAGAAATACAAACGTTGGTATGACATTGATCCGGATCGGAAGGGATCTGCAACATGAAATTATGCTGCAGCCGTACGATTGAAGAGTGGCGACAAGCCATCATACCTTAATTTGAAATCTCTACATGTCGGCCTCTTCTTCAACATCGGACCCAGGCTCCAGTGCATGTCTCAATGCAGCATTCAGGCCCGAAGCGATTGGCATTGTATAAAACAAGACTGGATTGACCACTTAATTGGCCCCCTTCATTCATTACTGATTGTCAGAGAGAGGAGCCTGATTATCAGATACCACATGCACAATGAGGACAACAGACTTGATTTCTTCCAAAATCTTGTACATATACACAATTTCCTTTAGCAATACTATCAGTAATACAAAGTAACAGTCTTTTCAAAACATAATTAATCATCAACCATGCGTAAATAAAAGCGTTCCTTGCGAGTCCCTACTTCTCCTGTGCATACTGTGCCTTGACCTTTTTGTTGTACATAGGCCCAATTGAACAACATCAAATAATCACCGCAAAGTTTAAGATGCAGGAGATGTGGTACTGAGAGCTATCAGCAATGCAGTGGAAAGCCTAGGCATGCTGCAAGGGACAAGAATTCTTATCAGTATCACAGTCTAGTTGATCAATTGATGCGAGTTGGGATAAAAAGAACGAACATGAAACGGACACCACTTTGTTGTCCAATCAGTTATGGTTCCCAAAAATTCCTGTTTTCCTGGGCTTTCAAGGTTAATCGTCAAACAACATCGCTCGCCGAGAACGCCTCTCCCTTCTCTCCCACTTCCGCGTTCCTATCCACATAGATTCTGGATTCCAGCTTCACCCGGCGTGGCGCCCACGACTCCTAACCTAGAAAACCTACATGTCGTCTCCCTCGTGGCGCTAAAATCCGCTCATTCCTGCAGGAACGCTCGCCTGCATGTTTCGACGCAGGGAGCACGTCGCTTGGAGGTAGTAGAAGAGTGACAAGCAGACGGGCTGGGTGTGGCGTGTAGGGCGGCCAAGGAGTGGGAGAGATTTTTTTTATATCGGCATTCATTCCACATGGTGAGCAGGATGTCTTTCTTTGTCGATTCTCGCAGAAGTCAGTTACACTCTCTCGCCCTCTGCTAGAAGTCACTCTTTACGGTCTGTGACCAGTTCATCCATTATACGCTGCCTTTGGTGCACGCTATCAGTCACTCCTTTTCTTTTGATTCGATATATTCCTTGCGGACAAAATGGCTTCTACTGGCAATCTTATTCTCAGGCTGGGCTTGATAGCTGGCCTTTTTACTTCTACTTATGCGACTTTTGTCGTCCAATGTTACAGTCGTCTTGTCGACGACATGCTAGACCACGTTGTCAATCCAGGAAGCACTTCCGGACATCTCCACGCCATCTGCGGTGGAAATGGATTTGCCGGCTCCATGACATTCGATCAGGCGCGCGCATCCAGCTGCAGCAATTGCAATATCAAAGAAGACTTGTCCAACTACTGGACACCGAAGTTGTTCTTCCGAGCTCAAAACAGTAGTTTGATCTCCGTTAAGATCATCGGAGACAACGACTAGGGGAACATGGGAGGGATGGCCATCTACTATCTTCATCGACCTGGGCCTGATAACGACCCTCTCATTCCATTTCCGCCTGGCTTCCGAATGCTAGCGGGAGACATGAACAAACGCACGCCAGGAAACGACTTTGCAAGCCTCGCAGTGCGCCACCGGTGCATCGGTACCAATCAAGAAATAACCAATCTTCCATTGACGAAGTGCAATGGAGGTGTCCGTACTCAAGTTGTTTTTCCGTCATGCTGGGATGGCATTAATTCGGACTCCACTGACCACAAGTCTCATGTGGTGTATCCAGTCGACGGATACTTTGATGGTGGACGATGCCCGAAATCTCATCCAAAACACCTCATAACCCTCTTCTATGAGGTGTACTATAGCAGTGACCTGTTCTCAGACCTGTGGACTGAAGATGGCAAGACTCAGCCATTTGTATTCTCCAATGGTGACACCACCGGCCATGGTTTTCACGGCGATTTTCTCAACGGCTGGAGCCCAGAGACTTTGGAGAAAGCTGTCAACAACTGCGTCGACGGCACACCGAATTGCCCAGAGCAGACCTTCACCTTCTACGAGCAAGGCGACACGCAGAAATGCAAATTACAACAAGTAGTACAGGTGTAAGCACTTGGTGTCATGGATAGCCTTCCGGGGTGTAATCCGATCAGCAACGCCGCTGGTGTACTTCAACAGCCTGCGAATGGATGCAAGCCAGGCTCTGGAGGCCCCATTGCTGCTCCGACTCCCGCTAAACCAGGCACATCTGTGCCTCCAAGCCTACCTCCGGCGAATGTCCCGACTCCGGCTCCTTCGCAACTCCCATCCACACTTGTCCCGGTTCCAAGCGGTCCGACCACGAGCCACTCTGTTCAAGATGTGCCGTCTTCAAAGCCGAACATCTCACTACCTTCAGGGGGTCTACCCGGCCCAGCGTCTCCGCCCGGTGATTCCGGGAAATACACAGACATGTCATCTGCCGGTTGGAGATATTTAGGCTGCTTCCCAGATAGCTCCAACTCGCGCATTCTCAGTGCAACGATGCGTGGCAGCGCTGGCATGACCGTTGAGAAGTGCCTGGCGATCTGTACCGCAGACGGCTTCGGCGTTGCCGGCGTGAAGTGGAGCTCCGAATACTGGTGCGGACCGAAGGTGCCCGTGAAGCGGACGTGCCGGGCTGTCTGTGATTCGCAGTGCAAGGGAAGCAGAAATCAGATTTGTGGTGGAACTGGTGCGTTGGGAGTTTATCAGAAGGTGGTGAAGGAGACGAGAAAGGTTGAGTGGGTTGCATGAAGGAGCCAATGGATTGATGGGGGATGGCTTCGCTTCGATTCTCTTACTTCTGCCTGCAGCACTGCCTTTGCTTCCGCAGTTCCGCTTGGTCGTCGGTGACCGATGACTCAAACTTAGACTTGGACTTTTGATGGCTGGTGAAACGGCTCGTATAAGTACAGTTACCTACCAGTAGATTACAATCCATATCGAAATCCGGATCTTACGCTCCGAGACGTCTAGTACAATGTCTCTTTCCTCAATTCGGATCATTTAAGAAGATCCAAATAATTGTAATATTCTCAGGCGTCCTCGCTGCTTTTTGACTCTCACCCCTGGCTTCGGTCCTCAGAATAGCCTTGCTGCCTGAGGCCTTCAAACATCACGTGCACGCTAAGCATCGCCAAATTTTCCGCGGCCTTTAAATTCAAAGTGCAGCCTCCAAAAGTTTCTGCATCACCCAAAAGTTGTCGAACAATGCGGCTGTATCTAATACGCCACGGAGAAACAGTTGATAATGTAGCACAACTGTAGTAAGTATCTCCTGCTGATCCTTTTGATCATCGCTGACTTCCCTAGTGCAGGTTCACGAGACTCGCCTCTCACGAACCATGGCTTCCAACAGGCAACCAGACTCGGCCAGCACCTCCACAGTCAGGGTGTGAAGTTCAGCCGTGTATTTTCCTCGGACTTGCAGCGCGCAGTCAAGACGGCCGAGCAGGTTCTCAAGCCGCATGCAGAGCAGGATGATGTTGTTCCACATACCAAGGTCGCCTTGATCCGCGAGCAGGACTTCGGTTCGTTTGAAGGGGCGACGTTTCTACCTCGCGCAAAAGCTCCGGGTATCCCGCTCGCTCATGAGGTCGACGCGAATGCCGCGTACCATGTGCCCATGGAGTCGATCGATAGCATGGAAAGGCGGGTGGATGAGTTCCTGGCGGACCACTTGATCTCGGCCGTTCATGGAACCGAACGGCTGGAAAATCAATCCATCGCTGTGGTCTCGCATGGTATAACATTATCGGTCATGTGGGGGAGACTCCTGGCTCGGTTTTTGCCAACGAAATCTGTCGCGTTCCATCAAGACCTCAGCTCCCTTCGATCTCCTCCAAGTCTGGAAGGACTTGGAAATTGGTCGAACACTGGGTATCTAGAGCTTGATCTCTTCCGGGGCCCGGAAACGGTCCTGCGTGGTCTGAAAGAACCTGCACCCGATACAGACACCGAGGTTGTAGCCGAGACGACTGTGGTTATGCAACAGGACAAGGAGAAATCCGAGTCGGTTGTATTAACCCTTGATGGCTGGACTACTACGATCAGAGTCGTCAATGGGCGAGATCATTTGACCGGACTCAAGCGAACTCGAGGCGGAGTCGGCAGTTCTCGGTATGATAAAAATCAGAAGACTCTCGACAGCTTCTTCCAACCGCAGAAGAACGACAATGTCTCTGACTAGCTTCAGCTTCGGCTTCCTTGTTGAACCGCTTGTTGTAGCTTGGTCCTCTCGTTGGAGGCATTGACGATACCAATTGGTGAGTTCCATCTTCCTTCTGCTGTCGCGCCACCCCACAATTCCTATGATGAAGCAAAAAACCTTACAGACCTGTTCCGATTATTTGAAATGCGGACACACCCAATTTTGTTCTCTGAGAGAAATTACCTGCAACACCGTTTTCTCCTCAACTCTGTCGACCCATGCTGACGACCCTCAAAAGATCTAGGAATCGCATTGGCATCGTGGTAGTGTTGAGACATGGTGATGGGATGAGTAATTGCTTCTGCAATTCAGATGAACGGGAGCTACTAGAACTATGAATTAATTGAATACCATATTTTTGATCACATGCTCATGGCGTCCAGTAGGAATTATCTCACCATATGTAATATTGCTGAACAGCTGAAGAGATTGTAAAGTGCACGGCTGAAGCCTCGATTTTTCGCCTTATGGCCTTGGGGCCTTGCCATTCGGCCATTCGCCCATTCCCGCAGCAGCTGCGGACGAGCCACATGCCAGTCTTGGCAATGTTTGGATAGCAACGACATTCAAGCACGACTCGAACATATTGCTGCAAGGCCAGGACTTAGATTAAAGCTGCACCGGATAATTGATTTGTGAACTGCCGTACGAGGCTTTCAAGCACTGTCATTCGTTTCCACCGTTCACCTGCCATTGCCCAAAGTGCGTGGACCACCGAATTGATTGTTTGTGCCCCCATTCCACAACAAACGCACAAGACATCGTCGAAGTGACTGACCTGAAGAATGCCAGATCCCGTCTCCCACAGGTTTTGGTGATAAGCGCCTGGTTTTTGGTGTTCCAAAACTGTATGGTGCACTTTACACACTCTCCATAATGTTCGTAACATGCTCCTCTCTTTCATCTTCCCCCCATCGCCCGACCCCCTCACCTGCTCGCGTGGCTTCTCCAACTCCAAGCCTGGTGGAATCGTCGTCCTGTGTGAATCTCCACGCATTTCATGCAAGCACTGCACTGCGGGAAACCATCATGGGTCTACCGCACTCGCCAGTCAACAAACCTGCAGAGACGCCGCTGCCTACCTCTCCTAATGCACCGACATCAGCGTACTCCAGCCCGCTTCAAAAGAGCTTCCTGGGGGCGCTGCTCCGCCACTACCGCCAGCCCGAATCGAGCACGGAGAACCCAGATGCAGCATGTGATACCGCCGAGATGGACAGTGAGAGCTCACATATGGATTCAAGGCACGCCAACATGAACGCCACCACGGCCGCGGCGCGGACGAAGACGTTTCGACCGCAGAAAGCGAGGAGCGGAACACAGGGATGGCAGTTGAAGCAATTTGCCGACGCGACGCTGGGGAGCGGGAGCTTGAAGAAGGCGGTCAAGTTGCCGGAAGGCGAAGACCGCGATGAGTGGTTGGCGGTCAACGGTATGGCAAAGCAACAGTATATACGAAAACAACGGCTGATGATGAAAGTGGTCGACTTCTACAATCAGATCAACCTGCTCTACGGATCTATAACGGAGTTCTGTTCCCCGCAGAGCTGCCCGGAGATGAAAGCGACGGATGAGTACGTTTCCTCAAAGGCCCTCGACAAGTGTTTTTCGTGGCTGACTGTGTCCCTTAACAGATTCGAATACCTGTGGCAGGACAGCGAGAGCTTCAAGCGACCAACCAAGATGCCCGCCCCTCAATACATCGAACACCTGATGGCATGGTGCCAAAGTAACATCGACAACGAGCAGATGTTCCCCTCCCGAATCGGCGTTCCTTTCCCGAAACAGTTCGGTCCGCAGCTCCGCAACATGGTCAAGCGGCTCTACCGAGTATATGCCCACATCTACTGCCACCATTACCCGGTGGTCATCGCCCTTGGGCTGGAGCCGCATCTCAATACGAGCTTCAAGCACTACGTACTGTTCATCAATGAGCATGACCTGGTGACCGGGAAGGACTTCTGGGGCCCTCTAGGTGATTTGGTGGAAGGGATCCTAAACAGCGATTGAGACTCCTAGATTGTATGACTATGGCGTTATGACGAAGTTTGGGAGTGTAAGCGATGACTATCAGGCATCGTATATTTGTTTTGATTGCGGCATACTGGGTACGACTGGCAGGCGAGCATATTTCGTCTGGTCCAACATTGCGACACGATAACGACGAGAGGACTGGCGTCTGTATTGTAACACTTGAATCACCCTTGAGCAGAGATAACCATTTGTCGAAAATCCCCACTTGAGCTCTAAATGTACTTCTTGTGCCCTGGCTTAATCGTCAAGATTTATAATCTAGCTAGGGTATAACATCACTGTAGCTGGTATGCCGTATGTTATATGTATAATGTAGCACTAGACGACGATCTTGCGAATGCTGGTGATGTAGCATTTGGAGTGGGCAACTTTTACGCTACCATAGTAGTTTCTGTCTAGCTAGACTTTGCTGCTACAAGAGAGCTAGTCTGAACACTTCATGTCCTCATATCCTGGGCTTCCCCTAGGACCATAGCTGGCGAATTAACACACCCATCCACCCTGCTTCGTTCAAGAAAGGGTCCAACATCTGGTCTACCCAAAAGGCCCAATCGTCATCCAATCTCCCGCAACCATATATCGCTCGCGAATATTCCTAGTAGCTAGGATACCAACCGGCAAACTCCCAATCGACCAACACCACGTCGTATTCAGGAGACACTTCATTGCTATAGTTCAGACCCGGTAGCAGGCGGACTATCACGTTCTTCCGTTAAAAGTCGCCGTGTGTGAACGTGGAGGGTTGCCTTGTAGGACTCGAGGAAAGTGTCGTTTATAGTAAGCAACCTTTGTCTTGGGTAAACTGTTGTACGTAGCCTTGTGGGCCAACGCGTCGTCTAACTCCTGTTCTGTTTGGAACGGGCCGGCGATCGAAGCGGATTTGTTATCTGTCCCGAACAAGTCAAGCAACGGGCCGCTCATGGGATTACAGTACCCTCCAGGCGATGGGAGACGGCTTAGAAGGCGCTTGAAAGAGCGCGTAAAGCTTTGGAGCGCGAACCGAAGTGGATCGGTAGTGAAAGACGAGAACCCCTCCCTCGGCGGTCTCAACTTGCCGGGCCGAATATGGCGATGAAATGCGGACCGACGCCGACGACTTTGCGAGTTTCGTAGTCAAGAAACACCTCTTGAGAGGCCAGGATTTCTTCGATGCTTGGAAGTCGGGCGGGAAAAGTTGCGGCATCGGCGTAGAATGGCAAGGAAAGCGAAGGCATGATGCGGTTGTGGCTGATATGCCGGCGACGCTGGAGTCTAGACAAGTTGAAAGCTCTAAAGAGTGAGGGAAATGTTGTGGAATTCGGATAGGCAGCCTGCGTACTCCAGTAACAGTAACCTAAAGGTGAATGTGGCCGTGTGAGTATGTAGTTCAGCCTGGTGGCTAGACAAGTGAGGCGGCGAAGGTTGAGGGTTTCGAATGGACGAATAGGTACCTAGCTTATGGTATTAGACGCAGTTTACATGTTATCCCATCCGCAACGGCCATAAAGCGAAGCTGGTACATTCTTCAAGGAGGAGGGAAAGCGCGGAGAGTTGGTTTGGCGTTTTGGGCATCCTCGACGCTCTCGTTCATCCTTCACATACTATGTGTCATTGCGCCTTGGTAGCAACGAACTCGACAGACTCATGGCAATCCTGGGCACGACGGAGTTTAATAAAGTCCAATGTAGGGTCCCTGGAGGAGCGATTCCATGTTAGTTTACATCAACTTGATATACAATGCCCTACCGGGACCGTGATACCGTCAAACCATTCCCCAAGGATACATACCGTCGGTCTTTCGACCACTGGGGCGTTACGCTCTCCCAGATGAGCATCTAAATCTCCCCAACCCAGCCACCATCCAAATTCCCGTCCATCCATCTCGCACACAAGCACCAACTCCCAGCCGCCGTATCAATGCTTACCGAGTCAAGCAACAACACCGGAAGTCCGCAACGAACCGACTGTCCGACTCACTTTTGTGAGAGTGCATTAGACGATCTTGACCCTTTGCACGTTGCATCCGCAACTTACATAGGTAGTAGCGTCCTCCGCCCTGCGGTCTGCGAGTAACTACCCCACACCCCAGAGGTCATCTGAGGAGTCGAATTCTGATAATAACTGGAGCCCTCGCCAGTCCAGGATCTCGAAATGGGTGATGATCAGAGCCGATAGTGTGACGTCGGCGGCGCTGGGACCGGGGCGAGATAGCGGGTAGTGCTCGCTTGGCTGGGTTAGTGCCTTAGTTGATTACCAAGACGAGTCTAGCCGTTTAGGGATGCGGGAGGCCGATCGTGGTTTGTCTGAAAGTTGAGCATCTTGGCTGGAAAAGCGATGTGAGCGATAGCGAGAAGCTCGAAGGCTTCACAATCCAAATGTAAGCTGAAATCTCAATATAGTCGCTTGTTGATATTTTGGGATGACATCTGGTCAACTGAGCTCGAGCGACACACAACATAATGACCACCAGAGTAGTATCTTGAGATGCTCCCTTCATCCCTTGAGTCCCTTCATCAAAATGTTCCTTGCCGTCGACCTGCAATAAATCATGTGAAGGCCTCGATATCTGCCTTATCTGGAGATCCGACATACCCGACCGCATTGATTCGACAGGGCCCGAATTCCTTCGGTGGTTTCTCCGCATCGTCAAGTTGGCTATGCCGTGCAATGGTCAGCACTCAGCAGGCAACTATGCAGCTGGCTGTAATGGTTGTCGTGAAGGTGGTGTTAGACATGGAAGCTTGACATCGTGCGATGACGTAGGTAACATATATGTTGAAGAAAGGTTCCTATTCAGCAAGAATCTGGCAACACTTCGCTTCGTGGAAATCACGACAGCGACGTTGTCCGGTCAGAAGCATGAAAAGCACTTTTCCTAAACACCCTTCCTTCCCAACGTGCAGCAAGTCGGTAGGGATTAGGGGCACGGAATCTCATCCTTCGGCCTTCCGCTTGACCCGCCAAAGCTATTTAGATGTCTGTCGTTCATTTCCTAATTGAATTGTCGTCGTGACACCGTTGAATCCACTTGGCCAGTGGGATTAGAAGCTTCTCCGGGATTGGCATTGAGCCCTGGCGAAAGCTTGTCTGATTGGCTGATATCCCTGTTCGCTTCTGACGTCAAGTCCCACTTCCCGTTTACCTGAGGCTCACTGCAATGACGATTTTGGGAAGGGATTCGCAGGGCTGGGAAGTAGGTTTCATTCCGTCGCAGAATGCATTAGGTTTGGCATCGCCCGTATTGAGGGAGAATAACATCTGGGACTCGATATCGACGACGGAGGTAGTCGGACGGTCAGGATGGGTTTCTGGGCCTCGAACGATTCATCCCCAGATTCAGGGACCGACTCTGGGGAAGGGGTATCGCGATATGTTGGGACTGGAACACTTTGGCAGGAGTCTGGGGTTAATCCCAATTTGTCCAATGAAAGCCAGCCGTATCTAACCCCCTCACGCGTTCCCCGGGACCCACAAGAGATCAACATCACCGACAGCTGACTGGAGTACTGCTAGCTGGACACTGCATGGAGAAGCCCTTTAGACCTTGCCGTAGTACTTGATTCAAAAGGCCCTGATCGTCCACTTCTCCGCCAAAAGATTCCAAGGTGCTTTTGTCCACTCTCCCTACCCTCGTACAGAAGATCCCCATTGTCGGAGAATTGAAAGGGATTGTTTGTATTCTGTGAATACCAACTCGCGAAGATCGGCGGAGTATCCCTTGTATATATACGGGCAAACCGACGAAGCCCATATCGCCCGCCATCATGGCAGATCTGGAAGAAAAGAAAGCAAGGCGCGACTCCTCCGACGAACGCGCTGAGGACATCGGACCAGATGTTCCTCGAACCCCCCGAAACGCCAGCGTTACCGTCTCCGGCAGGCGGGTGAGCCTCGCCGACCGCGTGCAGAGCAATGTCAACGCGAAGCTCCAAAATCCGCTCGAAGCGTACTCGGATGTCGAGCTGACGACCATGGGCCGAGAATATGCGTTGGCCAACGCCATCGCCGAGCCGGAGGACGTGAGAGCGTTTGAGCTCGGTGCGATCCTCGCGAAGGATGCGGCGATGTTTGAGAACATCGCAGGCAAGGCCACGGAGGAGGAGCTGGATGTGTTGCGTCGTGAGTACTCGCATCGATGGAGCCAGCCTAAGTTGCTGTATTTGGTGATCGTCCTTTGCTCGACATGTGCGGCTGTACAAGGAATGGGTAAGTTGCCCTGTCAGTAATTGTTACCTGGACGACTGCTGACGTCTTCAAGACGAGACGGTCATCAACGGAGCACAGCTATTCTACGGCGCTCAGTTTGGTATCGGCGGCACTGCGCCTCGGGATACATGGCTCCTGGGTGTAGTTCACGCCGCTCCGTATATCTGCGCCTCATTTATCGGCTGCTGGCTCACCGCGCCGCTCAACAACCTGTTCGGTCGACGCGGAACGATCTTCATTACCTGCTTTTTCTCCGCCGTCGCTTGTTTCTGGCAGGGATTCACCAACTGCTGGTGGCATATGTTCGTGGCTCGTTTTGCCCTCGGTTTTGGAATCGGTAAGCTGCCTCGATCGGAACGTCGATCGCAGATTGACTGATCGACATATAGGACCCAAGTCGTCCACCACGCCAATCTTCGCTGCGGAAACCACCCCGCCCGCGATCCGTGGCGCCCTGGTCATGCAATGGCAGATGTGGACTGCCTTCGGTATCATGGTGGGCTACATCGCCGATCTCGCCCTGTATTATGTCCCCGATACTCCTGGCGTTCACGGCCTCAATTGGCGATTGATGATGGGTTCTGCCATGCTCCCCGCCGTCGTCGTATGTTGCTTCGTCTTCCTGGCTCCCGAGTCGCCTCGCTGGTATATGAGCAAGAACCGACATCATGCTGCATATGGTAGCATGGTACGACTGCGATATAACCGGATCCAGGCGGCCCGAGACACTTTCTATATGGCGAAGCTGCTTGAGGTGGAGAAGGAGATCCAGACTGGCAGTTGGGCTATTTTGGAACTGATCAAAGTTCCTCGAAACCGACGCGCCATGCTCGGATCCGAGATCGTCATGTTCATGCAACAGGTGAGTACAATACCGAAGAGTATTCTAAAACCGCGAAACCGAGCTGACTCAACTCCGTAGTTCTGCGGTGTCAATATCATCGCGTATTATTCGTCCTCTGTATTCTTGGACGCCAACCTGTCTGAGGTTAGCTCCTTAGCGGCATCGCTAGGGTTCGGCATCATCAACTGGCTTTTCGCCATCCCAGCTATTTACACCATCGACACATTTGGTCGGAGGAATTTGCTGTTGACAACCTTCCCCCTCATGGCCATATTCCTGCTCTTCACGGGCTTCTCCTTCTGGATCCCCGAAGGCACTGGACGGATTGCTTGTGTGGCACTCGGGATCTATCTGTTTGGCATGGTATACAGTCCGGGTGAAGGTCCAGTCCCTTTCACCTACAGTGCCGAAGCGTATCCTTTGTACGTGCGCGCGGTTGGGATGTCACTGGCTACTGCGACCACCTGGTTTTTCAACGCGGTGCTCGCCGTGACCTGGCCGTCCATGTTGCAAGCGTTCAAGCCCCAGGGAGCATTCGGTTGGTACGCGGCCTGGAACATGATTGGCTTTGGTCTGGTCCTCCTGTTCATGCCTGAGACGAAGGGCAAGACACTCGAAGAGTTGGATCAGGTGTTCAGCGTGCCGACGCACGTGCACGCGGCCTACGGGATCCGGCAGCTGAAATACATCTTCCGCAGGTTCGTCTTGTTCCAGAAGGTGGAGCCGGAACGGTTGTATGAGCGGGAGACATATGAGGGCCAGGATGTAGAGGCATGAAGGAACGTTGCTGAACTCGAGGTGGAAGGTTGAGAGACTTGCTATAGCGAGGGGATGACTTGATATAACTGCAAATACTTAATCATATATGATAGAAGATGCCAGATGGATAAAGGGACTTGGTAGACTCAGCGTGGAATAGCGAAGAGACTTGATGCAGAGGTAAATTTCTATACGAAGACGGTGCTTTACGGTAGATTCGAGTATACGGTAGATACACGGTAGATAGGAATCTACGATGAGAGAAATTCTACGGAGAACAGAATCAACCGTTGATCTACGGTAGATCTACTACTAGACAGCGCGGTTTCCTTATTTGTACCACGGCTTCCTCATTTCTACCAAGCGCCTACCTATTTCTTATCCTGAGTCCCTGAGTTCCTGAGTTCCTGAGTTCCTCTCTTCCTCCATGTCTGTTCCTCTGTTCCTTTGTTCCTCTACATCCTGTCACCCTCTCAAGTCTCAAAGCTATCAGCGTCGATCCTATCCTCCCCGTCAAGGAACACGACGGACACGGCAATGAGGTGTCGTTGGACAAGGATTCGGAAACGCTGCTGTATGTAAACTAGAGCAAGATCCACTTTATGTAGTGCCTGGCGCCAGATAAGCTCAAGATAGCTGGCTGTCATGAGAGATAAATCAGACGGATCGGTGCAATGAGAAGGGCTCTCTGGTGGACGATTTGCTTTATGGATGGATTCTGGTGGCTCGCAAAGCGTTGGATGGAAGGATGGATGGGTGGATTCTGATGGCTTGCAAAGTGTATGATGGATGGACGAGATGAATGGATGGATAGATCGTTGCACTGGTGGCATCAAATGGGTATCTGGGATGATGGGACGCGAACAATACACCGACACACACTCCCTACCGTGGAAGGCAGGTGTATCTACACCGATCACAGGCGCACCGCACTATGTCTGGCCCGCCCAATCCTGGTCGACTCTCAACATGAACGTGGTATTACATGGGAATGACGGGATACAGCGATGTATGTATGATACACAGCTTTCCGATGAGCTTAGCAAAACATTCAAGCAGCATGGGGGCTGCGTGTGGCGAGTATAACATTCCTGCAAGTGAACCGCGTGATGAGTAGTCGATCTGGCAACCGTGGGCATACCGTAGTTCAGCAGATCAACGGTGGATAAACCAATCAACCGTTGATATACCGTTGAATACGTCTATACGTATAATGCAATCAACGGTATAGGCGAAAATCAACCGTTGAATGCGCTATACGAAGATGTGAAATCAACGAGGAAACTTCCGTTGATTCGTATCAACCGTTGATTTTTTTCAACGGTGGATCAACGGTAGATCAACGGTTGATTGGTCCCTGCAAGTTCCGCTACTGAGGAACATCTGCATGAGGCATCAAGGCATTAACAACAAATCCTCTAATTCACAATTGAATGAATGAACGAGCAATGAGCAAACAACAAAACATAAAACAAACCGAGCTCAGCTGCCAATTCCCAATTGCTAACACCGTCATCTTATCTGACTACCTACTCACTAGTTATCTTAAAATTGATCTGACTAGTACCTAGTACTTAGCAGCTTCGTGTGATGAGAGCACGGATGGTGTGTCGCATTGCTACTAAATGAGGAGATTGAATCATTAAAATTGCGGCTGGACTGAGACCTGCGGAATGCGGAGTGGCGGAGCCTCTTCATTTCAATCTTCAACTCATCGAATCTCCGTATCAGAGCCTTGTGGAGTGGTGGTTTCCCAAATCCTCAACCGAAATCTCACATCCAGAATCCAGATCTCGGAGATTTGCCGAAATATTCCATGTTCAACTAAGATTTGTTTTTGGCGAGGCCAATGATGAAATGAGGGAGCCAGCTCGATTTCGAGCCGTTTGATGAGCCAGGAGAAGGTGGAGGTTTCAAATCGGCGGACTCAGCGGAGCCACGCATCCGTGCACGTCAGCCGCCTGGGCCTAAGGCCTTTCCCCCTCCCGACTCCCGTCGTCCGGTCATCTCGATGGTCGCCCGCGAAACAGGTTGCTTTTTTCGTCCCCCTGGCGCTTCCAGCAGGATCCAGGAGCCCGGTCTGGCGCAGGAACAATTTACGATATTTGTCGATGATTGGTGTAGCTCAATTCAAAGTTTCGAACATGCTTAAAGAGCTGGGGGTGTTGCCCGGTCGTTGGGGGTTCCGCGAGTCGCTGAGTTCGCTTCCCACGGTGATGAAGACCGGAAATCGAGTCTCTGTCCTTCGGTGATACGTCGACTCTGTCCCGTTACACAGTGATGGTTGTACCGAAGGACGTCGAAACGAATCAACTGATCAACGTGAAGAAGCATTCGAGTCCAGATGGTATCAGCAGCTCCCAGTCAACCCGAAGGAGCTGGATGTGATGAAGATCCTGCGCTGACAGGCATCGTAATCGGAGGAATGGCTTCAGCGCCACCATGTGCCTGTAATCTACTAATCTTCAACCATTAGCAGCGCTCCACAGTAGTGATGCGCACCCCCATCCCTGGACCTCTCCTGGTGAACCAGACGATCCTCTCTTAAGCTCCAGACGATCCTCACCGAGTCCACGAGGGGTTTTCCTTCTTTTAACCTGTCCTTGTCATTCATTCTTTGTGCAGTTTGTCGAAGTGTCCCTGGCTGGCACATTGGTCGTCTTTGTTCACTCTCTACCTTTCACGTCATTTTTCGTGCTCCAACTACTGCCTCTCATTTTCGTGTCGATACTCCCTTCGGATCACTCCTTTTCCGTTGTGTGCATATCACCACTGACCTGCTTGTTTGTCGTGGCCAGTCCATTTGACATATCATCGGTATTCCTTCAAGACAAGCCCGACGCCGATCGCTTGTAGAACAAGCCACCCGTCCTCGATATCCTTCCAAAACACCGTCTTTTTGACCTTCATATCCAAGCAAAATGATTGCTAGAACCGGACTCGTTTTGGCTATGGCCGCTGCTGGTGCCCATGCCCATTGTGGATGGACTGGGTTCTATGTCAATGGTGTCTCTGTGGTATGTTGAGAATTGCTCCCTCTCTGTTCGTTGCTTACCGTAGCCATAGGGTGACGGAACGGCCATGCGAATGTCAAACATCCTTAAGGAGGCCAACTTCCCAGTCAGCCCTACCAGCGAGGATGTAGCCTGCAACGTGAACGGAAAGAATGGTGTTTCCCGAACTGCTCCCGTCAAGGATGGCGATACGCTTTCTTTCGAGTGCCGCTCAAACATGCCCGATGTGACGAATACCGGTGGTGACGGTCCTATCGCCGTTGGACATTATGGACCATGCGCTATCTATGCCAAGAAAGTTGACTCCGCCATCGAGGATCAAGGTATGTACACTAACAACAAGACGCTCGTCCTGTTTCTCACTGCCATTAGGTGTCGGTCCCGGTTGGTTCAAGCTCTGGGAGGACGGCTACGATGAGTCCTCCGGAAAATGGTGTAACGAGCGCTTCATCGAATCTGGTGGCCTCCTCTCGGTGACTCTCCCCCAAGGCCTCCAAGGCGGCGACTACCTGTTCCGCCCCGAGATCCTCGCGCTGCACAACGCCAACCAAGGCGACCCGCAATTCTTCACCGGCTGCGCCCAAGTGCACCTCGAATCTACCGGCAACCTCGTCGCGAAAGACACCGTCAGCATCCCCGGCTGGGTCTCCACCTCTGATCCCGGCGTCGCCTACGACCTCTATAAATACCCCAGCATGGACCTCCCCTACCCGATTCCCGGACCACCCATCGTCGAGCTCGTCCCCGGCGACTCCACGGCCTCCACCTCCTCCGTCCAAACCACCGGCCTCCTCCCCTCTGACTGCATCCTCGAAAACAACAACTGGTGCGGCAAGGAGGTCCCCACCTACAACACCCAGGACGGCTGCTGGGCCTCTGCCCAGAACTGCTGGGACCAGAACGACGTCTGCTGGGACACCGCCGGCCCTACCGGCGGCCACGGCTGCGAAATCTGGGGCGATTACTGCAAGACGCTCGGCGACCTCTGCGAGAACAAGAACTTCAACGGGCCCCCCAACGCCGGAAACGTCCTCACCCCGCAGAAGCGCACCATCTCCCCCAAGTTCTGGGGCTCCGGCGAGCCGATCGTCGGTGCGGGCGCACCCTCTGCTACTCCAGTTGCGAAAGCGCCAGTGGCGGGTTCGCAGTCCTCGGCTGCGGCATCGCCGACTGCGGATGCGGGATCGGGATCCGGATCGCAAGGAGGAGAGCAGCCGGCCGCGTTGCCGGCGCCATCGTCATCGCAGTACTTCGAGCCTGCGCCGAGCAATGTCGAGCCGGCACAGGGCAATGCTGCGCCGGCGCCGAGCCAGGGTCCTGTTGAGCCTGCCGCGGTTGACGGTGACGTGGTGACGGTGACGGTGACGGCGTACACGACCGTTGTCGTGGACCAGTTCGTGACGGTGTCAGCGTAGAAGATGTGGTGGACAGTTGGAAACTTTTGATAGAGGGTGGTTGGTACTAAGCATGATCTCATGGTGGCGTTGAACCAGGCTTGTAGACAATCTTTGGTGACTTCATGTATGTATTTTACAGACATTTTCGAACCGTGCCTCTTTTGTGGAATCGCAAGTGATAGACTTTTCATTTGGACCAGCTCACTTGCAAATGATCTGAGGAGTACCACATAGAATTGGACCGCAAGGCTGCTCAGCAATTTTTGGGAAGGGTATATTTTATTTTTTAAACTTGATTTGCTACGTGACCCACTCGCCATTCTCCCCCCCTCGGGCGCCGTCCTCCAAACCCCATCCATATGCATCCTCTCTCCCTCTTATTATCCTTAGTCGAAGTGTCTAACGGCAAACCTATTCCAAGAACCAAATTAGCCATCTGAAACCCCAGACGTTCATGAAATAAGACGGTTGCTCGTGTAGGAGTCAGACAAAGATTTACTGGCAAGTAACAGGCGCCGGCGAAGGCTCCCGAAGGCTATCGTCATGGTCGAGTCGGCCGGGATTGAAGACAATAAGTTGCTTTCATCATTCGAACACGGTGGTATGGAGGGAGAGGGAATGGGAGAGCGGGAACGTACCTTTGGTGTGAGAGATCAATGCAGGACTGGATGTTGATATATCAGATTTGGACGACCAGCCAACGGAGCAATCCAGTCCGGATTCCGACATATCATAATAGAAGGCGTGATTAGTGCAGAAATCGATCGCATAACATTAACAGATCGCCAATTGAATGGTTGGAAGTTAGAAGGGACGCAGTGAAAGAGGAAGAGAAACTTCGCCGAAGTGAAGTTTTAAGGCGGTTGGAAAATTGCAGACGTCTTCGGGATAAGGATAAGCCGAGCCGAAAATTACAACGGCTTGGCATGCGCTAGTAGTACATTGTTTTGTATCGTTGTATGAAACACGCCTAATCGAGGCCAATTCATAGAGAAGCAGGCTCTAAACAGCCTAGCGTTATGGACTCGATTGGATGGCTGGGAGCATTGTCATGTTTCTGACGGTTTTCAACCAAATCTAGCCCTTTGCAGTCGTTGCAGGTGACTCTCTCCGTCCGTCTCTCGCCCAGTCGCCGCCCCCCGTCCCCCGTCTTCCGCCGTCCGCTGCAACTCTCACGCCTCTCGCACCTCACGCCTCGCACCTCACGCTCTCCCAGCACCACACCTCATCTAGTCCCGTATCTACCTCTCCACCACCCATCCCATCTCGCCGTGATACCGAAATCCTCCACCATCCTCTTCCCCATCTCTTTCCTCCTCCCATTCCCTCTCGACTCCCCTTCCACCATGCCCTTCCCCAGCGACGCATAGCCCATGGCGCCGGCCCCGATCCCCAATTGCGCTGCTGTCGCGACACCCTCCTAACGGCTCCTCTTCGTCCATCCGCCGTCCGATCGCCTTCCGATAGGCCGCTTTGCCACCTCTGCGTCGCCGTCCGGTCGCCGTTCCTCCTCTTCGATCCCTTTCGCATATATCTGGATTTAGTTACGTCGCGCGTGGTCCCATCGCCCGTTGTGGAGGACTGGCGCTGTTGATCCCCGAACCGCCATTGGAACGAAATCGCGTGGCCTACTCTGTGGCTTCCTCACCGCCGTCGCATCGTTCTGCATTCGACGACCATCCTTTCTCGCGCTGCCAGCGTTCGTGGAACGATCTAGCCAGTTTTTCCGCCTTCATTTACGTGACGCCAGAATCTTGCGGTCGGCCCTGGAGCGAAACGATACTGACCGCTTTCAAACCTTGGGGCGAATACATTTAGCCATTCATACGTTACATATGTACAAAAGCCCAGATACCCATTCGAATTTTTTGGCCCCGATACCCTCACCGTCGGATCGACGGTTTAGCAACGTCGACAGCGCAGGAGCAGCCGAGTCGCCTGTCCGCGAGCAGGTCCAGGACTTGGCGTCGAGATCGGACGTGTGGGAGTGGAAGCACGTCGCGAGGTAGTTGAGCGCTCGAAGCGCACCCAAGATGCAGGTCGCGATGCCACCGTACGCGCCGCAACATGGCGGGATGCAACATCCGGGCATGCCTCACGGACAACCGGGCCATCCTCAGCAGGGACATCCGATGGGACAGCAGATGCATATGCATCAAGGGGTCTCGGGTCCGAATGGCCCGCATGTCACGCAGCCGGGACCGATGATGGGAGGTATGCAGCCTGGTATGGGCGGTGTAGGACCTGGAGCACCGAGTCAGCATGCTCTATCACATCTCACACCTCAAAACCCGATGTTTCACCAGCAACAGTTACAGCAAAGTAAGTCGTGTCTCGTATATACCATGGTCCTTGTCCATATATGCCGACGTATAGTGGTGCTGACTAGACATAGTGGCCGCAACAAATCCCCAGATGGCGGCTCAGATCCAGCATCAGCAACAACAACAACAGCAGCAATTGTTCCAGCGGCAGCAACAGTTGCTCCAGGCCCAAGCAAATCAGCCAGGGAATATGCCGATGGGATTCCAGCAGGGGAATATGGGTGCGATGCAACAACATCTTGCTGCTTCAGGTCCTGGTGGCATGCCCCAGTTGACGCCAAACCTCCAACAACAGATGCAGCAACAAAGACTGATGGCGATGCGGGAACAAGCGATGCAAAATCAACGACAACAGCAACAACAACAACAAATGGCCCAACAAGTAGCAATGCAGCATGCACCCTCGCAGCAAAGCAACCAAGGTCAACCGATGCCACAACCTCATCAACAACAACAACAACAGCAGCAGCAGCAGCAGCAAGGCCAGATGCAACAGGTGCCGGTGAGACCGCAGTCTCAAATGAGCAGCCATGGACAAGAGGGCCAACAAGGGCCGCAACCTCCTCCGAAGCCCCCAGGCCAACATCCACAACCACAACCTGGACCACAGGGTCAACCTGGACCACAGCCGCCAAATCAACCACAGGGACCGCAGCAGAGCCCGGCTAATCCCCAGCAACCTCAAAAGCCGAATATACAGCAACCGAACGTGCAACCGAACATGCAACCGAACATGCAACAACCTCAGATGCGGCCCGGCATGCCACAGTTGACACCACAGCAGCAGGCGCTGATGCAACAACGGCGGCAGGCAGCCTTAAATAGCCAGAAGATGAGCATGAGCATGAGCGGTGCTCCCATCCTCATTCTCATGCAGTTCGCGGACAACCTGGGACGTTTCAACGTGAGTATGCCTACACTCGCGGATCACAAGCATGCTGACAAATTCTAGGCCCGAGAAAAGGAAAACAACATCGCTCACTGGAGACAATTCGTGGCTCAGTTCTTCTCCGACGAAGGAACATTACGTCACATCCTAAGCGATATGAGCGACCATCACACGAAACAGTTCGATATCCAGCATAGCTCGCTACCACGATATTTCCTCGTCCAGTATGATAGTGGCATCGATCAGATCCAAATCATTCTGGAAGGCACCTCAACTCGTGATCTGGGAGGTGGGTTATCTTCGGTCGAGTCCAGTCGAGCCAAATTCCTCTACACGTTCCGCAATGGAACTCTGGTATGTTGATTCCGAGATAGCGGTGGGGTCACACTAACCTGCTTGCAGCTGGTTTGCACGGGGACACTGCGTGCGTTATTCTCGCAAAGTCAAAAAATCGAGGCGCTCGAGATCGCCGTCGAGAAACACAGCCAGTTTCTGCCGCGAGGACAAATCGAGAGCTTGTTCAACAAACCCTCGCCGACGCAAGTCCAGAAGCCGTCCCCGCGCATGAGCAAGAAGGCGCAAAACCAGAGAAATAAGAATCAAGAGCCCCCTCCGCCGCCATCAATCACGCAATCCGACCTCCCCGACTCCGGAATCCACAACTATGGCACTACGGAGGCTATGATAAATTTCCTAGAAGTGAGTCCTCCACTGAAGTTTTCTATCCAGTCATTTAACCCTTCCTAGATCAACGAAACCCTCGCCCACCTCAAACCCCTAATGTACTACGCCAAAGACCACCCCGAACTCACCCTCCCCCAAGCCCTCGACAACGTCGTCCAAACCTTCAACTCCCAATCCTCCTCCATCCTCTCTCTCCCCCCCTCCCAACCCCCCCCGGGCCCCACCTTCAAATGCAACCTCAACCCCCCCATCCCCCCACTCACCAACAACCCCAACCCATGGTCCCCCCGCACCCCTCCTCCTTCCCCACCCCCCAACAACCCCAACCCCAACAGCCCCCTCGCAACCCCTCTCTCCAACACCACGCCAACTTCATCAACATGTCCTCCCACCTCACCAACCAACCCATCCCCAACGGTGGCTCCCCCCACCCCGTCAACCTCAACGCCGCCACCGTCGGCGGCCCCGTCGCCTCGCCCGCCCAGGCCCCCGGCCTGCTCCCCCAGCTCAGCCAGCAGAGCGGCGGCAGCGCCACTGTCAGCGGCGCGAGCGCGAATACGAGCCCGAACGTCGTGGCGGGGAAGAGAAGGCGGAGTACGGTGAAGGGGGACGATGATGAGGGGCCCGGGGTGAACGGGGCGGGGAAGGTGAAGCAGAGTCCGAGGGTAGGTGGGGTGAAGAGGCAGAAGGCGGGATAGGGCGATGAAATTGGGCCCCTGGATGGATGGGCGCTACGATGGTGGCGGTGATGCGGTAGACGAATGAGATGCGGCGGTTTGAGAGAGGATGGAAAACGTGCGGCAGCGCAAGAAGAGGAGTTAATGACGATATTCCGAGCGTTTTGATCTTGGGGATTGGATTGGAACGGAGGACCTGTACCGATGTAGACGAGCTTGAACGAATTCCACCCGCGAACCCAGAAGACACGAGCATCCGCGGTGCGCCTATCCGTGCGTGCGTGCGTTGAAAGAGTGGGATGGAATAAGGAGATGTGTTGAAGAAGGGCGGTTGGGCGATCTAAGATTGGAGTAAAAGATGGAGCTGAGGACGCCAGAGAGCAGGAGGGCAGCAAGTGCAGGCCACATATCGACCGATAGAATCAACCCACGACGACATCCTGCGACCTGGCGTCGTTCATTCATCCATCCATCCACCCATCCATTCATCGCCCGTCCACGATCTCCTCTCCTTCCCTCCTCCTCAACGTCGCGTTCGTCGCCCAATTTCCATCCTTCGATCCATCCTAACCATCCCACCCTACACTCGTCCGAATCTAACCACCTCCTCCGACTCCTCCCGTCCATCGCGGTCCACGACCTACGTTACTTAGCGGGTTCCTCCCTTTTCCGTCATCCCGCCTATCCCATTCCTGATTTCCGACCTGCCACCCGGTATCTATCTATCCGGTGCATGGGTGCACGGCTGCTTTCTTGCTCGCTTCCTCGCGGACTTGTTTGCTCACTTGCATGCTCTTTTGGATTTTGGGAGTCGGCTACCAATCGCGTGGACTGAATTGGCTTGGCGAGGGTGGATGGGATGGATGAACGGATGAACGGAGTTTCGATGGATGGATAAATTCGATGGATGGGGTATGGACGGTGGTATCGACTGCATGCAGGTGTATCATATAGTCCCGGGAGATCCTCTTATCCCCTTCCGTCCACCTCCTTTCCTCTCCTTCGTCTCTTCTTCCCCTCTCCTAATTCTATCTCTTTCTCTTCCTGTTTTTCCTCATAAAACTGGCTTCTTGGCGCGTCCCGCCAACAGGAACACACGCGAGCATCTGGAGTTTTGGGTGATTGGGGCGGTTTTCTTTTTAATACCTTGGTGCTTTGAGAAGGGTCGCAACGGTGCCTACTGTACTTATTTTTACTTACCTGCGCACTGTAGCTACCGTGCGTAGCTTGGAGTTCGCGGACGAGAGAATGGGATATCATGAGATTTTGATCACAACTCGAGTTTCTTGCTTGGAATTCATTGCGTGAGTGGATGGGTAAAATCACGGGATGATATGATGAGTCAGATGGGCTCGAAAAAGGTTGTAGAAATGTTTGCATTGTTGCGGTGCTATGTGCCTGCCCATAGCCCCATATACCACTATCCCATCCCATCCATTCCATTCCCTCCATCCGTAATATATCCCTCGACTGCACTATTGAGCATCGCGGTCCATAACGGCGACAACTCCGATGATCCGAGTGGGGATGGCTCATGGCGAATCATCGGTCGGAGTAGCATTGAGAAGAGCATCCATATATGTGTACGACCGACGACACACGGCGGAGATGCGCAACACCGTGTTGAGGAGCCGAGGAGGTAGTGCGTGAGTTCATCCATTGGCCGGAACCCATTCCGATAAATAATGCCGTGCCGTTGATCATTCGTCGACCGCTGGCTTCGAGAACCCCCGCTCTACCATCGCAAGATGGATGGCGAGTTGGATATCCCGAGCTAGTCAGGTTTGATGACGATAGAGGAAGACGAAGATAGGGCAAGGGGTGATCGCATTCCATCGATCCCATCCATACGTGAATGACCGTGAAGTCCATAATCCATTCCCCGGGTACCACATCCATCCAACCGTTCGTTCGTTGATATCCAGACATGCGCTTTTGATGAGAAACGGAAAAACATAAAGGTGGTGTGAGATCGGGTCGTGTGTGTCGACACTCGAGAAGAGAAGGGGCTGTGTATCCAAGTCCGGTCGAAGGGTTTGGGTACGTGATCGTCGTCCGGAGGAGAATAAGGAGGTGCCTAACCGCGTGTGGTCCGTGATGTATGTACGACGGCAATGGTATGTACCCAGGATGTTCATGATCCAGCCGTTTGTCGGGCGCTCGCTGCCGGGGAAATCTTTCGCTCGTGACAAAGAACAATGTCTCGTGGTCCTCATTCATCGTGACGGGGATAGTATCGGTTGGGGAAGGAAAAAAACTGAACAGAAGAAAAACGGGGAGATCTTGCAGAATTAATTTCCCGGGGAAAAGAGACTGAACACCATTGTTCAGTAGCCCGCGTGGCCGTGTCAGGTTGCCTCCCATCTCTCATAGTCACCGATAGACAGTGAGCACTGCCTATAGCGATCCGATCATTTCGACTGTCCGTATCCATATCTCATTCGTCTATTCGCGTCTCCACATCAACCTCTCGCACGCTCCGTCATCTCCCGCAACTCCCGATTCCCTACCACCAACTTCTCCAGAAAAATCGCCGACTCCATTAACACGCTGCTCTTACTGAACCCGCCCCCTCGCAGCTCCGGCACCAGCAGATGCAGCTCGTCGAACCCCATCTTGATCAGATTCCGCCGCTTCTGCTCCGACATGATGTGATTGTTCCGCTTCTGCGCGTCGCTGAGGTTCTCGCGCGGCGTCTTCGCCGGCGTGCGCTGCGCGTCGACGCCGCCGGACACGTCGGAGCGACGGCGCTTGGTGGTGGCGGAGGTGGGGGATTGGCCGGAGGCGGAGGCGAGGGAAGGCTTGCGTGGGTTGAGGGCGGTGCGTAGGTGGAGGGCGGGTTTGCGGTCGGAGGACTCGGACGGGTCGGCGGTGGCGCGGCGGCGTTTGCGGGGGCGGTCGTTGTTGGATTCCGAGTCGGATTCGATGAAGGTGCCGGCCCAGGCGGGGATGGGGCCGTTGCCGTTCCCGTTGGCGGTGGGATGGGTGCCATTGGGTGGGGTGGAGGGGCGAGTGTCGGCGCCGGTTTCGGGCCGGATGGCGTTCATGGTGCTCATGAAGCGGTTGGTGAAGACTTCTTCGGTCTCCTGGCCGGCCGGCGGGATGAAGCCGGTCGTGCTGAAGTGGGAGTCGGATCCGAAGCGATAGAGTCGGGTGTTCTCGTTATGGGCGGCGTCCGCGGGGGGATTGTGGTTGTGTTGACGGGGGCGGCGCATGCTGTTCAAGGCCACGGAATCGCGGAACTCGGGGGAGGTCTGAACCGGAGAGAGGGGGATGAGGCCGAAAACACGCTGAATGGTTGGAGTGGGGGCTCGCGAAACTCCGTTGGACTCGATTCCGGGCGTTGCAGTGTCCAGTGCGGGGATGGGTGGGGCGACGAAATTAGGGGAGATCGAGGAAGGAACAATATCAATCTGTTGATTGTCCATGGCAGACATAGGATCGGCTTGCCCCAGGCTCGAGTGATCCGAAAGCGAATCGCGATGGTGATGGTGGTGTAGATGCTGATGATGCGCGTCGCTTCCCATCAAGGTGCTGAAAGGGTTTGCGTTGTTCATGAACGAGGCCACGCTGAAGAAGTCGTCTTCTGCACCCATGGCGATTAAATTGGAATCATCCAGCGTAGTAAAGTCGGGAATCGGAGCATGTGCATGTGAGAGACTAGAGAAGGCTTGTGATGTGGAGGGTTCTCCAGCGACGCCCTGGATCGTGGGGGGACGCTCCGACATGAGCCACGAGTAGTCATTCTTGTCGAAATTCATGTTTCCGAGTTGCGGCGTGTCATTGTTGCCGTAGTTAGCGCCGGGGTTTTCGAGAAAGCTCTCGATGAAGTGCGCCTCTCCGTTGTTTAGGAGCGGAGGCCCGGGAATCATTTCGGGCGCTTCAGGATAGGATTCATGGTAGCCGGTCGGCGGAGGAGCGGAGTAGTCTAGCATGATCAGTCGAGCCACACAATACCGGTATATTGACCAGGGGACAAGGAGACCGGAGAGAGAATGCGGGGTGGAACTTACATCCAAACATCGAGCTATTGTTATTATCGCCGGAGAATTGACCCTCATCCGCCATTTTGGGCTGTCTGGATCTTCCGCTCGACCGGGTGTCCAGAGACTTGGGTAAGTTGCCAAATGGCGAAGTCCTTTGATGGTGGTTTAACCCGAAGAAATCGTCACCACGGCCAAAACTAGCCGGGAGTACATCATTCATTTGGTCGGTCGTGGGGAAAGAGAGAGAAAGGTGGAGGAATTCGGTGAGAGGAGTGGAAGTGAGAGAGTTGAGGTCGTAGCAAATGGTCGCCTTAGGCCACCGATATTGCGATAGTGTGGTGAATTGGGGACTTGGGGTACCGGTAGTGGGGAGGGTGGCGGCTAGTGAGCATGAAGCGGGAGAGACAATAGATAGGATATTAGGTCGAGGCAGATGAAACGATTCAGACGGTTGGGTTTGAGTGGCAAGTGAGAGGAAGAATGAGTGAATGAATATCTGACCTGTGAACCGTGTCGAGTCCGAGTCCGAGACAAGTTGTGAAAGGGAGAGATGGACGGAGGGGGAGGGTGAGAGAGAAAGTGAGTGTCAAGAGTGCGTGAATGAATGATGATAAACCTGGATGGATGTCGTCTTTTTGACTGGGGGTCCCAACTACCAAGTAATAATGATGCGCCAGGTTCAACCTCCAGGTTCAACTCCAGAGTCCACGTCTTTTCAACGGACGTGGAGTCGAATTCCAACTCCGGTGGTGCAGGTCGAGCAGATGGAGGGATCTAACTCATCTAACCCGCTGGTTGCTTGAACCCCCAAGCGAACCCCAAGATTACCGGTAGGGCACAGTGCTACACTACGGCGGCCTGCGGGTAAGTGGAACGTGGAGTACCCAGTCACTCCATCAGGGAGTCTATCCAGTATCCAACGGGACTCGTGCCGGAATCCTGGGGAACGGGATCACGGTTGACGGCAGGTTGAACGGAGGGTGGTAGCCGGGAGGGAGTCTGCAGACGATCCGACGATAGCACTGATGCAGCAAGATTGCGCGAGGGAGAGGTTGCGACAGCCGATAGGATGGCTTGGATGTTGGACAGCTAGAGAGAGATTTGGGAGGGATCTGGGGATAGCGATGGTGATGATTGGAGGAGGAGGAGAAAGATGGCGTTAGTGTTAGTGTTGGCGTGAAAATGGGAGCAGTTGTGGAAGTGAGGAACGTAGAGACGCAGAGTGAAACCAACGGCTTCGGACCTTCACATGTCAATTTGCTGGCAGTCCATCTCATGCGAACATCTTGATATCTCCCTCGCTCTCACTCTCCCCAAGACCACAGGAGCACACTAATGGCTACTACTACTGCCTCCTACTACGTACTGTCGGATTACGAGTCTCTCCAGGATCGGTACCTGCTTAGAGCCGAAGACGTCACATTGCAAGCCACATATGCCAACCCTCCTTGAATTGGCATACCGAGCTCGGAAATCCGAATTTTATGGTCGGCCTGAGCGACTGATCGACTCCTGAATAGCTCCAAGGAGTCGCGGCAGTTGGTCTTGGACACTTGGACTTGGTACGTATCGCCAGTCCGCCACCCACCCCTCTAGAATCTAGCCTCCTGTCCGCCATATGACCATCGCACATATGACCATATCGCCCTAATCTACTCTCGACGACGAACTATCCCCCTCTGCCACTGTTATTCCCGGTCCTTCGGCGGTCTCCCGAATTCGCTACTCCTTTCGGCGGTAGGGTCTGGTCCCCATCGCTCGAGCCCACTCCTGCTCTGCCCGCAACCTCCCACAAAGCGGGACCTGACAGACGAAGGCTCAAACAGGCCCGACGTCCGTTTCCAATTCTCAGCCTCATTCGTGAACGCCGTTTGACATATTCGATGTACTATGTAATTTACCGCATGGCCATTTCGGGCATTTCGAATGGTTCTACTGCGCCTCATTCGAAGTTTTGCAAATCCCAATTTCCTGCAGCTAACTTGCTCAAAGTGTGAAATGCTCTGCTCTTCGCCCCCGCTTGCGCAACTTGGAGTTGACAGTTGCAGTTCGGATCATTGTTTTATGTGCCATCCGGCCGGTTTATGCATTGATATTGACTCGCGATCTACGGATCCGAGAATCCGTCCGAGTGATGCTGCAAACCGATGAAATCGTGAGGTCATCCCGTCCACATCTAAGACAAATGGCCAGAAGTGCATTGATGTGGCTTGTCCTGGAACCCTCTACTGGTGGCGCGCATAGTCGCATCCTCGTCCCCCGCCTAGGATTCCATAGACGTGCCTCGCGTCGACCAATCTCATCTGGGGTTTGAAATTGAGCGACAGGGCTTATCCATCCTGGATCGCTAGCATGAACCTGGCATCCCACACGACCAACTTTTCGACCGGGAACAAGGAGCATTCAGCATCCGAAACTCCCCCTGGTCAGCGAGACGACACTCGACAGCGTTTCTCGTAATCCAGTTGGTTCACCCCGCCATGCGCAAAGCTTAACAGGCGGATACCAACCTCCATTTCCATCCAATTCGGAACGATGACCAGATCGATCATTGAAACAATAGTCGGATTAATCACTAACAACGCCACTGTTCGGCTCGACCTACCTCCAGCATTCCGCGTTCCCCCTTTCCAGTCGATCATCGCCGTCCATCGAAGTTAGCGGCGCAAAAAAATCCGCTTGCGTTGGGGGCTTTTGAACTTTCCCCTTTGTAGGGCCGATCGACTGTCGAACATTCCTGTCCGTCACGGGTTCGCGACTTGTTCCGACATCCGAGCACGAGGGACGGCTTTGAAACAGTGGCAGCTAGTGGGGGAAGTAACTGCCGCCCACCTGATAGGTTGATGCCACTGCTTCCATCTGACGATCTCGTCCTACCCGCTTATCCACGACGCCACAGTCCACACGCTACATCTCCTTTGACGTGCGCGTGGTACGTACCGTACCCCAACATCCTGATTCCCGAATCCTCCAGATAGTATTCCATTTTGAATTCATGATGCACGATTAAAGTGGCCTGGCTCAGCTGTTCCGTTCTCCGAGCAGCCACGAGGTCGAGAGTCGAGACCACAGTCCATCCCCTCGCTCGCTCCTACCCGTCCCTGCCGTTGACTCTTCCGACCCCGTGGGGAAGTCAATCACTTACCGCTCTTCTATTCATTCTCATATCCCCACGGAACGCGTTCTCCCTCTCTAGTCTCTGCAGTCCCCCGCCCTCTTGCAGGCGACATCCTCGACATGCGTGGGAAGGGGTCGATGACCAGAACGGCGAGGATCGCCAACCCCGGATTATCAGCGACGCTCAAACCGTATGTCTCACTCAGCGCTCCGTTCCAGACTCGAGATGTTTCAGCATGTCATGTCGGCGCCTTGACGCCTTAATGATCTATTATATTCATGGCAGATACCGCATGGTTGTGGAAGCAGGAAATCCCAGTCTAGGCTTGGGTTTCATTCCAATTCCCCCCTTTAAGCATATCTTCCTCAAAGGACAGAGACTGACCGTAGCTCTGTGGCCGTGTTTAGTCTTCTTCGAGCATACAGCCTTGGATATGCTTCCACCGCAGGTCCCAAAATTCTAGGAGTGATTCTAGCACTGTTTCAAGGAAGATCCTCCTGGGCGACGTCCCTTGCCAAAGTGAGTTTAGCTTTCCGTTCAGCCCGTGAACATTTCCTTCGTCGTTCTGTTTCATCGTTTTTTCAATTTCTCAACGTCTCGGAACATACAGTTGAAAAAGCCAAATGATCGCGTCCTCGTTGAGTCCATCTGCACTATTCTTGTAAAGTGACCCTGAAAACGTCACTGTCATATGAAAGTCCGAGAGTTGAGGATCACCGATATCCTCCCCCTGCATAAGCGGGAGCTTCACACGAAGCTTGCCTGTTAGCATTGCTCGGTCGACGACTAGCGTAAGCCAGTCATTCTAAACTCGACAAGCCAAAGACGTCATTTCTATGATTCCTGTCAGCTGGACCAGTCACTATTGAACAATGAGCATGGCACTTCTAGGCTTCCCCAGATCAGGACCAAGGATTTCCGAATTCGTCCGATATCTGGGGCAGCTACATCGACGAAGAACCCCAGTCCCTAACAATTGAACCCCAAGATCGTCCCTCTTGCCGAGTCGCCTATCTCAATTTGCCATGTGCTTTTTGGATGTGCTATTTTCGTGGCATATTCAAGTCAGGCCAGTCAGATGCTTACTATTGCGGTGAAACGTAGGGTGCCCTAGCCCTCCGGAATGCAGCTGGCCCTCAACGGTTTCCAGCCTTCTGCGCTGTCCTGGTCGGCGGGTCAAAGGTGCTGGAAGAACCCCTTTACACAATTCTCCTGAGCTTGCTGGGCGCAGCTCGGTCTGGCACATGTCAATCGGCTTCAAGTGGTCGCAAAGTCGGCCTGCAGCAGCAGTCCGCAAGCCATCATTCGATACGGATAGTATCCCGACTGGCATCATCAGCCATTTCAGCGTTCTTGGCGTTTGAGCTGTTGAATTCCGGGGGACGGCGATCGTCTGCCGCGGTGCTTGGCCACAGCAAGTTCGCATCATCATCGACAGAGGAAGCATCTGACAAAGATGTTGAGAAAGGAGAGCACAACGATGGAGGCAATCCATCGAACGAGAAAGCCGACACCATGATGTTCCCTCCCACCCTAATGTACTCGTACACCGTCCCCCTAACCCTCTTCCTCCTTCCCCACGCCATCCACACTCTCCTCCACATCCCCATCTCCCTCCGCTCCACCACCACCCCCCTCCCTCTCTCCCCCCGCCTCCCCCGCCCCCTCACCCACTCCACATACCCCACCTTCTTCATCTTCTCCTCCGCCATCCTCATGCACGCCTGGATGTACACCCCCTCCCTCCTCCCCCGCTCCTACGCCTCCTGGATTTCCTCCGCCGCCCACCTTCACCCCTCCATCCTCTCCGTCCTCCGCTCCGCCCGCATGGGCCGCTGGCTCTACGCCTCCGACCTCCCCCTCCCCGACTCCTCCGTCCTCTCCCCGCTCGCCTCCCGCCTCGCTCTCCCCCCAACCTGGGCCGACCCCGCCAACCTCGACCGCTCCCCCACCGACCCCCGCGGCTTCGGCACCACCAACGGCGGCGTCCCTGGCTCCGACCGCTGGGAGCGCGGGATACCCTGCTGCCTCGTCCACGGGTCCGCCGGCCGCGTGCGCCCGGTCCGCAGCGACGGCGCGCCGATCCACACGCTTCGCGATGTGCCGTTCCTCGTGCGCTCGTGCGAGGCGCATGGGGTGCGGCGGTTCATCGCCGGGTGGAGCTTCGCGATGCGGATGTATTTCCCGCTACAACTCGTAATGGGTTCGCGGCGATTATATCAATCCCGCGCTCTGTTGCTGAAACGGAGGGCGCTGCGGCAGAAGGTGCGGGTGGTTCTGGGCATGGTGGTGAGAGCGGCGATGGGGGCGGCGAGAAGTAGTGTGTTTCTTGGGGCGTTCATCGCGGGGTTTTATTATACGGTGTGTCTTGCGCGGACGCGAGTGGGGCCGCGGGTGTTTTCTAAACACGGGGTATTAGTGAAGGTGCTGGCGCGGTTGCCGGTGGCGATGCGGCAGACGGTCAACGCGGTGTTGCAGGTGATTGTCGGACGGTCCTTCGTGGCGTCGAAGGAAGGGATGGAGGCGAGCTTGGTGCGTGTGGATGGCGTTGCGGAGGGGGAGGAGGCATGGGGAATGGCGAGTGGGCGGCAGGATATCGTGTCGCCGCAGATGTGGGATGCGGGGATGGCGATCACGGCGGGGTGTTTGGCGTGCGGGTGGAGTATTTGGTTGGAGCGGAAGGAGCGGAGGGGGGAGTTGGCGTTGTGGGTGTGGCCGCGGGCGGGCGTGTGTCTGACCGGGAGGGTGTATGAGAAAAAGGTATGCCTAGTGTCTCACGCTTCATTTTCCTCGGTCTATTGTTTATTCACTTCCCTCTCCTTTCTCTCCTATTCTCTACCGCAAATTACGGCTCTCTCAGCAAGACCGCAGCGGAAACAAGGGCTAACGGGTTCGATAGGACCAATGGCGCGAACGCCTCGCCTTCGTGAGCAGCGCTGCCATCGTGCTGGCCGCGGCGCAGGAGCCAGAGAACCTGCTGAAAGGCGTGTTTGGAAAGTTGCTCCGTGGAATCTACGCATAGAGCCTGGTTGTTGCTTTGTTGGCGGCTGGATCCAACCCCTTCATGCGAAGGTCATCCCCGAAAGTTTGCACGTTGTTGAGACATCATGCCGTATGGCTGGGAGACTTCAAGACCCCGCTAGCTCATGGTTAGAGGATGGTTGGGATTGGAGGTTCATATAATCTTGACTTGCATAGTCATGGCCTGAACAATAGGGAATGCATGTGGGAGCATTAGCCAAGCAAGCGAATAGCATTGATATAATATAACAAGATAGAAGCGAGATATGTATTTCTAGCTCTCCTTAATCATAACACACAAGAACAATTATCACACAGGCCCATCCATCCATCCAATCCACCATGCAACGCCTCACCTCTCTCCTTCAAACGGACGACAAAATGAACCCAAACCCTCTAGTATCATTGCATGTCCACATTTCTCTACCGCCGAACTCAAACTCCCTTTTGCAAATAGGTATCTCGGAATGGGGATTACCCCAAATAATGCGTCGCAAACCAGGCACGGCCTACCGATCATACAATCAAGGAAGACAACCGTCAACCAATCCCATACTCCCGCTCCACTCGCTGATGCAATTGCCAAAATCCATCCCAAATCGATTGCCCTACGTCCAACCGTCACTCCTCAACCCATCCCCTGAACTATCTCCCCAACCTCCAACCCTCTCTCGCACTCTCCTCCGTCCTTCCCAATCCCCTCCTCCTCCGTCCCATCCCGCTTCCCCTCAAACCCCGCAAACAGCACCCCCTCCGGCGAACTCAGCCCCGTCGGTGGCGGCTCCGCCTCCCCACCCGCCGTCATCCCGGGTAGGCGGCCGAGCGTCCACACCCAGTTGCGTTCGCGCTTGCGGCGCCCCGCGACGGGGGTGGTGGGGTAGGAGGGGGCCGGGGGGGAGGTGTCGGCGGCTGCAGGGGTCGGGGCAGCGGGTTGGAGAGATGGTAGATTGGGGGTGGAAGTTTGGAGAGGGAGTTGGACGGCGGGAGGGAAGGGGCAGGAGGGGGTGGTCGTGGAGGTGTTGAGGGAGAGGGATGGGAGGGGCCGGCGGGTTGTTGAGGGGGTGGAGGTGGTGAGGGCGAGGGTGGGACGGGTTGCCTGGGTCGTGGAGGTGTTGAGAGCGAGCGTCGGACGAGTTGTCGGGGTCGTGGAGGTGTTAAGGCCGAGCGTCGGACGGGTTATCGGAGCCGTAGAGGTGTTGATCGTATGTGGGATGCTGATTGGCTGAGGCACTGCATCACCCGCGGCATCCACCTCTCCCTCCGTGGTGCCGCCCATAGTACTGTCTATTTGCGTCTCTGAGCCGCCAAACGACTCCGTGGAAACCGTCAGCTCCACCTCCATCTCCGGCGCGTACAGCGAGAAATGCGACAGCGTATACACCACGTTCTCCACCGCCTCCTCAATTGGAGTGCGGAACGTCACGCACTTCCGCCCCGTCCCCTCCCCCTCGTTCACCACATCCTGCGTCCCCGGGCTCTGCTCCGGCGATATCGGCGCGCTAACCAACAACCCCGCGCGCTTTTGGCCGCGGAACGGCGAGTTGACGAGGATGGAGCGTAGGCCGGGGGCGACGACGTATGGGGAGTGATCGGAGGCGGTGGAGAAGGTGGATGCGGTGGAGGGAGTGGAGGTGAGGGAGGGGGTGGAGAGGGGGGTGGGGGTGGAGGGGCTGGTGAGGGAGAGGGCGGTGGCGTGGAATTTTTCGGCGAGGTGGGCCGGGTCGATGCGGAGGTGGGTGGGAGAGGGGAGGATGGGGTGCGGGGATTTGGCGGAGAGGAGGGGGGAGGTGGGTGCGGTTACGTAGGCGGAGATGGGGGTGGTGGTGGAGGGGGAGAGGAAGGGGGAGGTGGAAGGGTGGATGGGTGGGGAAAGGGCATGGATGGAGAGGTTGGGTCGGTTGGGTCGACGGCGGGGAGGAGAGGTGTTTATTGAAAGGGTCGGTTTTCTATTGAACTCTCCAGTGGTGATTGTGGTGGGTTGGTCGTCGATGTCGTTTTCGCTTTCCTCTTCTTTGATAACATCCCTACTATGCCGTTCGTATGCATTGCGATAGGTGTTTTGGACGGTGGGTGAAATGGCCGACAAAGTTTCCAACCTTAGACTCGCCCCTTTGCCGAACGACCTCGAGTGCGTCGTGACGATCGAGAGATGCGGTTTCTCGCGACGTCTTGGTCGTTCCCGCGGACTCATCGCCAGAGCCGGATACGGGTAGTCTCCGGCACAGTCACGTTGAGGCAAACCTGCCAAACTCGGCGGCATTGACAATGCGGTCGCCATGGCTCGTTGCTCCGCTTCGAGTTCCACTGCCCCAGCGGCGTTCATGTCAGAATCGCGTGTGGGAACCGGGGGGTTTTGAACTGGAATCTGAAGTCGAGCGAGCTGGGGTCGAGGTCGACATGGTGACTTTGTCTGAGACTCGGTGGGCTGCGAGTAAACCAACATATCCGAAAATAGACGCGCCGTTGAGGCAAGCGGCGCTTGATTTGGAGTCCGTGACAAATCCCGTCGCTAGGGTCCGATCCGCCAACACGGTCTGGTTGAGCTGAAACCACAGGCTAGACCAAACCGATCCGGGAGATTCGTGGTCAGAAGCCTCCCGAAGGTGACACGAAAACTGGCGGGAGGGGGCCAATTGTCCCGAGTTAGGATCTCAGGATACTGGAAGGCATGTATTATATCGGCAAAAGATGCGAGATGAAGTGCTTAGAAGGTGTCAGCCTGGGTCAGGACTAAGGAGGGGATCCGGTGATAGTCGAGGCCAGTCGAGGGTCGATAATCTGAAGGATCTCGTATTCCACGGTTGGCTCGGGATAAGCTCGTATGGCCGCCAAGATGACAGTCCACGATCACAGCAAGCCGTGCAAGAAAAGCATGGCCATGAAGTGCCGTCAAGTGCCGGGATCAAAGCAAGGACAACGCCTGCTGTGGCGATCAGACAACGTGAGGCTCCGCTAAGGCGTATGAACAAGGCCGGATGGGGTATGGGAAGCCTGATGTGCAACCCAGGCTGGGGTGGTAGGATCGTCGCAATAGTGAATTGAAGGACTGTCGCAAGCAGGGTCAAAGATGATCAAAATGGACGGAGAAAGCAGGAGCTATAAGGCGACCCGCTTCACCTTGGGCATGGAGATCGACTAAGGGTCATAAATCAGGAACCGATGGGTGGAATACAAGGATGAGGAAGTTATTAGCGACTAAATAACGAGACAGCGGGCACATCAGTGGGGATTGGGGGAGAGGTCCCTTTGCGTGATTGATTCAATCATCCAGAAGGAATGAGGAGGGACTGGGAAGATACTGGGCAAGTATAATTAAGTATCATTTACCAACCAGCAGCGGTTCGACGTCTTGGCTAGGAAGAGATTCGCTGAGATCGGCCACTGACATGGTGAGAACTGGAAGGTTGCAATTGAGGAGGCGAGGGTTCTTGGAGATACTTCAGGCATTCCTAGCCTTCAGGAGGGACATTAGGTGGATCGGGGAAATGGTGGATGAACTAGGTACCCAGTAAAGAGGAACGTCTGGAGTAAACGATACGTCCGCTGGAGACTTTCCGTAGACTTTGTTTCGAGAGAGTGAGAGAGGGAGACGAAGATGGTGGAGACAGATCAGATGTGACCTAGGAGAATTGTAGCCGCCTGGAATATCAGGCCATCGGACCAATCAGCGGTTCAGGAGGCCGGAGTTGGGTCGGAGACATTCCCTGGCCGGTTTTAGGTGCAGAAGAGTGCAGAAATTATTTTTAATGTTTCTTAAATTGGATTTGGCCGGGGCCCTCCCTGTTCTCGAAGTTAGCACACAGTCTTACTCCTCCGTTCCACACTTCCACAAGGAGTGTCCACCATTTGCCCGGTTAGCACAAATGCTCGCTTTCTGCTTGAGTTACATGCGAAGGGCTTGGGAAGTTAGGACTGGGAACTTGGATTTGGACTTGGAGTCTAGACAAGTGGCGACTGATCTCCTTTATTAATTCTATTGCCGTCATCCCAAGAGTGAAGAGTCCATCATCCATCAGTCATCATGTTGCCAAGTTACTCGAATCCGTGCTCGCTTCAAAGAAACGACTCAATTCATTATTCAATGGTTCCGTTGAATACGCACACCTATCACATTCGCCACATTGCCGCCCATACATGTCCCACTGCTCTAGGTTCAAGACGCAAGTTTGCTCAGTTTTGCCTCTGATATGCGTCGGAGTAAGACGCTGTGATACCACCACATTAGCATATCCAAACGTCTCGACCATTTCAACCGTTGGGAAACCAGTTTCTGGATCAAGAAACGTGGCCTTGGAGTGCAGTCCGTTCCAATACCCGAACAGTGAACAGGAGGTCAACTGCCGGTCGGGTGAAATGTCGGGATGAGACGTAAATGCATCGCCACAGTTTTCGTTTCTTGAGTCTGTCTCCACGGCTGATGTGCACTGCTGATGACCCGAAGATGATCTGAAAGCACCACTAACCACGCCTACTTCCTGTCAGTTCCGTTCGGATGACAACTTGGAGTCTAGGCCCGAATGGAACTCAACAAGTACAAATAAGGTAGGATGATAGGGAAAAGAGTTTGAATGTGTCCCAAACCATTTATGCCTCACGCAGGACGACTTGTGTTTCATGGCGCATCGTGGTTCCAAGACTCGGAAATTCATCCCTATTCAAAGGGGGCAAAGGGAAATGACGGCGTCCCGCGTCCTACTCCATCACGTCTACTCAAAATGCGAGCTTAATCGTTTACCGGTCCTAAAGCTGCGGCAAGATTCCCGTACCATTCTGACAAGACTGCGAAGGACTTCGATTGCAATAGTACACGTCCAATTTGAGACAGAGACTGTAGAGACCACGCCACCTCCAACAGCTCGCGAATATCACAGCCAATTTTGAATCTTGAAGCTAGGCATCATGAGATCCCGAGCCGGCATGGAAGCCCTCGGACCGACATGCCACCACAGGATCTGGACACCCTCCTTATTCAGGAGCCGCCAGGAACAGCGTACTCATATTTGCCTTAAAACCCTCCACAGGCTTGTGTCAGCGTGCGTTGCGCGTCCCTACTTAAACAAGGTTTCTTCGGTCAGATTTCGGCGGGACGCGCTACGCACGCTGACACCAAGCCTGTGGAGGATTTGAGGCAAACGAGACACACGTCAACTGCCGCCTTTGGGGACCATATCAACCCACTCGCACAGAAGACGGAATTAGAAAACGCAACTCCTCGACCAAGCGGATACGCGACATAGTAAATCTTGAAGCAAGGGTCATCGTAATCCCAAGCCAAGCATGTGTAAATTCGCCTGCCGACGGTCCTGTAGTTTAGGGGTCCCCTGTCCAACCACCTCCTCTTCTCCAGCCTTTCGCATGCCCATCACCACGGCGCTGGAGACGTTGTTATCCACCCGGTAACCCCTCTGGTTCTTCCCTCTTGCTAATGCTGTCGACCGGGGAAATGGTTGAGAGCGGCACGAGCTGTGGTTGGATTCAGTCGTTGGGGCTGTGAACAAGCCAGTCAACCTCCAGAACCGGGAGATTTCGCTCGGGTGTGTCAAGGATAGGACGTCGAGTTCTTCTGGGTGGGTAGGCCTATATATTAGCCGGCATGGATATCGTTCCGAGTGGAAAGGGCTGCGATAGCCGATACCGATGATTCGTTCGGCAGATCAGCCCGCGTCTCGTTCTATCAGAGAGAACTCGAATAGCTGAACAGAAGGCATCCTATCCTTCTCAGTACTTGCAGAAACCCGGAGATGATTTCCGGGAGTTCAGATCAGCAACAGCCCCCTGGTAATGCAATTCAATACTAGGAGGTAGTCAAGTCTTCTAACGAGCCTTATTCAACGGCAAAACGGAGTCACTGCTAGCATCCGAACGTCCAGTTTGTGATCCAGGTAATCCACGCATAGAAATCATCGGGTGCCCTGCGACATGGTGAGCAGTTGATACCTCGAAACGCTGGAAAGGAAGTCATTCGTACGTCCTGCCTGCTTGTCCAAATCCTCATAACCGGGCTCCATCCATTGCGACTGTGTTCCCTTCCTCCGGGACTCCCACCCAAAGTCGAACTCGACCTCCGTGGGCTCATCGTCATAGGTTTTGAGAGCTCGCACGTTCGGTCCGTTACGTGAAAAGACGTCTCGGAACGATTGGTTCACTGGGGTTGTCTTTCGGTTGGCGGTGCTGGGATTTTGGCTTCGGCTCTTGCCGTTAATCCAGGATTTGAGTGATGTGGGGATGGTTTTGACCAAGATGTGGTTCATGGCCGGCATGGATGCGCTGATGGCGCCAAACCCGAGTTCGATCACGGCGCCGATTTGGAAGCCGATGCCATTCCCTGTGTGGATGTCAGCGCTTCTGTTCCCACACGCGATTGTATATCGCTAGTGCAGCCAATCCCTTGGACCCGAATTATAGGTAGAGTACCTGATCAAAAGATTAGGTAGCAGGGACAGACTGAGACCGACTTACAAGATGGATCCCACGAGTGAAACACTGGATAAACATAGATCGTCTTCACAACCGCACCGGCGCAGGCGACGCCGCCAAAAGCGAAGACCCAGGTAACGCCGATGCGTGTCCAAAGCGGAAGTTGGAGAGACCATACGGTGTGGATAGGCAAAACCAGTAGCCACACGTCCGTAGCGAGATATATAACGGTTAAGACGAATATCTCCAATGCCAGATTGATCGACTTAAATCCAGCCAGTCGAACGTCCATGTCCCAGGCAGCCGAGATGGGCTTGCATGCGAAGACAAAGGCGAAGACTTGGATGATAAGCTCCAAGATGAGGAACACGACAGTACTGTGCAGAAGTATTCGCTTGGTCATGGACGCCACGCCCATCAGTCGGTATAGGAATGCCGTGATGGAAAGCCGAATCAGGAAAATAGCGTGGAAATAGAGCATCACCCCTATGAATTCTAACTTCAATATGAGGAGTCATGGTCAGTACGGTCCTCTTAGGGTTTGACGGGGACTTCCCACAAATTGCAGCATTTTAATCTGGTCATAAGAGACATCAAAGACATGCTGTCCGGATCCACCTTTTTTTATCAGCAAAACCATAACGATGATTGTTCCCAGAGATAAGATCTAGTTGACAAGCCCCGTTAGTCGTATGGGAACCGGACACCGTACCACAACAACGTACCTGGCCAGGAATAATCAGCCAGTCATCCCATCCAAACATCATCCCCTTCACTCGCTTTCGAATCCATAGTCGGAGAAACACAACGATGGTGCTAATGGCAGCGAGGCAGTAGCAGAGCACCTCAAGAGGGCGAGATTTATTCGGTGGAACATAGTTGGGATCGAGCAACCCAGGGAGGGTGAAGTTCTTGGGGTAATCGGGAAAGGTCGCCCCATACTCGAGCAGTGCGATCAGCTTATCGGGGTCTTCCTCAAGCAGCAGTTGCAAACTCATTCTCTCAGTGATTGCCGAACGTCGCGGTCTTGCGTGTAGCCGAGAGGACCATCTAAGATGAAGCGGTTCTGAAGTGTTGAGAAGTTGAGACCGGCAAAAGAGGACAGACCCTTGGGATATTATATCGGCATCTTCGGCTCCTCGAGTCAGGAACAGCTGATGCGCAATGAGTAGCAATGCCCTGCAGGGCAACATCTCGAATTGGGACAGTTTGGTGCACTTCCCCAGACGACTAGTACTGGCCCTGGTCACGAATGGGCTGGCACCCCCCCTGTTTCTTGTACATACATATCAACTCAACCTCCATTATGGCGCAGGCTAGGGGTGGGTGCCAGCCCGTTCGTGACCAGGGCCTGTACTCCGTATGTACATAGTACACTAGTATTTCCCCAGTCAAACTCTAGTGATGCTGTGATGAAATTTCTGGGCACCAATCGTCGTCTGTCCTTCTGCTGTTCTGCATTAGAAAAAGTATACCGTAGTTTCTCGGTTTAGTTCCTGGTTAGTGTAGTGATTAGTGGCGTAGGGGGGATTTCATAGTTGGATCCAGAATGCCTCATTGAATGGTCTAAATGAGAAAGGATCTTCGCTAACCGGATCTCGCCCCGGCGAACCTACTTTTATGTATAGAGAATTCGGGATATGGGTATGGGGTTCTGCCTTCTCAGTTCTCACTTTTAGGGGGAATAGACTTTCTACCTAGTTAGTACTTAGCTTAACTTAGTAGTAGTTAGCGTATGCAAGAGTTAAACAATGGACTTACTACGTAGAAAATAATCTAGACTTTTAAGCCTTAACTCTGGATTCTAGATTGAGTGGCGGGACAGTCAGAACTCAGAAGACCTTTCGACTTTCAGCCTTCAGGCTTCACCCTTATGTCACTGACGTGCAGATTGTTCTCCTCCATTGGAACGAACGTCGGGACTCGGGCCATCTCAAGAGCCAAGCGTTTCGCCAGAGGTGCAAATTATCAGCGAGCCTCTCCAAGGAAATGCCTGTCGTAATACGGATTACGGAGTACTGCGCGCAGATATTGATGTTGTGGTCATTGGGCCTTGAGTCTTGTCATCTTGTGAGTCCATCTTGTGTAGAAAGGATCCCCAGTTCTTTGACCTCGGGTTTGCGGGGTTTCACAAACGCGTCACGCGGTTAGCGTCCGTCGCCATACAGCGAGTATTATGGGCAGATTTGGCAATTCACAGTTGGCACATTTAACTGGAATCCTTGTCAAGGTGGAGAGTGGAGAGTGGAGAAACTGGAGATAGACTTTTCTGGGTCGCGTTCTCTCTTTTGCTGTAATTACTGTGACCACCGATCAGGTTTCGTCTTTTCGATGACTTGCAGGAGACGAGGACTTGTCACCCCAGTTCCTGACACTGACTTGTCAGGCCGTCCCATGCGTGAGGCGACCGTTCGCTCAAACATTGCAATTCATACAGACCAGATTACCGCCAGTCTTGGAGGTGTCAGGCCCGAGTGTCCGTATCCTCGTGGTCGAGGATATACTGGAGGGTTGTGTTTAAAATCCCGGTGATGATCCGGTTGAGGGTTTCCAGCCCTGATGGACTGTTCACAGTTCCTTTGGTACCATACTACCATTCTTGTTCTCATCCTTCGTCAGTTTTTCCAGTCATATTATTGATCGTCAACCACCGAGTCTCAAAATCAATAGGTCTACCAATGCCTGAAGCACTCGATTCACGAGCAACAAGTCGTAAAGATGAGACGAATGCTCCCCTGATATTAGGTATTGATATGGTCATACTCAACAATGGACCGATGTTTCAGTTTCAGATACTGTAATCTCGTCCGAGGCAACGAAATAATCACTCGACTGAAGAGGCACGGTATTAGTGCTCAGCCAATACGATGGGCTCTGCAATTTATATACCACTTCCTATTCTCCATCATATTGTTCTTACACAAACTGCTGTTTTTGGAGGCAAATTTAGTAACACACAACGTTCCTCCGCATTATATTTGATAACTACGGTATTGACTATCCACAGAAGAAGTATGCCCATCTTCGTACACCTAAGAACGAGAAGCTCAAATTTCAACTCCAAAATTCGAGGAGAGGTTGGAGGTGCTGGAGCCACGTTCGGGCGATCAATTCCGTGCTCAGATATATCTCGGTGAACACGTTCAGGTACTGTGCTAACTGCCGGTGCCCTAAGTTACAGGGCTAGAGTTATCCATGAGACAGTGAAACCCCTCCCTTATATCGAGGATACTATGGGTGATTTTCGGTAGGATGAAAGGAATTTAGTGCTACAGCCATGTATCGGTGGAGTCGTGGAGAGGTCGGAATATCTGTATGTGTTACTAGACTTGCGGATTCTCAAAGGAGACGGAATTCTGGGACGTGAACGGAAAGTCTAGGATTGTCATGTTTATATTAAAGTCGCGGCATCCGATGTAAACAGCCGATAGACCACTGAATAGGCAAACGATTTTTCTGCGTCATTGTTGCAGCATCACAATCCAATCAACGTACGATACTCCATCCATACATCGATGGCACTGCGGTAAGTAGTTGAATATATCACCCGTCCCAGAATCGTCTAGCCACAACCCTAAAAGTCCAACACTGTTTCACCTCTCCTCTCTCGCCGCCCTCTGCACAACCTTTATACACTCCCCCACCACATCCCCACCCTCCCTCCACCTCCTCAACACCACCCCACCACCCCTCTCTCTTAACGTCTGCTCCGCCCTCGCCCACCTCACCCGCCACAGCTGCTCCCGCTTATTTCCCTGCTGCGCCTCTTGCCCGCTCCTCCCATCCCCCATGCTGGATATCGGTGTGTTGCCACCGGGACTGCGAGAGTCGCCGCCGCCGCCTTGAGCGTAGTTCCAGGCGCCGGCGACCCGGTTGCTGGCGTAGTTGGCAGCGGCGGCGGGGTAGGCGGTGATGGCGCGGCGGGGGGGCAGGGCGGGTGGGGACGGGTTATGCGTGGGTGAGGGATCGTGGGGGATCGTGGGGTTGCTGGTGGAGGAATGGACGGAGAGGGTGGAGGATGAAGAATGGGGAGGTGGTGCGGGCGGGGTGCGAGAGCCGGTGGTGCTGTGGGGTGGGCCGGATGGGTATAGCGAAGGGATGTGGTTGTAGGTGGTGGTAAGTTTTTGTTTGGCGAGGGAGACGTAGCTTTGGTTGTCTGGGTGGGATTGTTCGGGAGGGGTGGGACGGGGTTGTTTGGGAGGTGCGGGCTTGGAAGGAGATTTGGAAACGGATAGTTTGGTGGGTGGTGGGGTCTTTCCAGTGCTAGATAGTCGTCGAGGCTTCGGTGGCGGTGGAGGGAGTGGCTTTCGTGGAAAAAATTCCTGAGCGGGAGATGGGGTGGTCTCATGCGTGACTGAAGCGCCACGGAGTTTGGTAGGTTTCGCTGGAGGCTTTGGAGGCGGTGCCCTTCCATTCCGCTTCCCTTGATCCGTGGGAGAGAGTTCCCATAGTAAATCCGCGGTATTGGCCCTATGGAGACCACCCGGTGAGGACCTGTGCTGCGCTTCATTTGGATCGGGATCGCTTAAGTCGATCAGATCTCCAATATTACGCACTTGAGTTGATTGTGGAGCACCTGGAGCACTTGGTCTTCGAGGTAGCGCATTGGGCGAAGCCGCTTCGTCCTCGACGTCTTTCAGCGACGCTTGAATAGCGGCTCTCAAATGCGGGTCATCGTCCTCGGCAGCGTTGGAAGAAGCCAACCAGCTATTTCTAGATCCCGAATTTGGTTTCCCAGTGCTGCTGGTGGGATTGTTCACCGAAGGATCGAAGAATCCGCGGGACGTTGTCGTCGTGATATCTCGAATAAAGATAGCGAGCACCCTCCCGGGGTTCTCGAGCACAAAATCCGTATACACCTCGAGATCCGCCTCCCCGCTATCTCCAACCAGAATAAACCGACGCTCAGGGAAGTCCTGCGCGATCCGGTCCAACGAGCTCTTCTTCCTTTCCGCCACCGGCTCGAAGATCCCCTGAAGCATGCCGCTGTACCGCTTCAGATGGAACGAGCCGGGCGGCAGCCCGGCGTTCGCGAAGAAGCTCTCGAGGACCGGGAAGAGCTGCCAGGGGGAGTTGGAGACATAGTGGAACTTGACGCCCATGTCGAAGAGGCGGTCGTACCATTCGCGGACGCCCTTGATGGTAAGGTCGCAGAGGTCGCGGATGAACGCGTTGCGGAAGATCTCCCGGGCGCCGGAGTTGATGGCGGTGTGCTTGATGGTGTCGTCGATGTCGCTGATGAGACTGACGCCGTGAGGCTCGATGACGCGGATTCCGGTCGTGGCGGAGAGGTTCTCGCCGGCTAAGATGCGCACGTGGGTCGGAATGAAGTCAAGAGCTGCTCTCAGCGCGAAATGTCCGGCAGCGTCGGTGTACACGGTCCGTTGTCTTGATACGTCGTCGTTGTAGAAGAACGCCGAAACGGGTAGGTTCTGCATCGGGTTCGCCATGAATGGATTCAACCGCGCCATCAGGTTCTCGTTCGCAATCGCCAACTCCTCCTTGCTCATCTGCGCCGGCTGATTCCACGCCTCACGCTTCTGCACCGCGTTGACATTCTCCCTGCTCTCCTCCCGCGGCGACTCCGTCCCTCCATGCTTCTTGATCTCCGGCCGTCTTGCGCTCTCGCTATACTCTCCCCGGTCCGCGCGCTTCGCCTCCTCCTCTCCTTTCTTCATGATCGCATTCGCCTCCTGCCGCACGATCTCCTCGTCCGTCCGCGCCCCCCTCCCCGGGCTCGGCCCTCTGCTCCTCGCACCCTCCTGCCCCTCGGGCGTCGGCGCCTGCAACCCGACCAGCTGCCTCGCCAACCCAACGAACAGCCTCTGCTTCCGCGTCAACGGTCCCCGCTGCGGCGAGTAGATCCATCCGCGCACATCGACGTCCACCACCGCGTTGTTATCCTCATACTGATCCCACCTCTGTCTCCAAAACTCCTCCTGCGGATCACCCTCCCCCTTCCCACTCTCCCTCTCCTGCTTCTCCACCCCTCCCCCCTCCTCCCGCTTCTCCCTCCCCCTTACATGCCTCCGCGCATAACTCGGAAATACCACCATTCTCTCCCCCGCCCTTGCCACCACCGCCCCATGCCCCGGATGCCCCCCCTCTACCCCGTCCTCCATCCCCCCCTCCCCATTCCACCCCCCGCCGTAGCTGCTCTGATACGTCTGCCGCAGCTCGTTCGCCGCGCGCAAATACCCTGCGATCTTCCGCCGTCGTGCGCCTGGCTCCCGCCCCTCGCTGCGCAGCGTCGAGAGGTTCCAGCGCGCGTCACCGGGCGGGGGGCTGGGGTCGGTTGGGTTCATATTTTCGGTGTGCGGCCGGCCATAGCGGGGCGGGCGGAGAGTCTGGCGGTGTTGGTGAAAGGTATCGGCGTGGTGTTTTAGGAGGTCGAGGGCGCGTGCGTGGGTGCGGAGGGACGGGCGGATGCGGGTGCGGAGGCGCGATTGCGCGAGGGATTGGCGGTAGAGGAGGTAGCGGTAGATGCGGGATTGGGCGCGGCGGGTGAGGGAGGGGAGGTATTCGTGGCGGAGGTGGGTGAGGGTGTTGGTAGTGCGTGGGAAGAGGCGGCGGAAGGCGGTGGTTACTGTGGGTGGTGGGCGGCGTGGTGGTGCCAGTTTGTTGGGGTGGATGGATGGATGGGAAATACTATGGGATGGTGGATGGGCGTGCGCTTCCGTATCGGTGAGATGAGGCGACGTTAGATATCGGAGGTGTGGTTTTGTGCAACTTATCAAGCTACGAAGGATTCTTGAGAAGTTTGGACGGGAGGTTGAACAGCCGTTGAACAATACAGAGTAATGCCGGTAGACCAGCTAGGGGGCAGCCGACGTCATCTCCAGCCCGAAACCACTGGTATATTTACCAGAAATATTATTCCGCATACGACTCTATTCCAGCATCTATATCCGTGTCAAGAAGAGATTCCCAAGTCCCGAAGATTTCAATCCAATTGTTTTCGGTTGATGATCTGATGGTTCCAATATGCTGTTGTTCTCAAAAGAAGTCGCCGCCATGTATGAAAATCCGGTGCCTGTGTAGGCAGTATAGCGTAACCACCATCTATGGGTATCCCTTTCAAACGCCATCCAGTCCGGTCCGATCAAGTCACTCTATCCAACCCATCACCGTAGTTAAGTCTCTATGACCCATCCTAAGCACCATTACGCCTTTCCAGCTACCCCCAACGCCTCAATCCCTACCCCGCCCCCTGCATCTCCACTCCTCTCCTCACTCCCGCCACTAAATTCACCCTCCGCCTCAATCCCATCCGCCCCCCTATCCTCACTCCCCTTCCGACTTCCCCCACCCCCCGGACTTGGACTCTGCGCCTCCCCAGCCCTCGCCAATCCCGCCGCCAACCTTGCATCGAACTCCTCCATCAGCTCCTTCCCATGCCGATCAAGCAACGCGATCATCGTCCCCTCGTCCAGCACCCGCGCCTTCGACCGCTCGCCCACCGCCCGCATCGTCAGGCTCAGCTCCTTCTCCAGCTCGCGCCCTGCGTCCGGCTTGAGGTTGTCCGACGTGTGGGCAAGCTTGCGCCGGTAGGCCCGGAGCGCGCGGCAGAGGTGCTCGGTGGCGGTAGCCATGCTGGAGGACGGGGTGACGGGGGGAGCGGATAGGGTCTCGGTGCTGCGGGCAGCGCGGGAGCGGACGTCTACGGAAGAACGGCGGGACTTGACCGCGTGGCGCGAGTTCGGACTCGGCGGAGACGGTGAGCGGGCCATGGCGGTTTTGCGGCGGGAGTCGTGGGTGGTCCGGGTGGTAGTGGGGGTGGGGTCGAGTTTCGGGGCTTGCGCGAGGGTGAAGCGCGACGTGCGTTTCTTCAAGCGCGGCGAGCGGTTGCCAACGGGGGTGGTGGATGGTTCGTCCGGGCGGCGTTGGAAGCGGGCCATTTCGCTGTGGGACAGCACGCGGCGGAGGGGCGGGTGGCTGGGGCCCTGTTCTTTCTCGGACTCGACGCCCATGAGGTCCATAGATTTGGAGATCTCGTGGCCGCCGGGGGCGCTGGGGCGGGGTTGGGTGTCCCAGAGAAAGATCGTCCCGTCGAATGCGGTGGTGACGAGCCGCCTTTCTTGCGGTTCGCCTTGGTCGGTACTGGTAGATATCAACGCCAGTCCGGATACGCCCTCCGTATGGCCCCAGTCTCGGGCGACTAAACTCCCTTTTTCAGTGTATACACGGACTGATTTATCCGTGCTAGATACACCAGCGATCATCGGTGTGCCGCTGGGGACGGTGAAGTGGACAATCGATGAGAGCACGACTGGGTCCCCCCCTTCCGAATCATTTGTCTTGAACGACGTTAAGGTATGTCCAGTTTTAAGATCATACCGGTGTAGGTGCCGGTCGATCGTCGCTACGATCAGGACATTGTCCTCAGCTGAACTCAGCGTCATAGATGTAGGGGTTGCCTTCAATGTGACGGTCCTCGATATGAGGTATGCATTCAAGGCCTTGCCATCTTCAACATATGATGCCGACTCCCTGATAACCATAGTGCGGTCGGATGACGCAGAAATAAGGCGAGTGCCGTCTTTCGAGAAATCAATTCCGGTTACAGCGCCAACGTGCTCGTCGAGCGTTTGAACCAGTTCCCAGTTGTCCCCGTTTAGTTTGAAGATTTGGATCGTCCGGTCCCGACTCGCGGTTGCGAGGAAGACCTCGTCACCATCCTGAACTGCGATGTCGGTAATTTCGCTCACGTGTGCTTTGAACGTGAAGACTTCCTTTCCAGAAAAGTCAAGTATTCTGGAACTGTCAGTGCCAACTCGTTGCGCATATATGCCAGCCTTACCGAAGCATTCCCACTTTATCACCAGTTGCTAGTAATCTTTGGGATGGGACCCCCCGGACTACGCACAACTCGTTCACAACCTGATCATCGCGCGTCGTCTGCGGTAGTTCCACCTGGACCTGCCATGCACTAGCACCATCTTCAAGCCATGCGATTGTCGTTCCATTTCCGGACCAGGTGAAGAACTGCGGTTCTCCTTGACTAGTCTTAGTGAAGGACATGATCCCGAGAATCGGTCCGGCATGCCCTGGCAGTCTCCTGGACTGATGGGCTGCACTGGGCCGCGGTGCGTTTTCATGGATCTGAATCGCTCGCTGCGAATCGACAACAACTGTTTTGCTGACAAGTGGTCCCAACGCCACCGCATCCGAATTCGCTTCAATCGTAAGATTAGAATTGGTGATGGTGACAGTCTCGCTACTCATCAGGTCGTCGACTTTGATGCTCTTCCTCATCCTACCCTTCCCAGCGATCTGAAGGAGTCCATCCGAGTCCACCGCCATGGCTTTAATGGAAAAACCAACTTCCACAACGCGAGCAAACTGTTGCTGCCCGCTCGAGTCATCCATTAAGCAAATATCGCCTTTGCCGGTGCCGAGAACCGCCTTGGACGTCCCAATTGGCACGATGGTCGTGAAATTACTGTCTAGGAGCGGACCAAGCAAGCAATTTCTTCCAATTAATGTTTTCTGATTTGGACTAGCCACGCCTTGGCTGTCTCCTGCTCGGAATTTTAACGATTGCTGGACGGTGTCTTCAACCCTCCACACTTTTATGTGTCTCGTCCCGGCTGTCACTAAGGAGTTGCCGATCCAGGCAATGCCATTGATATTGCTGGTGCATCGGTTACTCGCGATGAGATTCGTCGCGCCGTTCCTGCCGATACCCCAAATATAAAGAAAGCCATCATTCGTGAAACCCAGGGTCGCGAGGTATTGGGAGTCGGGACTGAATGCGACGCTTCGTACGCCGAATGAGTGGTCGGGTAGAGAACTAACGGGGGTGTCTGAGGGAGCATCATCGGCGATTGAGAATACGAGGACTCGCGGTCTATAGCCAGCCTAACGCATGTGAGGATATGAATCAAGTAGGGTAACATTAACACATACCTCTCCAACCGCAAGATATCGCCCGTCTGGACTGAACGAAATGCATGTGGCGGTCTTGACCCTTTCACGGGCCGTCCAGGATTTCCCCGCGCTGGGTGAGTCCGTGGCATCTGACAAAGGAGAAAAGAAAGGGGATGATTCGCGATAGGTCGTTCTCGCTCTAGCGTCGCTTGCCACTGGCGTTGAAGGGCCATATACCGATGAAATCGGGTTCAGTGGAACGGCAGTAGGTCTCGCACGGAAGAACCGCTGCTTAATTTGGCCATCGTATTCCACGCTGGCAACCACCGCCGCCGCTCCAGCCGTGAACGCGAAGGTTTGCGATGAAGGGAGGGAGTCTAGCGCATTCGGGGAGTTGGCAGTCGTCCCGATGACCTGCTTGAGGGAAAGGCAGATATCATTCCGGCTTGGTTTCGTCGGAGACCGAACCGGTGTGTGTCTCGCGAACGGAGAATTGGATGGCGTCAACCGCAACCCGAGGGGCGGATTCATGCGCGGAGCAGTGGAAGGCGTAGACATGGCGGACGACTGACTTTGCGCATCCACAAGGTGATGGCGCGGATCTTAAAGGGATGATTAACTTCTAGAGGCTCATCTCAGTCCCCGCGGGTATGAAATATCCCGCCGAAAGCGCCGTTAGCCGGGTGATGGAGGTATGCACCTTCGGCGGAGGGAGTTGTTTGGGGTCGCAAAAGGTGGTAGAGAGAGTCGCACGGAGCTCGGCATTTGGAGATGGTGAGTCAATGCATTTCCCACGATCGCCTCTGGATCCGGACAATGTACCCCGATATATTTCCAGCTTTCAGTGTCGTTGTAAACCGTGAATTGGAGAGCGTGTTAGGGTGACAGTGAAATGCAACTGAAGGGAATAGTACTTGCAGCTTGTCGCTTACAGGGATTCACGTATCGCGTCGATGATTCAGGGGTTGAGGCGTTGGCCGGGGAAAGGGCGAACCACCCCCTGCCACGCGTCCCGAATAGGGAAGGAGCTTGGGCCCGCCCCTTCTGCTTTCACTGTTTTCCACAAAGCTGGGCGACAGGGATTATTATGTTGATCAGGGAATATCGATGCCTCATATCAGATCCTGGTCCGATCCAATCGCCAGGCAACAAAGCTTCAATATCATCGTGAATCTCGATGACCGTACGGAGGTCCATTTCAAAAGCTATTGCTCGCCAAGAAAGGGGCTTGATTATATAAGCCGTTCGAAAGCCGATAGAACGGGCAGTAGAGTGCCTAGCCAACGGGCGGTACTACGCGCGGTAAATCGAATGCCCGGCGCCCTTGCCTCGAATTAGGCTCTATCAGACCTAAATTAAACGCCCAGTTGATAGGCAGTCTAGTGCCCGTGGGCGGTGGCATAGGCTCTCGAAACTGCTTATATAATCACGCCACTTCCTTGGCGAGCAATAACTTTTGAAATGGACCTCCGTACGGAGTAATCAATCAACAATTCGGTTCACTCATTCCATGGTCTATGGATTATAAATAGACTCTCTTTTGTTTTTTATTGTCCTTTAATATTAATCTAGGGAGATCAATTCTCATCACAATATCATTTCCTATCTGTAATGCGTATAACCTATCCAGCTCCACTATTTAACCACGAAAAGCGTTCGTAGTCGGCACATCCGGCAGCGGACAGGAGGGGTGTCTGGAGATACAGCAGGGCGCATACCGGGGTTTATGTAATCGTCTATTGACTGTTAGTATCCCGTTACGGCTGCAAACGGTAAAAATTAGCACTTGGCTACTTAACGGATGCTTACCATGTAAACGTCAGACCATATAAGCGCTTGACTAGGTTAGGCGTTTGGTTATTTTACGGTATGTGTAAATACCGGTTGTTCAACGGTTTGTGAACGGTTTGTTAAGGAATAGTGGGCCCTAGTGGCTGCCAATAGGATCTCCTCAATTTTAATGCCTGACAGCCTGAGGCGCTCAAAATACACATGATTTTCAGCGTCACGTGCCTCATTGCCGATGTTCTCCCAGCCTTGGTCTAACATGCCTTGCCTGGTGCTACCCCCATGCACTCCTCCCATACCAACACGATGCTCCACCAGCCACACCACGAGTTCCATGCCACTAGTTACAGTGGCCAGCAAGCCCCCATTGTTACATAAACTGGATCCTCGAGTCGACATACATCACGGTGCGAGAGGCGTTGTCGAACGTAAGCTGAGCATTGTTCTCTGTAATCGGGACAACGTATAACTGGCGTCCGGTGATCGAGGGGAGGCCGACGAGGGTCTGCTCTTCGCTGAGCTCGAAGAGGGGATAATTAAGGACGCGATCTTGACGTAACGGTTCGAATGGAACGGCGGGAGTAATGAGGAAGAATATGCGGCAGTTATCTAGGGATATTAGCAGTAAACTCGGGCCAAGAGGGAGGCTGCTTACCTTTCAGGGCCTCATGGATAAAGATCTGGTCGATACGACCAAGCATACCACTGTCATACTCTACGTAATGGCCACGGCTTAGAGTGATACGCTGCTCAGATCTCCTATAAGCAGAAGGTCAGCCTGTCTTACCCATTAAATGCCACTGCATAGTACTTACATCTCCCCCTCCCGGCGCGGCTCCCTCCAGACAAACGATACCTTCTTCCACCAACGAAGTCGACGGGTGCCAGGATGGTTGACAGGCATCTTGTAGTCGGCACTATACGACCGGAAAATTTTGGCGCGAAACCCGGCGGAGAACTTAGAGACAGACACTGGGAGCTGGAGTGTCTGCTCTACGTACTTGTTAGGAATCCGACCAAGCACAGACGGTTGACGATGCGTATCGTCCTCCCTGGTAGCCAGGGAGATATCATGGTCTGCGTCCAACTCCCCAGCTCCGGTAGCTCCAGGGACCACTTGGAGCTGAGCGATCGTAGCGTGAGGCATCAGGGAGGTAAACAACTGGGGACAACGTACACGGAGGTTTTGGAACTGGGCACTAAGGGCGGGATGCGTGACCTGGAAACTCCCATGGAGTAAGAAGCGGAGCGTCATGGTAAAGCTCTCAATTTCAAGGAGATCCTTCTCAGGGTGCTTCTTATTCGTCCTAAGGATGTTCTTCTTATAGGATCGATGCTTCAGCTCACCACCAAGAGCATGGACGTTAGAGACGAGTGCATACTGGTCCTGTACCAGTGGGTAGTGAAGGGCAGCATGGACATTGGGGCGACTGATATTGTTCCTGTATCCCGCCGCCTTGTTTTTGGTCGACGCAGCCTCTTTCTTGGTGATGGCTACTGGAGTTGTAGAGGCAGTAATGGTAGACATAGGGGTCTGCGTTGGCTGCGTCGACGAACCTGGCTCAACGGATCCTGTACGAGAACCAACACGAGAGAATGCCCTGGTCTGAATTGCCGCAGCACGAGAGGCCACTTCGCAGAGCCGTTGGAACATAGAGCGAGACGCCGTAATCTCCATATGTAGGGATGCGCGCTCCGCGGTAGTCAGATAGGCGGCGGAGAGGAGAGTATTTACCTTTGCCACTGATGCAACAGCCTTGACCAGAATAGTAACGATATGGTCATTGGTAGGGAGCTTGGGGTTTTCCACAGCGGCCAGCTCAAGGACCTCGGTGCTAAAGACAATATGTGCCTCCTGGAGAAAGGTCGGCTTGATATGCGAGGCACGCAGCCAAAGGCGGAAGAGAACGGGTATAATAACAGACCAGCGAGCGTGCTCTTGGAGCGTATAGGAGCCGATATAAAATAGCGGCGACTGAATGCGGTTCCATCCTGGTGGAAATGGGAACGAGCGTACTTTCTGCGTATATCCAATAGCCGCTTGGGGGGTTAGTACTTGGTCAAGTATAGCCAAGTGTAACAGCTCCGTAATACCACCTGCTTCGGAGTGCGCCATATCACCAGGGCAATCAATATTAATAGGATTGCAAGGGGCCAGCTTCTTCAAGGCAGGGAATTCGACACGCATGCCGTTGGCTCTGGCGAATGCCTCGTGGTGCGTCTTTTGCCAGACCGAATCCATATGCTGGCGTTGACGCATGACTTCGAAATGGTACCGACCACTGTGGACGATATTAAAGTCCAGGTTGCCTCGTCGAGGAGCGTCGATGGTACAGAAACGGCAGTTGAAATTTGCGGTCGGCCCCAGGAACCCTCCATTTAGCTGTTGCTGCGGCATATCACCGATGAATGCAAGGAAGGGAATACATACGAAGTATGTCTTGCCGTTGATATCCATATCAACGCCCCTATCCAGTCTTTGCATCAACTCTAGGGCGTCGACGACGTCGTCAAAGTTGCTACCGTGAGGGCCCAAAGTCAGTGGAAATACATTGGCCGGAATATTCCGCTCGGCTTGGACAAGGCAGGCCAGGAGAAGATAGAAGCCCATAATAGTACGGTGCATGTTACGGAAGAGCCCGAAGCCATCGAGATACCCAAGGATAGGTACAGACAAGATATCCGTCCCCCTAGGCCTATTCCGCTTTGCGAAATTGCTGACGAAATATTCTCGCCCATAGACCTCAAGCTCAAGTTCGCCGCGGATCGGGTGGGTCTTAAAGATAGGCCGGATACCTGTATTCTGGTTATAGACCCGACGTACAATATGCTCGTTTGGAGAGAGGCTGTCTGTTGATCGATCGCTAGGGAGTTGTACAGAGCTCCTGAAGGCATAGTCGAAATAGACAGTAATGTCTGTTAGGCGCTCAATCAATTCTTCGGGGACAACGTCGATAGTATCATCTAGCATAATGAATTCGCGGGAGTGAGGAGGCGGGTCGAGAGTAAGATTTTGGTACGTTGGGCGAGAGAGGAACTGGTTTATTAGCTGAAACCGCTGGACCTTGAGGACAATCGAACCCTCTGGGCTACTATGCTCGCGATATGTGCGGAAATCCCTTCCAAAAGCCACGATTTGGCCAAGATGCGGCTTTTGCGTCATCGTCTGACAGAGACACTGTGTATCGTTGCATTTGAAACGGACGAGATCCGAAGGAAAAACTGGCTCGGTCGTATTTGGATAGTAGCCGTACTGACCAGAAGAGCAACGGATTGACGACGCCCAGGCAATAGATTCCCAGAGCTCTTTAGGCGAGTCGACGAACCTAGCCATCCCAAAGAACATATTTGAGCGTAGCTCGGTGTTCAAGATTGTCCTAAAGAGCTCGAACGGGTTAAAGAAGTAGAGGTTCTCTGCATGCGTTCGTAAACCGGCCTCAGCCTCCCCACGGCGGCCACTCGGGAGCTTGTTAGCACTGAGGGTAATCGGTTTAGAGCGGATTTCGAGGAGGGGCAGTTGTTCGTTCACTTGTTTCTTTATAGTATCAACCCTTTTAGGGAGCTTGCTGATCTCTTTATTGCTAGTAAGGTTCAGAACCTCAACGAGCGCCTTATACTGGGACCGAGGGACACCGTACTGCTGTACCCATGTGCCCATTGCAAGGGCGAAGTCAGTCATTGGCTGGGTGGCAATCCTGCGTGGCAGAGGTAGAGAGGTATCTGAAGGAATGAAATACTTGGAGTTGGCAGCGAAGGGGTGAGGAGCTTCTTGGGTAACTTGACTTGTCTCCGTGTTAGCCACCGTCTGACTACTAATAGTAGCGGTCTCTTCATCGGATTCGATATCGTTAGCAACAGGCGTTAAATCCTCGATATCCTCTGCCGGGAACTGGTATTCAGCAAGTTCACGACGGTCATCCAGGGTAGGCATCGTCTCATTAAGCTCGCTTGCTAGCATGGCCTGCGTACCCCCGAGTATGGCTTCGAAGCTATCAAACCCAAGGTCTTCTTCAGTGGCATCCTATAAGGAGTTTGTACTCTATTAACATAAAACAGGTAAAAGGTGATAGGACCTACTTCGAATAACA